ATTCAAGCAGAAACAGATCCCTCATCCTCAGCTACTCAGATGGGCTGAATGGTTTTCGAAATACTCTTTCGAAACCAAACATGTTGCAGGAAAGAAGAATGTGCTTGTAGATTTTCTCTCCAGACCAAAAGCATTGGTAGAAATCAACATGTATATTCTCAAGCATTCCTTCCCGTTTCGGTCAGACAAGTACAAAATTGAATGGTTCCGAGATTGGCCAAGCCTGGAATATCCTGAAGAAATAATTGAGCAAATCCAAAAAGATAAGCTCACTGAAAATTTTGACAACCTCATGTGGCAATGCCACACAGACCTTTTCCGCCACCATGGAGGATCTATTCTTGACTCTTCTAGATTACACTCGAGGTACCCTTTCATTCACCCATTACTTTGGAGAAAAAATGATTTTCCTGAAAAACTTAAATGGCTATTATGGTATCTAACCAATAAGTACTTAATAGCTATTGAGTTTCCCACCAGAAAATTTCTTTTCCAATTAACCAACTTACTTATCGCTGATTACATTGGGCTCAATGAACACGAGAAAAACCTTTTAACCGTGCTCAAATAGTTTTACCCTCATGTTTATTGGAAACGACTCTTTCTCGAAGAGTTGAAAAAAGTCCGAGATGATCCGGAAACACACACTGTTGTACTCCTCCATCGTCCTTGGACTTTTGTGCACAATAATGGTACCATATCCGATACTCCTGCAGCAGTAGGTACTACTACCTACAAGCCCCAGTCACAACTCCAAGTCGCACATGTCTATAAATCGTTCCCCAGCTGCATTGGTTTTGTTGAATATAATTACAGGGAACTCTAAAGAATCCTATGCCAAGAAAATTGTATTATCCCAGAAGAAGCATGGGATTACTTCACACCCGTTTCATGGGATCATGAAGGATCTTCATCTGTAACAAGACAAGCACTCAGCGAATACGAACACGAACAGGCACAAGCACAACTCGGATCATCACAAGATCACGAAATGTCAGACATAGGAGATCCAGCACAGCCATCTCAAGATCCAACACAATCATCTCAGGATCCATGGGGTGGACCACTCTCTCAAGACCCCTATGACTATGGACCATTGTCTTTATCCGTTGGACTTGACGCCAGCTCTGTCTCTCACTACTCACAACTAGGAAATTGGCCCCAGCCAGTTTTGCCTCAGCCAGTCTTACCTGAATAAAATCCACAACCAAGCCTTGGCATCAGAATGTGGAATGAACTCCTGTTACTACAAAACACTCCGAATACAGCTCTTCCAGACCTTTCTACACATGCATCCACTTCCTCGAACCAAATGCCAGTGATCACTGAAGATAATTTTGAACACATTCTAACACAGAGACAGATAGCAGAATATGAATGTGCAAACAGCTCAGACAGCTCGGATTATGACTATAACTCTAGATGGAGATAAACTAGTATTGTTTCACCTAACCGGCACTGTTCATTAGATAAACTAGTATTGTTTCACCTAACCGGCACTGTTCATTGTAGCATATCATAGCTGGGTCCTGTTTCACCTATAAATAGGTTTTAAGTGTTCTACGAGTGTGTGCCCAATAATGTACTTAGTTTTAGGTGAGTTTTGTTTTATGTGGACAGAAGTCCAATAATTACCCCGTTTTAGGTGTGTTTTGTTTTATCTGGACCTTTGTCCAGCAATGTATTTCCCGATGCCTATATAAGGCCATGTAATCCTTCGGTTTGGAATAGGAGGGAAAAGTTGTGAAATTTCAGAGTTCTCACTCTCCATGCCTCTTTAAAAATCCTTTTCTTCAAAGCTTGGCATGATCTTCTAAAAAATGCAGCTTGGCCAGTTAGGCATAACTTCATCCTGGTTACTTTGAGCGTCTCTATGCTCTGAGCTAAATCTCCGGGTAGTTTTGCAGCTAAAAGGCGGTCCCTGAAGGGTTTGAACAAGAGGTTCGCCCGTGTGGGATAACATACCTATTGTAAGCTGACCTTGTTTTCCCTGGCTCTCAGCATAGATCCCCTCATATCAACATGTGTTAAATAATAAAAGAATTTATATGTGTGGATAAACAAAATTATGGAGGAATGCGTAGGGTTTGCTTCTATTTATATCGAAGTCATTATTTTATTTCAATGAAAATTGAAACATACTAATTTAGGGTTTGCTTCAGGATAAAATAATAAAAATATTAAGTAATATGGCCTAGTTTGGTCGATCGGTCTAGCTCCTTATGTAGAACCGGTAACCAGACCGGTTACTCCCGGTTCCAAATTTTGCGAATCAAGAACCGGATCAGTTTTCCTGGAAACTACTTAGATCCGGCCGATTTAGTCTACCCGGATTGGAGCGGACCAATGCACACCCCTAGCCAGATGACCACTTTACTTTCCATACCCCTTTCACCTTTACATACATATGGGGACCTTTGATGGAGTTGAAGACCCACGTATGGCCTACCAAACTCTCCCTCGGCTCTCTTCAAAAGTCTTTTCAATTATTAGGATCAAGATTCTCTTCATTAGGAAGTAAATCAACGGGAAATTAACATTTACATCGTCAATAAGAAACAATCTTATCTATCCTTAATTAGAGGATTTTAATAACTCATTCTTTCACTAATCATCAAATCACTGGTAAATCAAGCCGTTTATGGAAAAAAAAAGAATCTACACATTGACTTGTGTATGCTATAATTACTCCAACTTAAGACACTCTATTTGAAAGGATGCCACCGTAATCGGGAAGTAAAATTCAATTACTCCTTTTTGAAAGATGCCGCATCAATGTTTATCAAGGATTTCTTTTCCCTTAAATAATTTTTCCTCTTTTTCTTTTTCCTTATCTATGTTTTTTCTTCCATTTCCTTTTCTTCCAAATGTTGATGCTAGTAGGGGGGAGATATCTGGAGGTCATGCCTAGCAAGACAGGTAGAAGAGAGTGCGTACCTGGCGCTAAAAAACTAGGGTTAATATCACAAAAAATCATAAACTTGTACACTTGTGATAAATTTACGGTCAAATTTTACTGTCAAATTGCTGAGTTGGATGACACGTGGCAGTTGACGAATATACCAGTTTGGAATTTTACTCCTCCGTATGTCACAAGTTTACCAGTATGTGATTTTTCTTGGTATTAATCCAATTTAACAGAGAGTAAATATGTCACAAATGTATCAGTTTGGGATTTTTTATGGTCAAAAAATTAGTTTGGGGTAAATTTGTCACATGTGTACCAGTTTGAGGGTTTGGTGGTCAAAAAATTAATTTGAGGTAAATTTATCATAATTGTTCCAGTTTGGGATTTTTTTGGTATTAACCCAAAAAACTATGAAAAGAGACATTAACTGTAACCTTTTTTAATTAATCGAATGAACTAAAACTAACTCAGAAACGTATAAAGCTTATGTTGTCTTGTCTTCTCAAATTTTACTCTTGTACGAATGTAACCTCTTTTGGTTTATGTTTTCTAAAAACTCATCAACATCTGGAAAATCATATAAAATTTAGAAAATTGTGACAAAATTTATAAGTGAATGAGCACGTGTCAACACCGGTATATTTTGAAAGTTTTAGATGTTTTGGGTTAAGATAAAATCAAAGCGTGCTCGCCGTAAATCTAAATTAAGCAAAGAGCAAGAAAGTAAAAGTCAATACATGCACGTTTTACAGCTAAAATATGATTTTATAGAATATAAGCATCTCAACTTCTTTCTTTTTTGACTTTGCGTGAACGATCATTACGTGCATTTGACTTACAATAGTCCCTCCAAAGACATTCTAAGCTAAGATGGTTGTATCTAGTTTTTGTTCTTGGATTGTCTATCCAGGAAGAAATTATTCCGTTGGATCGGACCCTCCGTCTCTCCCGAACTGACCGGCATTGCCCTCGATCTCGATCAAGATCGATCTACATTGCCCTTCCAACGGTCCTGTCGATCCACAAAACATGCTAGAATCATGCGTACGAGGATGCTGTGAAGTCGAAATCAAATGAGTGAACTGAGCATAAGAAAAAGAGAACGATCAATGAACTACCCTTCAAAGTGATTACAAGCGGTCCGACATACAATTTGCCGAGTCAATTAGTAAGTTCCGAGGAAAATTAAGACTCTCTTTCCGCGTATGCACGCACAAACACTGTACTCTCTGTTTACGCCATTGCACATCTACAACTCTGACGAAGCTCTGCTGGCTGTTCTCGCCCCAACAAACACCACTGCCATATGGGACCTCAGTATAGAGGTTGACAACCATCATCAAACTTCGACAAATCCTTGATTGATGTAGATATGAGGTCTGTGAGTTCTAATAAGAGACCGAGGACGACGATCATTTCTGATCGAAGGCTGACATGAGACTACGGGTGCAAGTGTGTGCGAGAGAGAGTTGAGAGAGGGTGAAAAGGATTAGGATTTAGGGATATTTCCTAAAGTAACGCGTGAACGTTTACACAGAGACACATATTCAACGATGTGTCGAATAGGCTAGGAGATGCAGATAGAAACCCGGAAGCAGGCTCCTCATCCATGACTTAATCAAACTTGTCAAGAAAAATCAACTTTCTTCTCATTCAAACTTGATTAGGCGATAACGCATCGACTCACCGTGGAAAATCTTTGACTATGTCCCATTAAATGATGCGATGATCACATCCTATACGAGAGATCTCGGCACCAAGTTCTTTCTATACATCTCGAGGGGTTCCTTGCTCATTTTTCTCTCTTTTTGGTCGGTTGCTTAGATTATGCAGACATTTGTTTCAATATTGTTCAAATCTGGAAATTACGTCTTCAAGTCAACTCATGCCCCCTTGAAACTTCTTTACAACTCGAGATCAGACAGAAGGGAAGGTGGGGGTTGTATAGCTGGTCATGTTAATAGATAGAATCTTGGAGGAAACCAACATGGACCGAGTAAAACCTCAAGTGGGTTAGGTGGTTCTACCCACGCAAACGCTTATGATATTTCAAACTCACATTAGGAAACGTGTTTTGGAAAAAAGAGACCGAACCCCGATTTGACTTTATACATAAACTATTGATATGCATCAGACCTTGAATTCCGATCCTCTTAGCAGTACACCGTGTCTTGGCAGTAACATATTCCTCTTGTTCATCGTTTGTCCAACGTTACCATCGATAATAAACATCTCTCACAATCCCTTTCCTCTCCAAATCCAGGCCCTCTCCTTTCTCTTTCTCAAAACTTCAACCCCATCAGTTTGGAAGCAAGAGTGGTGCTTGAGGCTGCATATGTCGACAACAAGTCTCGTAACTTTGTCCCACTGTTTGACCGGCGCGGACGCCGGTCAGAGAAGCCGTTTGGTGACGTCGAGACAGATGGATCGTTGCCGGTTTGCGGATAGCCGGAGCATGGCATCTCTCTGCGCTCGACAAAGCACTCGAACAATGTGAGTGTTATCTTTATTATCCACGGTTCCGGATACTAATTTCTAAAATGGATTCTTCCGACTAGATATTGGCAGATTTAGAACTGATGTCTTTAATCTAGGGATGTGGCTGTTCGGAGCAGCATCGATCCGGTGCCTCATCTTCCATCCGATCCTTCTCCTAGTTCTTGGTAAGTTTTAATGGGTCCAAAACCTTTCTAATTGATAAAACCAGGTCCTGGTATAAAATACATATTCGTATGGTTTTTCTTCTTTTGTTTGCTAGCTCTTGCTGAAACTGGAATTAGTTCTTCACATGGCAGGAAATTCTGGGTTGTGGGGGTGTTTGTATCGGTGATTCTACCATTTTGGAGGAACAAATGGGGTCCCCTGTGGAAGCTGAAAAGTGAGCCTCAAATCCATAAGCTTGTTACTGTTGAAATCTTAGCATGACCGTGTTAAACATGGAAAAAAATTCAACTTTGAAATTCTGGCAGATGAGGTCGAAGCGGCGGTCGAGACGGTGGAGCACGTGACGGATATCGTGGAGGAGGTGGCGGACAAGGTGGAGCAGGTGGCGGAGGAGGTCGCCGAGCACCTCCCAGAAGGCAAGCTGAAAGACATGGTGACCTCGGTGGAGCATCTAGCCGAGACGGCGGGCAAGGATGCTCATCTCGCGGGAGACATCATCGATAAGGTCTCACCCAATCCCACATGTTTTCTTCATCAATAGTCAATCCCATCTCGGCACAACTTGCAACGTTGCTTGGAGTTGTTGCAGAACGTCTTAGATCTGCTAATCTGATTATACAATGTGGTGCTTACGAAAACAGCGTTTGTTGACCAGACTTTGTAAGGCTTTCATGAGTGGGATTAGTAGGGGCGCCTAATCACGTGCAGGAGGGTCAAGATAATCTTCATTTAGAACAAGTGTCCAATTGTTTATGAAATGCAAAAATGGAGAATCTCTGTGCAAAATATACCCACTTGCTGATATAACCTTTTGACCACCGCCATCTATGAGCTTGCTTAGGGACCTGGGTATTCAAAGTGAAGTGCATTACACATTACTTTCTCTCTAAGTCCTGCCTAACCATGTAATTAGTCCTGCTTAAAGGCGTTAATCAGGGTAAAACCATGATTAGACGACTGGCATCATTGCTGTTTCTTGTGCAATTGCTGGGTTTAATGGGGATTAAATCAATGAAATTGAATTGCAGGTGGAGGAAGTGGAGAAGGAAGTGGACTCGTTCATGGAGCCAGGCCATGTTAAGGACGGAGCTGGCGAAATCTCCAAAGGAGGGGATGAACAAGATCAGAAGAGCTAGCAGGGTTTCTTCTTCTTTTTTTTAAGGGAAATTATTGTTATTATTTCGTGTTTAAAGTAAAATTTTGATTTGTACCCGGTAGATAATTTTTTTTATTAAATAACCATAAAGCTCGATTAAGATAATCAAACTATATGTCCAGATTCAATAATAAAACATGCATCGATTCAAATCAGAACCACGTTGGTCCTGTCTTGACTCTCTCGTGGTGTAGTTTTGAATCTTTTTCGTGACAAAGTCGTTGAAGCAAAGGTTTGAAGAGTTGGGCTCTGACTCTGCTGCTGCCCATCAATCTCCATTTCGATTTGTAGTTTGCTTTCACGTCTCTCTAAATCGGGTTTCGTGTATATAATCCCGTGTCGAAATCATTGATTCGAATTTCGATGTGCGTCTCATGAATCATGAGGTCGGCATGGTATTTTCTCCGTTCGGGGCCGAGAGAGAGAGATTCCCGCCGGGACGGACCCTGTTAAGGGACTGGAGTTCAATCCGACCACGTTACGTGTGTTCAACTATCAAGATCAATCGGGCCAAACAAGCTTTATTGTTCCTCATATGTAACATGTGTTTATATTTAGTTTGATCAAACAGCCCTTGAAATGGATGGTTTCCTTTCTTTGCAATTTGATTGTTTGACACACATAGCTAGCTTGCACGTGCGGGTTTACACTGATTAACCTCGTAAAAGATATATAATTAGGGATTAAACACGATCCGGAGGGAGATAAATATATTTCTCTGCAACCGTTAATATAACATTTCGACTTATTGCATGATGCAAAAAACACTGACGATTCTATCATGAGAAAATAACCCCGCATCGTCCTCTGTCCGTCGTTTAAGTTGATTTGTTAGTTAATGCTCGTGGAGAGAACGATTCGCATGCATGCTTAGAGCTTAATCGAGCCGAAAAAGTTTCTTTTATAAATAAAAAAAAATCTTAACAAATCCAAGGCATTAGAATTCTAATAATTACCTTAATCTGATATGATTACAGCGATGTCGCTCAAGTAATGCAGTAAATATTCATAACGATTGGGTCATTTAATTTCAAAGAAAATTAACAATCTTTATATTTGGCAAGAAAATTGGGTTGGCAACATTTTTGAATCAGATTCGACAATTGATCGAACAGCTGATGCGCAAGCGATTGAGAAAAATCTCTTGAAGGCTTGAATCACTCCTAGAATTCCTTTTCCATCTATTTTCTGTGGATTTAATTGTAGATCCATAGATTTATAGCATGATTAGCAAATTGATGGAAAACCTACGCGACTCTCTTGTCCGTAATGACTTGAAATTTAAAAAAAAAAAAAATTCACGTGGAAGGCACATGGGAGTTTTGATATAAGAAGCCCATCGACTGTAAGTTTAGGATTTGATTGCATGTTCTTTCTCGAGCATTAACAATAACATTGGCCAAAATAAAGCTTTTATATATTCAGTTGATTGATCGTCAAAATGTTAAGGAGTAATTCCGTGCTCATTTCCTTCGTACTCCAACGAGTTAGTGCCGCCTCCGCACTGAACTACACGAGAGTAGCCCGTCCTTTGGTCGTCGAATCTCTCTTTAACGTTGATTGCACACTACTCGCAAAGAAGTATTATGACTTCTTTCATAATGCATCGATTAAAAAGTCTTTGAAAGTCATAAATTGGCTTGACAATTTACGACTCCAAGCACACTGATTATGAGGGCTAACTCCAAAAAAAAAAACACCAACTTTACTTTGAGTAACATTTCTGGTCAGAACTTTTTTTTATCTCAATAAAAAGCACCAACTTTCACTCGAGTCCAAAATTTGGCCCCCGTAATATAATTTTTCAGATTGTTCGAGCGAGATTCTAGCTTAAAATAAAAGTTGGTGATTTTTTACGAAACCAAAAAAATTCGAGTCAGGATTGTCGCTCAAGATAAAGTTTTTTTTTTTTGGAATTAAGCCCCGATTATGACCAAGTTTCCTGTTTTCTTTTTTATAAAAAAACCATGCTCTATTTAGAGCAAAACACTCGACAATAAGGCTGCGCATGGCAACCATTCTGTGCCCAGAATCTGATTCTGGGCAGAAATGATTCTTTTTGATTCTGTGCCTGGAAACAATTTCTAAGTATTTGAAGGCGTTTGGTAACTACCCAAAATTTTTGTTCTTAGAATAGAAAAAGAACAGAAATGCGTTTGGTAACTATACAAAATTTCTTTTTATTAATAATATTTTAATAATATTTTGAATTTTTTAATATTTATTTCTTTTTTTTCTCTTTTTTTTTTCTTTTTTTTCTTTCTTTCCCCTTCCTTTCTTGGCCATGGCCGCGCCTAAGCATCACGATGACCCAGGCCACAGCCAGTGGCGGCGAGGGCGACGCGGCCCTCGTTGCCGCTCATCGCCCGCCGCCCTCGCCGCCGCCACCCAAGTCCGTCGCCTGGGTGGCGACGGCGAGGCCGGCCTCGCCTTGGCTGGGCAAGGCTCGACCTCGCCGTCACTAAGTCGGCCTCGCCTTGGCCGGGCGAGGCCGCGAGCCGCCCTCGTCGGCCCTGGCCTGTGACTGATCGTCGGCGGGTGGCGGGGCCGAAGAACAACAACAACCAAAAAAAAGAAAAAAACCAAGAAGAATCAGTTTTGAAAATATTGTTCTAGAATCAAGAAGCAACTTTTTTTTTATTCTTGATTCTGTTCCAAAACTAATTCTGGGTACAATTTTTTGTAAAATTGTGCCTGGGCACAAAAAATTTAACAAACGGATTTCTGTTCCTAAACTGATTCTGAGAACAAAGAACAGAATCAATCACTATTTGACAAGTTGCCAAACAGGCCCCAAAATGCTTTTTTCTTATTTTCTCTTTTTCTTCTTCTTCTTCTTCTTCTTTTTATTTATTTATTTTTCAACGCGAATCCGCCTCAATAAATACCCTCGGTCTCGCTCAAACGGCTAGCAGCAGCCCCTTTTCAATTTGAATTCTCTTCCAGCGACAGCGCTCCAGAAAGAAACGCTTCCCCATTCTGAGTTCGACGACGAAACCCTAATTCCTTCTTCCCCAATTTCTCGCTGCCCGTCAATCTTTCCCCTCATCAACTTCGTCTTCTTCTCTCTCTGCGAATTCCCAATCTCCATTGTCGAAGGGGCTCTGCTTCCTTCTTTCGCCCCCCCCTCCTCCTCCTCGCCGCACCGACCAGCCTCCGAGGGGGGGAAATTTGCGGGGGGTTTTCCGGTGAGAGGCCGCGGAAAAGAATGGATCTTCCCCCGCAGATCGACGATTGCATCAGGGACGCGATCGATCACACCCTGGGCCTCCCCGTGTCGGCGCGCACGCTCGAGTCGAGGCTCCGCGCTTCCGAGGAGGCGCAGAGATGGCTCCGCGAGGAGTGCTCGCTCTTGCGCTCCAGATTGGACGAGAAAGATGGCCTCGTCGAGCGGGCTCGGGTAAGATAGCGCAAGATAGCGGCATTTTGATGTCTGTTTGGATAGATATGATTTCCCGATTATGTTGTTTTCATTGTGTTCCTCTCCTGGACGTCTCGGCGCATGGCTTGGATTTGTTTTTTTTTTTTTATAGATGTTGTTTGTTCCTGGTTATCTGGATGTGCAGGCAGAGTCGTGCATGAATGCACAGGCACTAAAGAAGTTTGTGGAGGAGAACCAGAGATTGGCGGCGGAATGTGCCGATTTGCTGGCGCAGTGCAAGAAGTTGGAGACTGAGTGCTCGCTTTACGACCATGATCGGGAGGCCCTGATGGATTTCGGGAACGAGGTGGAAGAGCGGGCCAAGGAGGCAGAGGCTCGGGTGCGAGAGCTGGAAGAGGAGGTGCGGCAATTGTCAGATGAGTTGCAGTATGTTAAACACAAATATGATACTCGTGAGGTATTCTGGAGTTTAACTACGTTTACTCATTTTCCCAGTTTGCTTAGTGTGTTTGTAAAGCGCTAATTTTTGCATTTTATGTAGCCTTCCGATTGAATAGGAGTGTTTTAAGTCCTAATTCGTTGATGGGTTTTGTTCAATTTATGAACCCTTGCAAACTAATGTTTTAAGAAATAAGCATTGGGTTGTGAACCAATGGTAAATTTAATTTCTTTTTGATGACCCATAGTTGTGGAGAGTTGCCATTGTTTGCAACATGACAGTAGATATCATATTAAACAATGATTGGTTGAAATGAAGCTGAATGCCTTGAAATATCGAAGTCGTAGTTTCTTGGCTTGGTCCATCTGTTTTCTTTTTGAAATTTAGTGAAGAATTGATTGCTTGTTAGCATATTGCTGTAATATCAAGAGGTGTTCTGGCTGTTTTTCCTTACATTGCCCTGCTGTTTTGTGGGAAGGGCTCTAGGCGGTCCTTCTTTTTTCATGAAGCAATGAGTATGCTTTAGTATCTATTGCATCCAGAAGTTCTTGTAAATTCATGTAGCATGGTAACATCAGATGAGTGTGCTGAAGTTTTCTTAAACTAGATTTAAGTTCCTTATTCCCTTCATTGAGAATCAGATCTTTTACATTGATTTTACTGAGGAAGTGTACTGAGGAGTAGCTTAATGCTTGGTAGAACATCAGAATACAATGAAACTCTAGATTCACCAAACTCTAATGTTCTAAGATGGAACACTTTATTAAGCAAGCTATGACCTGGATTAGTCACGATTTGGATCATACCATGTAACAATGTACGAGGATTATCTTGCTAAGGCGTCACTGTTTAGGCAGGAAAAAGGTTATCTGGAGGAACCATAACTTTAAGTATGCTGCACATTTCTACCTGTGTAAAAGAAAGAATGAACAGTAATGTTCTCTCTCATGGTAAAATAGCTCAATTTGCATGGATAAAGTATTCATCGTGGTGTCGTGTAAAAGTAGTTTGAACTCCTTGCTTTATATACAGTCATCAACTGTTCCAGCAAACATAGGATCTTTTTTGACAAGCTTATGCAAATAGTTAGGAGAGGCTGTTTGTGCGATTCTTTAAACAAAACATGGAGCTGGTGGTAGATATGAGATTACTATGCTTTACAACCCAGGGAAAGGGGAGTCCTTAAATTCGTTCAGTTCACTATGGGAACCTTTCTTCTGAACAGAGTTTTTCTTAGGTAGAGTTTTTTTCTTTTGCTTCACCTTACTAGGTGAAACTATTTTTTTTTTTTTTTCTCTTTCTCAATGTGCTTCTTGGTGCGGGCTAGGACATACCAACTTGACATTTATGTACACCACAAGGTTTTTTACTATTCATAAGTTACAGACGATTACTTATTGATTATATTTTTGAAGGATGAAGAGACTTCGGAGAGCACCACTTCGGAGGAGAAGCTAGTCGAATCAATCATCTCAACATTGGTTAGTAAAGATGCAGTAGCATCAGCATATTCATTTTTGGAGGCAAATAGTGCGCATGAATCATGTCGAGAATTGTTAAAAATGTGGAACTGGTGAGTGCTAATTTCTTTGGTTGCTTTCTATTTCATGCTTTGACACCATTTCCCACACTTGATTAGATGCAGCCACTTTCCCACACTTTCAATGGCACTATGCAAAGATGTCATTTACATCCAATGTGAAAATGAAGTTAAAGTGACACTCTTATTTATACTGTAGCCTAAGGCCAGCAACTAAGATGGTTCTTTCATTGGCTGCCGACATAAAGACACTTGAGAAAGATAAGGAAAATCTCAGAATTAACCTTCATAAAGCTGAGGAGGAGGTAAGAAATTCTTCGAGCGCTTGAATTGTTGTAAGATGTCTTTCTGAGAAAAGTCTTAGCAGTATCTTATTTTTGTAGGTAAATCTGCTGTTTCAAGAGAACAACGTTTTGGATGAAGAAAACAAGAGGTTACTGAGGCACTACCAGAAAGAAAGGGACATTTTTGGTTCTGGTGGGAGAATCACAGCTAGTGCTCCTGCAAAGGTTAGAACCAAGATGAGAGCTTTGCTTAATTTTGTGAACCTGCAATTCTGAACTCTTGCTAAGTTGACTTCATTTGGTTGGTTGCAGTCTAACAAGAGAAAATCTAGCCCTAAGATGAATAGCCCAGTTGAGAAGAGGATTGATCTCAGTGATGTGGATTCACCAAGACGGCCTCTGTCACCATTGAAACAGAACTCTCCTGATTCTAGGATGTACAAGAAGTAGTAGAGGCTCATCCACATGTATCAACTGACCCGATTTTCTTTTTTTGTACCCAAGCTATTCTTTGTACCTGAATAGTCTTTTCAGAATCAAAGATTAGATTGAAGTTACTGGCAAGATATGGGTGGTTATAGTTCTTGAAGCAACTTCAGTTTTCTTTTCCTTTCAACAAAAGAAATCTGGTTTCCTGTGATGTGATGCTCCTATACTATCTTGATTGATAGTGAATTGTTACGTTGTAACTCCTATTATTGTGCTTTTCGAACAGAATTGACGAGGCGAAGAAAGGCCTAATGATGCCACTGTATAAATCGTTCTGGATTGGCACATATTTAGAGCTTGGAGCTGGTGGATTTTGGCTCGTTTTTCGTCGACATCTAAAATCTATATCTGATGGAAGATTAGATGTCTCTACTAGGTGTCATGCTTTTGCTGCATTTTGGGATGTTGTGCCTGCTAAATTTCATTGGATGGTGAGTTGAAACAGTGCTCTTTCTGTTCATTTTGCATTTTGATGTTTCGCCGTGTCACTTTATTGTTAATTGGGTTAATACCACGAAAAACTCAAACTGATACACCTATAATAAATTTATGGGAAAATTCCAATTAAGGACCCCAAGTGGGGTCAAATTCTCAAAAAAGGGTCCAAAGTGAACATTGTGTCAAATAAGGGCCTGAAGTGCTCAACCAGTCTCAAATAAGGATCCGAAGTGCCCAAAAAGTCTCAAATAAGGACCTGAGTCACCGGCCGGCTAAAATACCTACGGCCGACGAGAAAGTTCTTGTTCCAAGACTGCAACAGAACTTTTAATTTTTTATTATTTTCTTTCTGTTTTTCCTTTTCTGTTTTTTTTTCTTTTCCTTTTCCTTTTCTTTTTTTTTCTTTTCTTCCTCAGCGCCATAGCCGGGCCGGCGGAGGTCGCGCCTCGGCGAGGCCGCCTCGCCGATCGGGCGAGGGCCACCTCGCCGGGCCGGGCGAGGTCGCCTCGCCGCCTCGAGCGAGGCCGCCCTCGCTGGGCCGGGCGAGGTCGCCTCGCCGGCCTCGGGCGAGGCCGCCTCGCCGACGTCGGCCCTCGCTGGGCCGGGCGAGGCGGCCTCGCTGCTTGCGGCGAGGTCGAGCCTCGCCAGATCTGGCGAGGGCTCGGCCCCGCCGGCCGCTGGCGAGGCTCAACCTCGCCGGTCTCGCCCGACGCCGAAGTTCGTCTGGTCGAAGCAAAGTCAAAGATCGTCTGGAATCGCTTCCTCTCGATGCCGCTCAAGGCGGCGATGCAGCCCCGGGTCCTTGGACGAGGCCCCGCTCCTCCTCCCACGGCTCGACCACGAACTTCGAGGCCGGAGAGAGAGAGGGCTCGGCCTCGCCGCATCGAGCGAGGTCGAGCCTTGCCAGCCTCGCCCGACGCCGGCGAGGTCGAGCCTCTCCAGCGGCAGGCGGGGCCGAGCCCTCGCCAGATCTGGCGAGGCTCGACCTCGCCTGCAACTGGCGAGGCCAGGCTCGCCTGACGCCGGCGAGGTCGAGCCCTCGCCAGATCTGGCGAGGCTCGACCTCGCCGACAACTGGCGAGGCCGGCCTCGCCCAACCCAGGCGAGGCCGGCCCTCGCCTAAGGCCGGCGAGGGCAGCCTCGCCTGAGGCCGACGACCTCCGTCGGCCCAGGCTATGGCCGGCGGAGGAAGAAAAGAAAAAAAAAAGAAAAGGAAAAGGAAAAGAAAAAAAACACAAAAGAAAAAATAGAAAGAAAATAATAAAAAAATTAAAAAGTTACTGTTCCGGTGTCGAAACAGTAACTTTCTCGCCGGCCAGCAGGTATTTTGGCCGGCCGAGGACCCAGGTCCTTATTTAAGACTTTTTGGGCACTTCGGGTCCTTATTTGAGACTGATTGAGCACTTCAGGCCCTTATTTGACACAATGTTCACTTTGGACCCTTTTTTGAGAATTTGACCCCACTTGGGGTCCTTAATTGGAATTTTCCCTAAATTTATCTTAAACTAATTTTTTGACCACCAAAAATCAAAAATTGGTACACTTATGACAATTTGACCCTAAACTAATTTTTTGATCTCCAAAAATCCCAAACTGGTACATTTGTGACAAATTTATCTTCTTTTAGTTTTCGTTAAATTGGATTAATACAAAAAAAAAATCTCAAACTGGTACACCTGGGATAAACGAAGGGTTAAACATAAAATCAGTACATCCGTCAATTACCGCGAGTCATTTAACAAATCAATTTGACAGTAAAATTTAACAGAAATAAATTGATGGTAAATTTGTCACAGGTGTACCAGTTTGTGGTTAAAAAATTAGTTTTGGGTAAATTTGTCACAGGTGTACCAGTTTGGGGTTTTTCGTGGCGTTAATCCTTTTTAATTTTATTTTTGGTTTAAGCTTTTGTATAGTTCATTTCGCATGATGATCGACCTAAATAGATGCAAAAATGCGGGAGTGACTTAATATTTTCTCTTTAAGCTATTGAACCGATGTAGTGCACTCTAAAAGGAGCTAAAAGGAACAAAACCTCCTATACGATGAATGGATTAGTGTCGTTATTTTGGGTCCATGCTTTTAAAGTTGATTTACCACGAACATCAAAGAAGGCAAAGAGGAGATATGGTAAATTCATCGGGAAAATTGTCTAAAAAGTCATAAATCTATTGCACTTTTGTCAATTCAGTCCTAAACCTTTTAAGTTTGCCAATTCAGTCATAAACCTTTTCACTTCTTGCCAATTTAGTCCTAAATGTTTTCACTTTTTACCAATTGATTCCATCTGACTAATTTTGGCCGGCCAGCGATGACGTGGCAATTTTTTGAATTTTTTTGAATTTTTTAATATTTTCTTTTTTTTTTCTGCCCTTCTTCCCTCTGGCCAGTCTGGCGATCGGATTGGCCAGAGGCGCGGGCCGGTGAGGTTGACCTTGTCGGCCTCTGGCAAAGCTCGCCCCTGCTGACCACTGGCAAGGGCGAGCTTCACCCGCCGCTGCTAGGCCGGCCTCGCCCAGCTATGGCAAGGCCGGCCTCGCCGTAGCTGGGTTTCACCTCACCCAGCCATGGTGAGACCGGCGCCGGCCGCGTCAGCGCCCACCGGTCAAAATTGGCCGGATGGACTCAATTGGCAAGAAGTAAAAAGTTTTAGGACCGAATTGATAAAAGTGCAATAGGCTTAGGATTTTTTGGATAATTTTCCCTAAATTCATTAAAAGAATCACTTCCAATATTTTTTTTATTCAATTAGCGTACACAGATTTATGATAATTTAAGTAAATATGTGAAACAAATGAATCAAAATATTGGTTTTAAATTAAATACGATAGTGGTTTGTGACGACATCAAAAGTAAAAACCCTCGTACATTGGAAATCATGCTAGGGCAAGGCGGGGGGACAGGACTGGCGGAGGAGGCGAGATATAACGGTCAAAGCTGCAACTGCCGCCGTCGCCTCCTCTTCTTCTTCGTCGTCGTCGTCGTCGTCGTCGTTTACTCCTGTTCCTTTTTCCTTTTGAAAGAAGATTTCTTTAACGACATTGGCTAAGCTCTCAAGCCGACGCGCGTCATCCGTCTCCAATCACCACCTCCCCCCCCCCCCCGGGCATCTCCCCTTCTCCGTAAGTCTCCCTCTTGTCCTGCTCTTGCAATTCCTTCTTTTGAGCTCTTCGTGCCATTGCCCGTCTTTGCTTGCTCTGTTTTTAAGTGTGGTTTAATCTTTTTGTTTGGAAAAGGTCGGTGTGAATACTTTGCGGGTGGTGCGGGGAGGGGATAGTTTCGATGGCGCTTCGGTTTGAGGTTAGGCTCTTGTCTGCTTTTCCTCATCGCTCTTTCTTTTCCCTCTTGTTTCGTTGTGGTGTGGTGGACCGTACCGACGTGCGTAGTTCTTGAAATGATTACGGACGTGGTTTCTTGAATGTGAAGCAAAGCGGACTTTTTGCACAGTGTAAGTGCTTGAGCGATGTGCGTGGAAGCCCAATTTATTGGAAAGTATGTTCGTTCTTGTTTCTTGTTCCTTCATAACTGGGTACTTAAGATTTTCCTGGCGGTCTCATCCTTGCGGTTGCAGTTCCTGATGTCAGCAGTGTGTTCCTCCCATAAAGGTGGAACTTTGGCGTATTCGCGCCGTGCTGCTGATAAGGGAGTTTATGGGAGTAGTGATTGCTTTTATGTGCGAGTTTGTCTTGCTTGATGAGTACTCATTGAACCAGAAGACAATGCAGCCGTTGAATGATATGAAGAACGGCAGTGTTACTATATGCAGCTAGTAAAAGGGTTGTTTCTTGTAACTAATGGGTGCACCGATAAACAAACTCTGTGCTTGCCTAAGCAAGAAGTCCAGCATGATTACTGAGAGCATGCTGATGGTTCATCCTTAATTACACGCTCTGTTACATCTCTGATTCGATGCTTTCATACTATTTTGTTCTAGGTTCTCGGGCGATTTAACCGTGCTCGTGCAGCTCAATTAACACTCCCTCATTTTGTGTGTCAAACGCCTCTGTTTATGCCGGTGGGGACACAAGGTTTGTCACGTTACCTGGAGAAGTGTTCACTCTTTTTGAGTTATCAGGAATACAATATTCATGCACACTTCTTTGATGTTCCCATTCCTAGCTTATAATTGGACGTTGAATATGAGTGCACTTCACAGGATGTCTTACTATGTTGACTTCCTATGGTAATAAACAGACTAAAGAAAAAATGAGACTTGCACAGCTATAGGTACAGTAGAATAATTTTGATGAAAGTGAGCATTGGGATATACTTTTCATGTGGTTGAGGTTGCTCAAGGTGGGAACTGGCTTTTCAGCTGCTTCATTATGTTGCTGACTCTAGGTAGTGGGGAAAAGGAGACTCAGTTAGTGAATATTGCTGGATGCAACTTGTATATGTGTGTCTCTTTCTAATTATACTTTGACAGCAATGCAACAGACATTTTGGAATTGTTCAACAACTTGGCTTATATTTCCCTTTGTGTGACCTGTGTAAGAAAGCAACTCTTCCTCTGTTCATTGTTTTTGGGGTTTTATATGTCTTGTAAATTTATTCACTGAACAATACGTAAGTAAACATGAAATAGGAGTACCTGTTCACTATAATAGTGTGTAACTCTTCAATTGATCAATTTGCTCTACGCCCAGCCCCTTCATATTCTGTATCCTGCTTTTTCTCTGCTTTTTTTTTCTCCTTGTTCAAGCATTCCAGCGCTTATAGAAAGAGGTAGCAGCGGTTGCAAAAATTAATGAGTACATTTTTTCTTTTAATAACAGGGACAATAAAAGGACTGACAAATGACCAGCTTGAGGAAATTGGTTGCCAGATAATACTGGGGAATACCTATCATTTGGCACTTCGTCCTACTTCTGAGCTAATTGACGAGTTGGGTGGTCTTCACAAGTTTATGAACTGGCCTAGAGCGCTACTTACTGACTCTGGTGGCTTCCAAATGGTTGTCTAGTATGCGCAAACATGCAGTTTTTCTGTGAATTTCTGTGATTATGTTGTCCCTGTACTACTAGATTTAATTGATAGTTTTTGTTTATCCCTTGAATATTTTCGTTAACGTAATAAATATGTGCATATGCTGATCTCTAGTAGCATGACGGTGTGCCCGTCTTTTTACCTTGCCAAAATTGGTCGTCTTTGTGTTGGTTTGAGTAGTGTTCTTTCTTCTTAGGTTCATTTATTTTCAGACAGATTTTTCTCTGTAGAATTTTAGCAATTTTTCTCAGTGGCATTGCATATATAGTCATCGCATACGATATAGTGTTACTAGGAGATGATTATTCCATTAAAATGAAAAATAGAGACCTTGATGCTGTCTCTTTGAAAAATGACCCATAATTTCGTGTCGTGAAATTAGAAGTCATTATCCTACTAAAGTTCTGTTTTAAATGTTTTACCTGCCGTAATTTTTAAGGTTTCTATATGTCTGAAATTGATACTATGAATGATTGTATTTTCAGGTATCCTTGTTGCATTTAGCCGATATCACTGAAAAAGGTGTAACTTTTCAGGTGATTTTTTAGATCATGGTTTTTCTTGGATGAGTCGTTCATAAAATGTCCATTTCATTAGGCTGGTTCTTACTTCCTCTTCCTCTCTTTTCTGCACAATGATCAGATCATTAACATTGAGCATAATAGGTGTAAGGAAAGTGAAACATATTGAATAGTTGGTGTTTTGTCTTTGACGGGTTTACTTTAGCAGCTAGTATATTCATACTAAACGTTGCCCGTTCTCTTGTCCTTGCTGTAATAAATGTTTTATCCGAAACTACAGGCTGCATCTTTGTATTTGAATCTCTCCAATACAATTCATCAACATAGCTTGCTTATTTGTACTAGTCCTATTTCATCCACTAGCTATTTTTACTAACTGTTTCCTATCATGTTCGTATTGGTTCTTGTCTTATTTGTTGAAACTTGTTTTTAATTCAGTCACCAGTTGATGGAAAGCCAATGCTTCTAACACCTGAAGAATCAATACAAATACAGGTAGGCAAAACTTCTTTAGCAATTCTTATGGACTTGATGAATGCCCGAGAGTTTTCCCCCAGGTTTTCTGAATTTCTTCTTTTATGAGCTTAAATATCTATTTGTTGGATATACTTAATTGGGGAATGAATAAGTATTAGCAATTGGATGCAGGCTTCTGGAATGTCTGCGTTAATGTTCTTAGGGAAATGATTGGAAATCCCATTATGAAGTTTCGCTTTGGCCATTTTGCAAATATCTTGTGAAATGTCTGAGTTTTGGGATGGAAATGTAAACGACAAATGGAGGAGATATTTATTCACATACTTTGTGTGTGTGCCTTGGATGTCATGCTCTCTACTTCTTGCTGCCATCTATTGTATTTACTTTCTGCAGATGATGACATCATCAACTGACCAATGAAAAAATTGAATTTGCTGCAAATCCATGGTTTGACTTTCATGAAGCTGATGAGCTGTCGTATGGATGTAGTATGTTGGGGCATACTGCCCTTGACTATGGACCTTGGACTTATTTTTCCAATACTTTTGGTTTTTAGGGGACACTTCTATGATCAGATGAAACTTAGTGATGATTTCAGTATTCTGTGGTTCAAAACTTGAACCTATTTATTTCTCTGGAGATTTCCGTTCAATCCTTTGATCCACTATTCTTGAAATATTATTAACATTTGAGTTAATTACAGCATGTTTACTGTCATACTTTCGGCTCATGATTAATCGAGGACCGCTTTCTTTCCCACTTTTCTAGTTATATCTGCTTTCATGTAATATAATGTACTGTTTAATTTGCTATCTTCAATGTGCACGTCTTCTAAAGGACATTCTCTGGATATCTTATTTAGTGTCGAATTTGCAAAAAATGAAACCATCCTCACCTACTACGTTACCTGGTAAAATAATTTATATTTTAAAAAAGACTGGAGAGAATGTCTTCTGAAGATGTGTTTATCAAAGGTAGCAATCTTTATCTGAGGCATTTTCACCCAAAGTATGTTCATACTTCTGTGCAACACCGTCCCCATCCCCAAAATAATTAATCAATCAATAATTAGTAGTAATAAAAACCGAGAAAAGGTACTGAAGAAACCTGACACGGTAGCTACATGCAGTAGTTTGAAATGGTTGGGCATACAACTGTAATAGCTTGGCTGTGAGGAAAGCTTGCCTTCTTTCTCGTGTTCTTTTTAAATGAGTCAATGGATATCAATGGATATCTGATCACCCTTGTCATATGATGAATATACAGAACAGAATTGGAGCAGATATAATAATGGCTCTTGATGATGTGGTCAAGACCACCATTACTGGTCCACGGATTGAGGAGGCCATGTATCGCACTCTTCGTTGGATTGACAGATGTGTAGCAGGTAACATCTAGATTTAAGTCATGTTTCCCAGGTAGCTATTTTTCGGATCTTCAATCCACAATAGGTGCGTAGAACATCCAATTTCTAATTAACAAAGCGGTTCTACTTCCCCCCTTAACTGCCCAGGTTTGGTGGACCGAAAGTGTTAAGTTACTGTTCAGAAAGTTACTTTAATTTTTGGATGAAGTTTTAATAACAGACTAGGCTTATCCGTTTCATGTATAGGTCTCAGATATATGATATTTCTTGAGTTCCTATGCAGGAAATTTATGTTGACTGTTAATATCTCCCTTAGAGGTCCTTTCAGCTCTTCTTCTTCTTCTTCTTCTTCTTCTTTTTATTTTTTTCCATTATGGTCTTTCATTTATCTAATCACATCAGACTGTTTTTAATGATATCTGCTGACAGCTCATAAAAGACCAAATGAACAAAATTTATTTGGTATCGTTCAAGGTGGTCTAGATCCTGTGCTTAGGTTAGTATTACTTCACGTTTCGATTCATTGGTTATTTCGCTTTCTATTCCTCTAATTGTCTCTTGTTATAATCCAGTACTAATGCCTCTTAACATTTATGTCTTTGCTGTAAGCAGAGACATATGTGTCAGAGGCTTGGTGGAGCGGAATCTCCCCGGGTATGTGCATTATGGTTTGCGTTGTCACTGATGATGCTTTATATATGACTTTGCCAGGAAGGAGTCCACTTGATTTAGGGTTAGTTGCATTAAGTTTCTAGTTTGACTGTGGAAATTGATTGTGAGTCGTTTTTTGTGGATTCACTTAGTGAAGAAAAATGGTTTATGAAGGCTTAGTAATTTAGGATAGATGCATTTATTTCTCTTTGTCCAGGAATTGCCTAGAACTTAGATGCATCAGTTGTGTGATGGACTGTTTGAGTATTTGGTTAAATTTGAGTGGAGTGCAGTAAAGACTCTGCTATTCATTGTTGGCACATACTTATACATTTCACATGTATGGAGATTGCAAATAGAGGAATTTGAATCTCCTAACTTGACAAAATGTAATCCACGATATTCTGGGGCAGGATGAGTTTTGGTTATTCACCCTTACTTTCTTTGTAGACTCAATTTGTGGGTCCGTTTCATTATAGAAGGCCTACAATTTGCATGATATCTTGGATTGAGTGAAAAGACCATGCAAGTGTTAAATCACGAAGATGTGCTCTTTATGTCTAATTAAATCTCTTTCGCTTCTTTGACCCAAAAACAAAATCTCTTTTGCTTCTGAAATTCAGATATTACAGTATGGTGTGAAATTAGAGATAAGTGACGTTATCAACAGATAAAAAAGACTGAATATAAAGGGACTAGAAACTTCATTTGGCTCTTTTGCAAGATGTGCATGAGGTATAGGTTCGCTAATATCCCCTTCGACAAGTGGGTTGGACTTTGGAGTGCTTTAGTAGACCAGTTTTGATTTCCTTTGCATGTGTAGATGTGCTCCGTGCAAATAGTTCGTCAATTTTGCCAAGCTTCTCTTTCTAATGTCTTCAATTAGTAAATGGAGGAAATCAAATTAACTGAGTTTACTTCTGTGACAGCTATGCCATTGGTGGTCTTTCAGGCGGTGAGGATAAAGATTCATTTTGGCGTGTTGTCGCTCAGTGTACTGCAGCACTGCCCGAGGATAAACCACGATATGTAATGGTATAAAAATACTTATAACTTTTACTGATAACCTTAAGACTTATGCCAGTGTTCGTGTAGAATCTCTGCTTTGTCTCCTCTTTAGTGGTATTCTCTAATACATGCATGTTCCATTTCTCAGGGTGTTGGTTATCCACTAGATATTGTGGTCTGCAGTGCTTTAGGGGCCGACATGTATGATTGTGTCTATCCAACTCGTACTGCTCGCTTTGGCACAGCTCTTGTACCTGAGGTAATAAACCTATCTTCTGAAAGATCTTAAAAGATCCTTCCTCGTTTATTGATCATAAATGGATTTCTGCACTTATTGATCATAGATATCAGCGTAAAACTTACCAAAACCCTCTTCTATTTACGTGTAAGGAACAATTTAAGTGAGTTGGTGGGTACCCAAATTCATAGTGTATTTGTTTTTCTTTCACTCGCGTTAATCTGTCATTCCAATCAGGGTGTTCTGAAGTTGAAACATCAAGCAATGGCCAATGATACCCGTCCGATCGATCCTTCATGTAATTGCATGGTATGTTCTCGATGGAACTAGATAATCTAAAATGTTAATGAAGATGCTTTTCTTCAAATATCTCAACCTTTTCCTTCCTCCCTGCAGGTCTGCAAGAAATATTCTAGGGCCTATATTCATTGCCTGGTTACGAAAGATGCCATGGGATCCCAGCTTCTATCATACCACAATTTATTTTACATGATGAAGGTATGGAAATACGTTAAAATTATTAATGGTTGATGAGGTGGCCGTTTGAGTAGAAAGTTGGTGTACTACTAATTGTGATTATGCTGTCTATGCCGTATACAACTAGCAAAAAAGAAAAAAAGCCATTTCTTTTTCGGGTCCTTGGTGAAGTTTTGAAATTGGATATTTCTTGTGATACAATGCAGCTCAGCAGTGATTTACACTCGTCAATTGTCCAGGGAAGATTTCCAGAGTAGGCACCTTTTTTGGCATAATTGAGATCATCTTCCCTCCTCCAGCCTTTCTTTTCTCCTCTATGCTCATTTGTAGTGGACTTCTGACAACTGTTCTTAATTCTGCTCGCAGGTTCGTATGCAAATTTCTGCAGAAAATGGTACTTCTATGGAAAATCTATCGTTTATGATCTTGCTTTATGATGTGCACATGGTCTCTCTCTTTGTCAGTTGTTGAACATTTACAAAATTGTAAAGACATTGCGTTCTTAGATAAATCCAAATATTTCCCACTTGAGCTCACCCACGTGTACGCTCGCACGCACGCACACTTGTGAAATCATATGTCAATTGGAAGACTTCTCTAAAATATCGACTCGGTTGATTAATGTGCATGGTGTTAATTGGTAAAAGTTAGAATCTTGCACTATTAAACCCAGTTCATACCTCTCATCTTGCAGTTTCCAGAAGGCGATGTTCCTGAATGGGTCTGCAATGCCATGGAAGTCGCCGGAATTGACATATCATCGTGCTGTTCCCCATTTTCATCTTCGCCAGAATATAGAATTTCAGAGATACCAACAGATTTTTGAAGTAGTTAGGCCAACAGTCTTAAAAGAAAAAGGCGTCAAACTGTGCAAAGGTCATTACACTGCGGCATAAGTTTTGAAGTCCCATATGCTGCTCCATTGGTAAATTTTTCTTTTGCTCTTAACCCCGATTCCTCTGTAACTTTTAAATCCACACAACTGGAACAAAATCCATAGCGATTGAGTAGAACCCTTTTTGGTTACCATGTACTTCTTTTCATCATCAACCATATCTTACGTTACATGCGAGCTGTTTGACTATAATGTCGACAAGAAACTAAAATCTCGGTTCAATTCAGATCTGTGTTGATTATTCGCTGTTGATGTTCACATCGATGAAAGGAACATGAACTGATACTTTTTGTTCTCTGAGAGCACCATGCAGTGTATGTTTGTATGTTTGTATGTTTGCATGTTTTATCTTCAACATATAGCGAATGGCGATTACTGCGAAACTGAGTTTTTCTGTGATAAGTCAGTCGCTTTGCAGCTAATTTTTGTATGTCATTTTCAATTTGCCATAGAAGTATGAAGCTTTTCATATAAGCATCTTAAATCTTCACAATCAGCCGTGCCCATCTTCACTGCAATTATTGGTACTGCTCGGCTGTGTGATGATTAGACGCAGACATGTCTTTTTGCCCTCTTTGTCAAACTGATTAGAAAGACAAAAGCACGGTCTTTCTCCCTTGACTCTTGCTTAGCTACTTGTAATTAGAGTTGCATCTCAGTTAGGAGAGGGGCCTTCTTGTGCTCGTGCTTTATTTCCTTTTTTTATTTCATTTGAGAAGGACGTGATCTGATTAGCAATAGGGCTTTTGATGTTGTGTGAAAGTTTGTCTCCCTCGGCTGCCGATGCAATCGAGTGTCGACAGGTGTGCGCCTTCTCGATCAGTGATTCTCAAGCATACATAAAATATCTTGCAAGCAGGACAGGGGCTTGCAATGGAAGATGATATGTCCTAAAGCGTGTTGCCAATTGCTTAATTTGGGCATGTTTGGTCACGAGACTATTCGACCATTGGCCTACGAGGGATTGAAAGTCTTTCAATTTTGGTCTCTTCCATTCCATTCCTTGTCGATGGGGTTATCCAAAGGGGGCTATACTTTTTTATTTATTCGGCTCTGTCATTTTCTATTTCTCGTCAGGCCATGTTTTTCTCCATCTCGATCGAAGGATGCCGACTCATAGTATATAAATATGGGGCAACATTCACATGTAAAATTGTCACCACCCGCATTTATCATTAATTACATCTACATATGCGTGATGTCGCACATATTTGCAACTCGCCAATTAAAACCCCTTTCAAGCAAGGATGGAGGAAAATAGAATTTTTCGTCCTTGAGGTCACACCCGTTTCTATCCATAGCGGGTGCTTACCAGTTCAAAGTTCAACTCTTTCGGTTAATAAGCGGGCACTAAAGTTTTCTCGCGTTTTTATATAACGGGAATGGACATATTGAGGAATGTACCAAACCGTATCGAATGAATTCACGAATTTGACGAAGACGACACTGAAAATAGGGATTAGTTATCGGGTTGTCCGATCCATGATCAAATTCTACATAGTCCATGTAAAAAGGTTCTGTTCTTTTTCCCCTACTATCAGTTCCTCTCTATGTAGTTTTTTCGCATCGAACACCCAGATGATGATGATGATGATGATGATGATGAATGGATGGAGACAATATAAGACTCGATTGTCGAGAAGCCACAAACGATGTCTGCCATGATTTTGGGGAGAATCAATCGTGATTGGTTCATCTTTTGCACGGATTTTAAGAGGAATGATCGTCTCCGTTTATACAAGCACCAACGTGCATGAGAAGTTGGTATACATCACCAATGATTTTACTTTTGAGAAAACACCACCAAAAATCTCAAACTATGTCACTTATGACAAATTTACCCTGAACTTTTTTTTGTGACTCGAAAAATCCCAAATTATACCACTTGTGACACATTTACCCCACAATACATATGTCCAAGGGCATTTTCGTCTTTTTCTTTTTTCTCATTTTTTTTTCCTTTTTTTTTCTTCTCTCTTCCCTCCGCCGGCCACGGTGGAGGGAAGCCGGCGAGGGCGGCCCTTGCCGGCGTTGGGGTTAGGCGAGGGTCGCCCTCGCCAGATCCGGAGAAAAAGACGAAAATGCCCTTTAACAAATGTATTATGAGGTAAATGTATTACAAAAGGCATAGTTTAAGGTTTTTTGTGGTATTTTCCCTTTACTTTTTACCTTTGAATTTTCCAACTTACATTTTTCAATTTCTTTTATTTTCGTAATCTTTTTTAACTTTGAAACATCCAACGTTTTTGGGAAAATGACATAAATAGTCCATAAACTTTCACTCGATGTGCAATACGGTCACTGAACTTTCATTTTGTTCAATGTGGTCCATGAATTGTATCCAAATATGCAATGTAATCCGTAAACTTTTAATACATATTCAATTTAGTCCCTATATTCACATAGTTTAGGGACTAAGTTAAACACGTTCCAAAAGTCCATAAACCACATTAAATAAATTGAAAGTTCATTGATCACATTGCACATTGGACTAAAGTTCATATACTATTCGTGTCATTATCCCTTTCTGAAAGCATAAGGTCAATCACAAAGTCTTTTGTAGTTTTACAAAAAAAAACAGAAATTCGATAGAAGATTCAAATACTAGGTTTAAAGCCCATATGAACAGAGGTACAATTTGTTGTTTTAGATGTGATAAGTGACATCGTTTGATACTCTAACTTCGTTACGAAATTGAAATTTTTCCCTTCGAAATGACACTTCAAATACTCAAAATCGAAAAACCCCAACAAAAAAAAACCCCAACCTTAGGTCCCCCTAAATCGAAAACCCATATGCACAAAGTTAAAAACCGCATAATACTATATGAAGCAGTCTCGATCTCGTGACCACTCATTAATAGTAGTTGCGTCTATCACCGCCGCCGCCAGTTCTTTTTTCCCAAATTTCATTATTCTCTCGTAAATAAGTTTTATCTTGCTTTGCATTCCGCCATTTTCCTTTCATCCAAAATATAGCTGCTATTTGTTTATCACATGTGGATTAGCCAAGAAAGCAAAAATTAGTACCCAACCACTCCTACCAACTCAAGAAAAAGAAAAAGGAGAGCTCAAGCAAAAAGAAAAATTCTCAAATTCGTCACATCGATCCACTCACTACAGCAGAAACACGTTTTGTTTTAGTTTACATAGATCACTCGAGGCATTCTAAATCCTCTCGTCTCTTTCCCCTCCTCACAAATTTTTTTCCAAATTCAAGATCAGACAGTTGTACAGACAGATGAAATTCAACTGCTGAGGTCTCTCTAGTCTTTAGAGCTCACTGGCCACACCAAACCCAAGTTCTGTTGAGCTCTGTTTGGTTTTGAACTCGACTGTTAGCCGATGTCTACAAGCATGTGGCCTTCAATGGATGTGAAAAGTCCAGGAGATGGTGGGCCTACTCACGTGGCCAACTTTTTGAGTAAATTCAAACTCAAAGAAAAAGCTGACCCTGCAAGAAGACAGTGCCGATACTTTCGCTTGTTCATATAGGTCACTATACGGGGGTCATTGCATATTGCATACAAGTTGTGTATGTGTGTGTGTATATGAGACATCTCTTTCTTGGCTTTGAGCATTTTTATCTTATTTCAGCTTCCTCCTCGAAACTCTCTCGACCCCATTTCATGATCTCTTCGCTTGCCTTTAGGCATGTTGTCTCTTTTAACAGTGAGCGTGCGTGCCTCACTTGTTGCAACAGCAAAGTTTTGGAGGAGGAGAACGAGTTGTGACAGCTGAAACACTTGCTTTTCTATTCTCTTTTCTCTTTTTCCCTCTCTTCACTTGGTGATTCAACTCTGCGCAAAGCAGCTGCAGTTAGCCGTGTTGATTAGCAATGAAGCGGAGTAGCTCGGAATCTTCGGATATTTGGATCTCCATGTGCCCAGGTAAAGGTAACCCACTTCGCTGCCGACAATTTCATGGAAAAAATTCTGCTTTTTGCAATGCTCAGTTTCCAATTCCTGTACAAGGTTGGAGTTTAGTCTTGTAATATCTTGACTTTAGAGTCTGCCCGACTATGCCAAATCCCATTTAGCTTCCCTGCTTTATGGTAGAAGGAAACGAGAGACAAGCCCACTTTCTTGTTGCCACTGCAGGGGAAAAAGTCCTAAAGAAGAACCAAGTCTACAGCATAGAATTCCAGGCAATGCTAGATAGTCTGGACCAAGAAGATCAGTCCGGGGAAGAGGCCGGCCCGATCGCCGAGAAGAAGCGGCGGCTCAATGCGAACCAAGTGAAGGCCCTAGAGAAGAACTTCGAGATTGAGAACAAGTTGGAGCCAGAGCGGAAGGCGAGATTGGCCGAAGAATTGGGCCTCCAACCGCGGCAAGTAGCGATTTGGTTCCAGAACCGGCGAGCTCGCTGGAAGACCAAGCAATTGGAGAAGGACTACAGCCTTCTCAAGGCCAGTTACGACAACCTGAAGCTCAATTTCGATAGCCTCGAGCAAGAAAAGGAGTCTCTAGTCGCAGAGGTACTGAAAGAACACCTTTTCAGTCAGCTTAGCATATGTCTTCGTCTTCGTCTTCGTAGCGGCATTTTCCGCACCCAATTTCAGTTCTTTCTGCATTCTAGCGATAGGCGTCGGTGCATTCTCACATTTCGAAAAATTTCTGCATTGCGTAAGTATGATATTGACGCATACCAGCGGCCGATGGACCCAAAATTAGGTGCCAAAACATCACGGGGTCCTTTCAAACTGGCATCTTCAAAATTCAATTCTTGATCGTAGCTTCTTTGGATTGCGATTACTTTCACGAGTGAATCAAATTTGCGAGCAGATAAAAAGCAGAGCGTAGAATGAGAGGGAGGTCAAATGTTTGCAAATATTTCAATGTTTGAGCTTATAATGAACGACAATTCTACGTTCTTGCTGTTGTGTGTTGTGCATTGCAGCTAACGGAGCTGAAGGTAAAGCTCCGTCGAGAATCGTCAGAGAGCAGCAATCACGGCGAAGTCAAACAAGAATCCCCCATCTCCGAATCCTCCGAAGATGGCAAGCCCGGCTCGTGCAGCGAATCCGTCAAGGACGACCCCAACCCGAACCCGGAGCTGCCCACCTCCCCGGCGGCTCCTCCGCTCCCTTTCCTATACAGCAGTTGCTCACCGTCGTCGCCACCGCCGTCATCCTCATCGAGAGGAACGACGGCGGGGAAGGGGTATCACCATCATCAGCAGGTGAGGATGGAAGAGCATCACCATCAGAGCGGGTTCATTTCGGAGGAGTCTTGCAACTTCTTCTCGGTCGACCAGCCTCCCACGTTGCATTGGTACTTCCCCTGAAGATCACGGGCATTTAAAAAAATTCGCCTAGTCAAATAATCCTGGGTTTTCCTTCTTGGAAACCGGAATGCCATGCCGTGGTCGAGCTTGGGAGTCGGCAACATCGGAGTCTTCCTTCTTACCCTCGAAGATGGGGAAGTGGAATTAGATTGGATCTCTCAGCATAATCTCTGACAAGCAAAGAGTCTTGAGTCTCTCCCTCTCGCTCGCTCTCTCTGTTTCTCTCTGTGCTGCGTTGTTTTAACTAAAGAAGAGTAGTAGTGGTAATAAAGTGTTTAATGATTGGCAACTGTGCGTGGCATGGGGTGGTTCTGAGCCCCTGACGTTGTACACCCGTCCTCTCTCTCTCTCTCTCTCTCTCTCTCTCTCTCTCTCTCGCCCCCGTGAGCAATCGAATCAGATAAAAGCTGAAGCCTTTCACGGGGACACAGCGTTGCGGGAGGCAGAGTTCATGAGAGTACGAGCAGTCGAGCACCATGCTCATTCGCAGAGACACATCTCTCTCTCTCTCTCTCTCTCTCTCTCTCTCTCTCCTGTGTGCGTGCAGATGAAAAGACAGTTGCTCTTCTCATGATGACGATCTAATCTGGGACTATAATTGGATGGAGCGACACGCATGCAGAAGAGAGAGATGGGGCTAACAAGAACCGTTTAAAGAAAGATGGAACGAAGAGAAGATAAGTAAAGCATAGGAATTCCTTCGGCCAAATCCAACCCGATTTTGCTATACAAATGTGGAATTTTCTTTTTGCCATATCGTTAGCACGTTCTCCTAATTCCTACTATTACCTTGGGCAAGTTGAAAACGGAAAGAATGGCTTTTTTTCTTGGTAACTATTTACAAAGAGAATAGCAAAGATCAAAGTGACAAAATCAGGCTCGACTCCATGTGTCGATATCTATGTTTTGAAAGGTTTCGCCCGTTTCGTGTTTAATGAAAAGTGAAACTGCAAGAGTCACGAGATTCGAAGCAAAAAAAAAAAAGAAAAAACAAAAAATCAAGGTCAAAGTCGCTCCCCATGCATCTACATGGAAAGCTGTCTCGTTTGACGAACTCCCAAAATGCGTGATAGTCGTAGCGGAGGCGGGCGACGGCTCGACAACCCAGGCAACGACGACGTGTTCCGATGGTCAGTGATTGTGGCGCCGTGCGTTGGAGGGTGGAGCGCGGCCTCTGCAGGTCTCAAGAAGAGAGAGAGAGAAGCTGAGGGGAGGGTTAGAGTGTTTTTTTTTTTTTTTTTTTTGGTGCTAAATGGATATGGTTAGAGTCAATTAAGCGAGATCTTAATATCACGAAAAACCCTAAATTAATATATATGTAATAAATTTACTTCAAAGTAATTTTTAACCTCAAATTGATACACTTGTGATAAATTTAATCCAAACTAATATGAATTTCCGAATGGACTTGCTATGTCAATTGAGTCATTGTCATGTAAATGTTCACAGTAAAATTTGACGGAAACTAACGGATGATAAATATGTCACGAGTGTACTGATTTGGCATTTTTTGTGATCCAAAAATTAATTTTGGATAAATTTGTCATAGGCACACCAGTTTGACGATTTTTGTGATATTAACCCATAATTTTTCAATGGAAAGTCGGATATATTTTCGGCAGTTTTCCCCAAATATAATACATGGACTAACTAAAATCGTATGCCGCTAAGGTACATAATGCCAACGTATTGTTTTGATTTGAAGGTTTGAAAGTAAAGCTTTCTTTTGTGGACTTTCGTACGTAACCTTGGAAAATCACACGGGCAAAAGATGCCAATTAGCTGTTTTGTCTCCTTCTCGTATCGTTTGGAATTCCTGGAAAAGTACCAATCACCAAAAGCATATACCGTTCCCCCCAACGAGTTAATCGAAAAGCTGATGCCGACCCACACATCTAACCTTTTTCGGTGTCCCGAGACTAAGTCTACTCGAAACCCTAGTACGAGTCAACAATCCCTAGGATGCTGGGGGCTACCTCGTATAGCACTGGACCATGTAGATGATGGTTTAGTCTAGGTCCTACGGTATAGGGAGCTTATGCCTGTGGATTCCTCGTATTCGTATACGATTAAGGTATCACGTGATGGGACCGCAAAGATCGAGCTCGTAGAGACGAAGATGGAAGAATTTCTGCAATGCTTAACTTAGGAGGAGAAACTACATATATAGCGTATTTTTTTATAAGAGAATACAGCAAGTAGCGGGCAAATAAGAAGGGCCGCGACTCTCGCCGCCAGCCCCCTTTCGTTCCGTTCATTGCAGAATCACAAAAACCACCCTTCTCAAGCTTTTTATCACGTGGATTATCTAGAAAGAAACAAGAAAGCGGGCCTTAGTCGTAATTGAATGATACATGTGCAGCTTTCAATGAGAGGTAACTTCTTACATTCAAACTTCTATGCACATCTTGTTCTAATACATATTTATCACGTGGTAAACACAAAGTAACAGGGTGTTAATTGGGATGTGTCCATGTTCGAGGTACGTAACGGAAATCCTAAGCTCGAGCGCGAGTAGACCGTGTCGAAAGTACCCTTTACAGCATTAGTCATTCTTTCGCATCATTCGCGCATTACGCCGCAATTTCGACATATGCATCCCGCCCGGCGACAAGGCCCATCTTTTGTTTCTTCCGCGCCCGTCCATACACGGCCTTTTTTTCGGAACGCGCAGCGTCCCTATCAGCTCATCAACTCGACGGATGCATGGCGAAGCACCATCCAAAACTCACAGATACATCTAGCAATAGCAATAGCAATAGCAGTAGCAGTAGCAACAGGCGCAATCGCCAGTCAATGCCAGCAGCGAAGGGGTCGTTTTGCATCGAAGCTTTCAGCGACGGCCACGGCCAAGGTGGTCGCCATCGCTAGTCACTGCTGCTACAACTTCAAGGGTCGACGTCGTGGGCTGGGGGGGGGTGCGAACTCATGGACGTGGAGATGACCCACGTCGCTTTCCGCTTTGCCACTTTAAATACGGAAAGAGACGGACCATAAAGCTGGTCCGCCCACTAGGGGGGCTCCCCTCCCCCCCCCTTGCTGCTTTCTTTTGTTTGTTCTCGGGGACTGTTTAGCGACCCCCTCCACCTCCCCTCTCTCCATGGCCAGCAGACGTCTCGATCGGTGTCAGAAGGGCGGGCGGGGGTGGTGGTGGTGGTGGGGCTCCATCTTCGCTAGCCATGTTTGACTGTCTCGGTGCACTGTGGAGGAGAATCTTTGGGATAGGGTAGGGGGGGCGTAGCGTTTTATGGGGGGTCTCTGGTTTCGCCGTGTCTTGTCTCTTTGTGCAGCGGTCGCGGGACGTTCCTCTCTTCCCCCCACCCCCCTTTTCATTTTTTTTATGCCCCGAGGTAGGGCTCACCTGGGAGCGGCGATTCTCTGGGTGTCGGGCGTCCGCACCTGTCGTCGAACGAAATCTGGAACAGGGGGGCCTTTGGTTTTTGGATGTTGGTGATTTGAAGCTTTTTTGTATTGGGACATCTTGACCCGTCTTATCTCATTGATATGCGTTCCTTCTGATGAGCTGTTCCGGGTTCGTGTATGGAGACACGGGTGAGAGTGGCTAAGGCTAACCCTCGGACTAAAGCAAAGAGAGGATTCGCGTGCCCCTTGTCTATGACAATCCGGCTCGCGCGCGATGCCTCGATAAGGGCGGTCGGACGAGGTCAATGTGGGTCGGGCAACGTCGCCCGAATTTCACCCCCTCTGCTAGCTGCTTTTCCAGGGGGCGACGCTAACGTTTGCGGTAGCCTACAAATTGGTCGAAAAATGGGCGGAGTATACCGATTGAAAGTAATTTAGAAACTCGAAAGGCCATCAAATGATACGAGGATAGGATTCGATCAGTGATTTGACTTGATTACGTCGTTTTGGTGAAGCGAGAAATCCCAACAGCGCCCTTTTTCCACATTGGTTGGGAATCTCCATATTAATTTGGCGATAAATTAACGAGACAGGTCTTCTTCCTGAAGCCCAGTACAAGGCCCATTTCAAGGCCCAGCCCAAGGAGAAGCCCTTGGCCGAGGAAGAACTCGCCGGTCCGGGTTCCTTCCTGCTTCATCTCGAGCTAGGGCCACCTCCCGCCGCCGCTGTCTCTCTCTCTCTCTCTCTCTCTCTCTCTCGTGTCACCGGCGGCACCATCACCAGTCCACGAGCTCCGACGACGACGGTCGCCGCGCCGCCGCCAGGCCCTCCACGAGGTTCGGCGCGCGGCTCGCTCTCTCGCGCAGGTTGGACTTCGAGCGGCGTCATGGTTTTCTAGTTTTATCCGAAATTTCTGTTTTTTTTTTTTGTCCTTTTTAGTAAATGTGATTCCTGCGATATATCTTGCCGTGTTCGTTGATGTTGAACAGATCGAATCGCGGCGGACGTCGGTCGACCAGAACACCGAACGAGGAGTCGTGTAGGATTTGTTTCGCCGATTGTTCGAGGTTTGAATCCTAAACTACTGATGTTTTAGTGTGTTTTAGATGTTAATGAAGTGAAAGAATGGTGGAGGAACGTGAATTTTATGAATGTGGTTGATACTTTATTATTGATGACTGGCTGTGGATAGGCTGAGCCGAGTTTTGTTGTGGCTATCGGCTGTTATAAATGTTAAAGGACTGATTTTTTGAGTACATGAACTCATTGTTAAAAAGAGCTGGGGTACTTCCGTGTCATTGCATCCAAATGGAACATGTTGGACCCTCCGTTCGCCTATGCAGTTGCTTGATGATGAAGCGTCTTCAGGCTTCAGCATAAGATTGAAAATTGGACCTCCGTAAAGTCGAATTTTCCCAATATGTAATGAGACCCTCCATCTACATGACATCACAACCTAAGGAAATCCTATCTGTCATGGAATCCTGAAAATGGGATCATCGGTCGCTGCAGAATATGCCCTACTTTAGGAATTAAGATGAGTCCAATTTGCGAATTTGTTATGATTGTCTCTAGCTATGGCCGTAGTACTACACCAGCTTAGCTCTACTTGGGTCTGTCATGATTGCGTCCTTGTAATTGGAAATCCAAACTTAGCTGTACGTGGGCCTTTTAAACATCATACGTGGTGATGATTTTTGTGTTCCGTTTGGCTTTTTCTAGCTTGCTTGCTTTCTTTGAGGCATTTAAGAGACTAATCTTGAGGAAATTATATGGACATCTTTTATATGAGTAATGTGGTTAGTCGACTTTTGCTTTAAACTACTCTTGTTCGCCACTTCAAATAGCAGACTAAAAATCCTCACCCGGGGATATTTCTGAAGCCGCTTGTGATATTCGGAGGGAGGGAGAGAGAGAGACGAAGAGAGAGAGAGGGAGAGAGGTTTATCTCTCTAGTTTTTGACAAACTTTATTGAAATCACAATCTGGTTTTTGAAAATATCCTGTTTTTTGTTTGGCCAGCAAAAATATCCATTTAGTTACATTTTTCTTTGAGCGCTGAGGATTTGGATAACACAAAAACTATAAATCCCACCTTTCATTAACAACTAGAACAAATTTATGTTTGTATCTGCGATCAAACTTTAACTTTTTTTCCCTTTTCATTCTTCATAGCTTGTTCTTTGAATGTTCAATATCTTAGCCATTTGACACTCTACAATGTGTTGATTAAGTTTTTTTATTTGTAAGACCGTATGGTGTTATTATGACTTATGGCAAAACACTGTATGAGTAAAAAGTTGAGGTCATAAAGTCCATTTCATGTTTCTCATATTGAATTCCAGGTTGTCCATTCACTGCAAAGAGAGAAAAAATGCCATTGGGATTGATACTAGGGTTGGGAAGGGCATTTAGGAGGAAGCGTACATCATCGCTCGATATTCTTTCTTCAAAACGTGCTCCAAGAAATTACTACAAGGGAAAGAATTGCAAGCCAACTGGTTTTCACACGCGCAAAGGTTTGTATACTTTTCTTTCCTTTACTCTATGTTGTAGGGCCCCACAATGCTAAAAGTATATAATAAATTTTTTGCTCCTCCTTTGAATCTATATTGCTGTTCTTAAGATAACACGTACCATTCTTAGTATGTATTGTTATGTCATGTTATGGATGACATGAAGTCGAAGAGTGTAGAAGATATAGGTTCATGGTCCTTAGGTGGTATCCCTTATTTGAACATACTGGAAGTGCAATCATAGAGTGGTCGCGCTTTTTTCAGGCGAAAGGCGTTCTTCTTATCACAGTGTGCATCCTTGCTATGACGAGTAAAAAAAAATGAGCATCCTTTGTTTAAAGATTGGCCCTTGTCAGGCTGCTAACTGTTTCTTTCAGCATGAGTATTGTTCTTAATATACTGTTGGTATTTTCTGCACAAGTTGAACCATTCCAAATATCATTTTATTGCAGGTGGATATGTTGTGATGCAGGAGAAACTACCAAACTATATAGTTCCCGATTTGACTGACTTCAAGGTACCCTTAAAGCTCATTAGTCCCTATCCTCCCCATACCCTCCTTCGAACATCCCAACATTCCAGAGTTGACAAATAAAGCGAGTGGTGCATTTCTATTATGAGTGACTTCAAATAAATTCGCCATGCCTTGTGATTATTAAATGGCCCTTTGTTTCTTGCAGCTGAAACCTTATGTGTCTCAATGCCCTATAGAAGTCAAAACTACCGAGGCCACTGATGCAGCTAAATAGACTAAGAGCCATTAGAAGGTGCATTTTCTGCTGACCTTTTCCATTCCGACTTTTTCTTTTTCGTCTTCTCTTTTTTCTCATTTTTCTGTTTGACTTTAAAAGTTATTGCAATGGATTCTAGTTCAAAGCCAGAAATCTACCTTAACATTTTCGATTGATACTTCGTCAGATGAAGATTATTTTCTCATTCTTGGTCATCTCGAAAGTGGTTTCTTTTAGTAATTTTTTGTGCGCCAATTGAACTTTGGGTTAATACCACGAAAAACCCCAAACTGGCACACCTGTTACAATTTTACTCGAAATTAATTTTTTAACCACAAAAACCCCAAACCGGTACACTTGTGACAAATTTACCCTTGGTTTGTTTCCGTTAAATTTTATTGTCAAATTGTTTTGTTAAATGACACACGGCAGTTGACTGATGTACCAGTTTTATGTTTTACCCTCCGTTTGTCACATGTGTACCAGTTTGTGATTTTTCGTGGTATTAATCCAATTTAATGGAAACTAACGGAGGGTAAATTTGTCACAAATGTACCAGTTTGGGGTTTTTTGTGGTCAAAAAACTAGTTTGGGGTAAATTTGTCACGGGTGCACCAGTTTGGGTTTTTTGATGGTAAAAAATTTAGTTTGTGGTAAAATTGTCACCGATGTACCAGTTTGGGGTTTTTCGTAGTATTAATCCATTGAACTTTTGAGTAAACAAAAACGTGGTGACACTGCCCTATCACCGTACCAATGTCCTAGCTAGCGTAGCATGTTTGAAATATGCTTCATACTGGAGAAAAAATGCTGAATAATGAGGTTTCACCTTTCCCTTTATGTGGGGAAGAGGATGGAATTCAACTATTTGGATTTCTCGTTCCTGTTCCATTTCATCAAACCCAAGTTCTAGATAAGTGATGAAGGAAAGGCTATTGCATCGTTGAAGACAGGTGATGACTCATTAAAGTTTCTTGCGATTTGACCTTGTTAGAAAGAAACTAATATAGCAGGATGACATTGTCAATTTCATCATAGAAGTTAAGAAAGCACAAATGAGAAAAAATAGTTGAAACAAATGGTTGCTTTTATTAGATGCTAAGCATATATGAAGGGGGATGATTTATTTATGGTGAATACTGCAGATGGTACCATAAAGAAAGATGAAACACCCTATTAAATAGGACTCGAATGGTGTGGGACTAATCTAAAATAGTTTGTGTTTGATTGGATTGTGATTGATGATTGAACATGAGTGTTACTTCACCTGCTAAGTTATAGTGTAGTTACACGTAATACATTGATCTCAGAACTTGTTTTGGTGATCTTTTGTCGGCTAACCTTAAATTAAAAATGTTTCACTGCAACCTTTTTGATTTTTGTTGGTTCTTTCAAAGGGAAATGATGCATGATTGCATTCAAGGCATACTGCAGAAGAGTTTGTGGAGAACCTTGGAAGTTATGCTTTTTTCTGTCTTTCTTTTTTGGCGTGGAGAATGATGTCTCAAAACAAATTTAATGACCTTTTTGTGACCGCTAAATTTAATTACTTTAGTTGCTCCAATCTAGGTAGGAATTATGAACAATAACATAGATGAAGCTGTGTAATCGAGCAGCCTTTGTTGTTTTGTACATGTCGATATTGTTATGATTATTGAACCATTGTCCTTTTGGACCTTTTGAAGTAAAATCTCATTTAACTGTAATGGCATTGTATCAATCTATCTGCCCTATCATTACTAATGTCAGTAGTTTTCAGGGGCGTTGATTCTATCAGCGAGAGTGGAAATTCGGTACCACTGTACGATCGCTGCAATCCTTGAAATCATGGCCAAAATATCATCAGCACACGTGTCAAGACGAGTGTCGGCATGAAATTATGGTCACCATTTCTTTTTCGGAGTACATTTTGTTGTTTCGGTAGATAAATGCAGCGTCACTAGATCAATATACCATTATTTCTTGCGAGTGTTATGCATGTCCGCCATTGGAAAAGACGACGATGCTGCGGAGGATGATGTAGTTAGAACATTCGATTGAAATACTCTGGATAGGCATTTACGCAAGTGATTTTTCATTCTTCGATCTTGAGCTGCGTTTAACGTACGAGATAAAAGCACGTCTACAAGATCGTAGGAAGAGTTGCACTTTGGTATCTAAACTCGCGGGCTGAGTTTGGGACCTCATTTTTGTTTAGAGCGTGGCTTTTTCTAATGGGAGTAGTCTACTTCACTACAACCTCGATCTAACTGTCCAAGCCCAAAACAATGGCCATCAACCAGATTGACTTTGTCGAATCAGTTTGGTCTATCAAGCGTTATCTGAAGCCCCTATCAAAATTGCCTAATCCAAAGGACAGGAATCAAAGCTAGTCGTTGGCTGATTTCTTCTTGCCCACTAGATAATACCAGAGAGAAAACCAACGCAGGTACAGAATAAATGATTAAAACATTGTCTATTTGTGAGACCCAAAACAGGCTTCGTAAGCAAATAATGGAAGTCTACAAATTTTTATGGGATGTGTAATTAAGGTTTCGAAGATCAAAATATTACTAATCGGCACACTTGAGAAATGCTTCAAGAACAGACAAATACGATGTTCAGCTCTGAAAGCGAGGTTGACCCACCCCCACTTTCCAATGCGATGATCGTTATATGGCTCTTGTCGGCATCCTTCATTTTTCCTTTTCCTTGCTTCCACTTCATCGGTTTTCCTTGGACTATCGTTAATTTTATCAAACATGTCCTTATTAGGGTTAGGTAAGCCAAGATCAAGATTCCTAATGACCCTCCCCAAAAGCCCTCTTGCTTTGATGTTGCTCACGATAGTGATGTGGAGTGAACTAGTAAACAAGTCAATGAAGTCCACCTCGAAACCTACTTTCCCACTTCTTCCACCAACCTCTTCTTTTTTCCAATTTTTGCTCCGACAATTTCCCATAAAACCAGAGAAATTTACCAATTAATGATCTTGATGCCACTGAGGATTAGTAACTCCATTTCTCAAATTTAGTGGACTTTGAACGGCCACCATCTTAAAATAGATGGTACATGTCAATTCAACTGTGAAGTGTGGAATGGATGTAATCATAGAGTGGGTGAATAATCTATATGTGGATGGTGCTTGTACACCCGAATTGTTGCCGTGTTTTGATTATATAGATATGGACTACCTATTTCTTAGTTTTCTTGCTATCCCTTCAATCTTCGACTCAAATTATAATAAATCGAACATACGATGTTAGATTAATGAGGAGATGTTGATACATGTGTCTATCCAAAAAAATTAATTTACTATTTGTTCAATGAAATATTTTCGATGGATCATAGAACACTTTACGAACTTTACTAATGCATACTAATAATTCCGTTTTCAAAAGTTGGAGATATATGACCGATAGACAATGGTAGAAAAATCCTTTATTAATTGAAGATTCACAAATGAGAGATGAAGCAGCTCTACGAAAATAATGTATCAAAGCAACCATCAATTGACGGAAAACGCTATTGAATAACTGAAATTTACTACCCACCAACTTCATTAATGATGCTATGGCAACCATGGCAACCTCTAACCATTCAAGAAACTTTTAGGCATTGCCATGGCAACCTCTAACCATTCTCTTCCAACTGACTTTGCTTACCCTATATTAGATCGGATTAGTCGTCGCTCAACCGGCGAAAATGGAAAGAACGAAAGGATATGCTAAGTACCCGTTACACGATACGACGTAACCTGTACCTTTTTTCACATTCAAATGACTCTAATCAAAAGTACCTTCAATTCACAATTTGAGAACCTGTGGACCTCCAAGCTTGTGCACATTCTTTCCTGTGTACTTCCCAAGTGGTGCATTGGCTTAAGGGTGAGGAGGTTGACCCATTCGACCCTACGTCAACCTCAGTGCGCACCGAGCGATGATGACTACTTGGTGGTTTCTGCATTTTTCCATTTGCTTCTGATTTAGGGGTTGAACTTGACCTAAACGGCCATTGGCCTCTTGCTAAATTGCCGGGTCCAAGTCATCTTCAGTCACCCAAAGACTTAATCAAAGCCTTAACAAAAGACCAAAAAGGCAAAGACCTGTTGGCGTCAATGGAACGACACGCATACATGGAGAGCCATTCGCGCCACCAGAAATGGTGGGTTTTGAACAGCTTGGTGTTTTCCTACCTTTCAATCCCATTGACTTCTTTGACGGATATAAACTAACACCGGGTTACAAGGCAGACTGGTTCACAAAGTTGCTATATATTGATTGCTGTGTCGGACCGTGCATGGGACTCTAAGGGCCCGTTTGGTAATGTCTTGAATAGTGAAAATTTACTGTTCTTTTGTTCTCGAGAAATAGTTTAGGAACAATGCGTTTAGTAAACTTTTTGTTCCTTGTCACATTTTTACAAAAATTTGTCTTGAAAGCTTGATTTTGGAAGAGAAACAAGAAGTAAAAAAAGTTCTTCTTGTTTAAACAATTTTGAGAATCGGTTTTTTTTTTTTTTTTTTTCTTATTTTTGTGTTGTTCTTCCCTGGGCTGAGCCGGCCGCCGGTCGCCGGCGGCCGGCGCGGCAGCCCACAACCCGGGGCCGGCGAGGGCGTCACGGCCCTCGCCGGCCGCCAGCAGGCGAGGTCGCCCTCGCCGGCGAGGCGAGGGCGAGGTTGGACCCTCGCCGCCCGGGCGAGGCGGCCTCGCCCGGATCGAGCGAGGCCAAGCCTCGCCGTCGGTCGCAACGCGGCGAGGTCGGCCTCGCCTAGAGATGGCGAGGCCGCCTCGCCCACGCGGCGAGGGTCCGCCCTCGCCTCTGCCGGCCCGGCCGTGTGCGCCGTCCCGATCGCAAACAACCGGCCATGGCCAAAGAAGAAAATGGGTAAAAAAAAAAATTTAAACAATTCAAAATATTATTAAAATATTATTTGGAAACAGAAATTTTGTGTAGTTACCAAACGCATTTCTGTTCTTTTACTCTAGGAATAGAAATTTTGGACAGTTTATCAAACGCCTTCAAATACTCGAAATTGTTTCGGCACGAATAAAAAAATCATTTACGTTCGAAATAGCTCCACAAGAATGGTATTCATGCGCACCCTAAAACAAGCGGGTCATGTTCGAGAATCGATAACAGCTCGACACGTCACTTTGTAGACCTGACTTTAGTAAGCATGGTATTTTTCCCCGAACTAAGCATATGATAATACTAAAAGCTCGAGGTAAGTCCTCCGTCAAACTAAAATCCTCATTATTCATCTTAAATTACTTAAATATTTCGATGGCTCCACATTCCGCGTGCGGTGAGAGAGAGATACTCAAGTGATATATACATTGCAGTAGGGGTGTCAAAACCAAACAATATACCCGAACCGGAACACGAACCGATCCGACCCGACCCGAAGTTTTGGGTATTTTCGGGCCGGGTCAACTTCATGTTCGGGTATTAGCTAAGCAAATGGGTATCTCAATGGTTTCGGTTCGATTCGTGTTCTAAACACGAACCGAACCGAAACACATATTTTTATTTTTAGAACCGAAGCACATTTCACTTTGCAGCACTGTCGTTCAACTTTGTCCTGGCTTTTTCGTCGTGGCGTGAACAAAAAGTTTTTGTTCTTTTGCTTGGGTTTACTTGTGTGTGGATCGGTTCAATGTATGCTGTGATTGGGATTTTGGTTGCTTCTGATCGTGCGCTCTTTTCCATCGTCCTCATGTGCTGAGCATTAGGAGCAGCAGCACATAGAGAGAGAGAGAGAGAGAGAGAGAGAGAGAGAGAGAGAGAGAGAGAGAGATGATAAGGCTGGGCCGGCGAACAGGATGATGCATCAACGTCGTCCCAGTTAGCAATGAGAGGTACTAGCAAATAATAAGGGAGTGGGGGAGGAGGCGATGGGTGACCACTCTGTTCCTAGCAAAAATATTTCAAACGGCTTCTGTTCTTTTTAATAAATTTCCAGTCTCATTAGAAATGGCAGTCGGCCTTTTTCATGGGAACAGACATTTAGAGAGAAAGAGAGATATTGCATCCAAGGATCAAGTAATTGATAGAACCAGGTCGCACTATTGGGACACAAGAAAAGATTCATTTCATGGTACCCTCCCAGTCCCGGACCTTAGTTTTCGTCGTCGAGAGCAATCGATGTTTGCGAGGGGCCTTTTTGAGCTCCTCGTTTGATCAGGACGAATTGACCGGAGATCTTTCCTGTAGAATGGCATCGTATGTGGATACACGGAAAAAATATCTTAACTGCTCTAGTCTTGGAATGAACGGATTAGCACTCAATTTATTGCCGATGGGGATTGGTGGAGGCGATTGGGTAATTCCGATAACTTTCAAGCAATTGTAACATCGTCAAATATTAGCTTGAACCCAAAAAGACCCGAAACCCGACCCGGTTTTTGCGTTTCGGGTCATGTTCGGTTCGGGTCAAGAGTCCACATATCTTTAATAAGCATAGTATTTTTCCCCGAACTAAGCATATGATAATACTAAAAGCTTGAGGTAAGTCCTCCGTCAAACTAAAATCCTCATCTATTCATCTTAAATTACTTAAATATTTCGATGGCTCCACATTCCGCGTGCGGTGAGAGAGAGATCCTCAAGTGATATATACATTGCAGCCTACCTAGAAAAAAACCACTTGGGTGCTTCTTTTGAAAATTTAGGATCCCTAGATTGAAACAAGTTGTTAAATTGACATGCTTCATACTAGCTATTCTCTGTGCGTTTGGGACTGAGTCTTGCGTTTTCAGACAAACCGAGTGAATACAAATAGTTGCCCATCGTTTGGCCAATACATGAAAATCTCACTTTCTAAAACAAAACAAAACAAAAACATCGTTATAGATCACTCTACGGTTTCTCGTTTGGTCCCACGACACTGAATCCTCGAATGGATTCTCATTCCAAGTAATACTATTCCTTGGCATGAAAAGAAAATCTAGCTTGTTTGGATCGTAGAAAATTTGGACCATCGACGGTCGCAGCAATGATGATGGAGTTGGGTTTTCGATAGTTTTTTCAGTGGTAGGCAATGTCTAATCGTTTTATAGAGTGCATGTCGGGACATTTCTTCGGAACAACAAAAGGGATCAATCGAATTCTCGGGACGATTTAACCATTTCGAAACTTCCTCAAGAAGCATCAATAAAACTCTAATGCCAATCAACTCCAATGAAAGCTGACAAAGAACTCGCGAATCATGTGCCAAAGTTCGTTTCTTGAACAAGATTGGAAGTGTCATGCTGCCTCTGTGCAGTCACATCCACAGCACTTAATGACAACTAAATCCATAGCTTTCACACTAAATTATAAATAATTTTAAAGTGTCATTTCAAAACCCCAATACAATCCACCAATAATACCCAGAAGAAAATGGATCGGGGTGCACTCGTTTTCATCCTTAATTTCCAACCGATGAACACAATAATTTGCCCCCCAATGATCTCGAGCTACTATATACTTAGTACCGATCCATACACAATTGCCAGCCACGGAGCCTTCTGCTGGATGCCAATGCCTTTCCTAGGAAACACGTCACGGAAAGACATCTTAGAAGGGAACCTAACCAATGCCATCGCGATCATCTTGGCACGAAATCATGTGATAGGTCCTAGGTTTTGCATTATTTTGCGCTGATCCATCGTTTTTCCCATCTCCTAAACCTTTCGTTTTCGTCCCCACTTCGCAGTTAGTGTTGTACATTCCACTTGCGAGCCAGCCGGGCATATCCATACCAACATCAAATTATGAATTGATCTCGTTTCACACGTATGACCGCGTGTGTACATTGGACCATATTGCGGTTCACCAACATGTTACGGATTTTCCTGCTTGGCTTACACATCTAACTACTCCGTTCCCTAAAAAAAGAAACGCTTTTGGTCGTTAAGTGTCGAGAGATGGTCTTATTTTCCAATCAGGCAATCGCTCACACTAACATCACGACACTTTTATCATAAGGGCACTTGTCAATCATAACCGATAATGAAAGATTTTCGCCCTCAATACACCGCGATGCATAAAATAAGAAAAAAAACGGCATTTTGGACGTAACAAAACTATCCATTTGGGTATTCGACAAGCGCTGTTAAGATACTCTTTAATAAAAAAATCTAATGAAAAAGGAGGAGGAAATGCGGATGGCTTGTCCCTAAACAGATAACTGGCACATGCAAGGCGCACAGCCTCGCCGTCGTTAGTTAATGCAAAATTTCAATGTGGCCGATGCCTTAATCTTGAGATCCACACCGTGTTTGTCCCGCCCATTTCTTCAGCTAAGCTAAGCATTGATTGACAAACTTGGTCAATGCAAGAGCAGACGTAAAGGCAGCTCTCTCTACTTCTTAAATACTAGCAAGAGCTCCCATTAAACAGCAATCTCTTATAATATGAGTGCTCTGTAGCGTGTTGTTCATTGATCCAATCAATACATCGTGCTCGCTTATCAAAAGAAAATCAGTACTTGCTTCGATTTAGAATATCTTCACCAGCCTAGAAGGAAAGGAAGAAGTCCGAAATCAGTGTGTCTTCGATGAGCGAATCGACCCGCATGTCGATCTAGTATCACACGATCACAACTTGAATGCGAATCATCGTCCATCGCATCGGGCAAGCTGACACGGCTTTCGCATTCACGGGATTAACGTGAGCTAATGCAACCTAATTAATGCCGGGATCAAATTATGCCGTCAGTTCCATTGATACGCACCCTGAAAAAGGTTGAATATAAGTGCATACGTTCGACCGACGTATCTTGTTACGTCACAGCTTGTAAAAAATGCACACCTCGCAAGAGTTAAGTACATGGAAATTCTCCGGTACTACCTTAGACATAGATTGGAAATTCGCGGAGCTCACGCGTTGAGATCATGTCACATTTTCTTGTGATTTCTTGTTGCAAATTGACATTCCAACCCATAATAAAAGTTAACTTCCCCTTTATTAAAATCCAAGCACATATTGTTCCCAAAAAAGTGATTATTGAAGTCGATTTCCTTAGCTCTATAAGATGTGTATTATATTTTAACGCGCTGGTACCCGCACGCCCCGCATCCCTAATTAGGACTTTTCTCATCTTAAGGAATACCCTCGAATTTAACGTCCCAGAGTTCAAACGAAGTCTTTTAAGGTTTTGCTTAGGACCGGTTTTCGTGTTAGATGGATTAAAAAACTATTTCTTGTGTGCACCTCGTAAAAGTTTAACTTTAAGTACATAACAAAATATTTTTAAACACGACATAAACTCACTTTATCCAATTGGTAAACGACAGACATAAGTAAAGAACTGCAAAAAAGCTAGCTGTATATCTCTTTATCTCTTTATCTTTACTGGTAATTGACTCTTATTTGGAAAAGAATGAATTCTCTAAAGTTAACTATTGATCTTTGTTTACTAATGTGGTGCCTATAATTTAATTTAAACAAAATTATAAAATCCAGACGAATCACTATGATAATTCATAACTAATTACGTTTCGAAATCGTTTCGCAACTAATTTTTTTAATGAGATCTTCCATCAAATTGAAAAATCACAAAAAAGAAATCCCTTTAATTTGGCACCACCAACTAACTTGATCAAAAATAAGAATTCTGGATTATGCAATGATGCAAATAAAAATGGTAAATTGAAAGAATGAATATCATCATGCTTTGCCCCCACAAAAAGATGACACCATATGATATAGAGCTTCAAAGAACACACACCATCAAAGAATAGCTATTTTCTTGAGCAATCTTGGAGGTGGTTTTGAGGAGTTACGATCGGTTCTGCCTCCAGATTTCTTTAGGTAATCAAGCGGGGATGTTTGATTAATGAAATTAGAGATTTTCTTTAAATATAACGCATTATTTTGTTCTTTATTTATGGATAGCCGGTTCCGTCCACATTCATCTGTTGACGACCTTATCTCGAGATCGCATGTAATGCCTTGCTGCCATGGACCATGCCAAGCCTTTATTATATATAACGTTAGAAAAAACAAATTCAGAGAGTGATTGTTCCTTTTTCCTTGTCGCTTCCTATTCGCACATTGGTTATTATGTCCATCGTTGCACAACGTTTCCCTTTCCTATTTGCCTGGCCTTCAAGTTGCTGGGGAACTAGATACAGCCAAAACCCAAAAAAACGTAAATAAATAAATAAAACAGATATGCTTCAAAAATAAAAGAGAAAAAAACAAAAATAGTCTCTATATTTTAGCCCAACGTGCAATATTATCCCTAAATTCTTGATACCTATTTAAACTAGTCCTTATACTATATGATAATGTTTAATGTTGTCCGCCAACTTAATTTACCGGAAGGATATATTTTTTTATAATTTAGGGACTAATTTGAACATTTACCAGGAATTTAGGGACTATATTGAACAAATTAAAAATTTAGGGACCACGTTGCATGTTGGCCCAAAGTTCGAGAAAAATTCGCGTCGTTATCTAAAATTATAAAGAAAATAAAAAAAAAAAAAAAGAAAGAAAAAGAAAGCCACGAGAGACGTATTTAAAACCGACTCGGCGAAACTGAACGGGAAGCAAACCGAAGAGAACACGCAGAGAAGCAAAGAAGCCCAACGCCTTTCCGCAGTTCCTCTCCTTCCTCCCCTTCCCGTCTCTCTCCCCGCCGGAGCCCTCCCGATCTCTCTCGCGTCGGTTTTTCTCCGGCGGCGTCAATGGCGGACGGCGGCGGCGCCGCCTTCTCTTCCGCTTCTCTTTAGATTCCGAGCGCGCGGGGGCTGCCGAGAGAGAGAAAGAGAGGGAGAGAGGGGGTGACGACGGCGATGACGAAGCGGAGGAGACGAGCCCTGCCGCTGCTGCTCCGGAAGCTGCTGACGTGCGCCATATGCGCCGTCGCTATGGTCGCTCTGTTGTCCGGGCACGTCCGCGTGCTTCCTCCGGCCGGAGTCTCCGGCGCTCCGCAGTTCCTAAAGGTGGCGCCTCGCTCGCTTCAGCGCTCGTCGCATTGCTCTCGTCCGGTGCGGTTTCGGTGGTTCTAGCCGTTGGTTAGGGTTTTTCGTTCGGTTGCGATCGTGTGTCTTTCGATTCTTTCTGCGGTTGGTTTTGCTCGTCTCTGTTCGCGTGGCGGGCATATCGGGAAATCGGTGCGATCTCGGCGTTGCGTTTCATTGTTCTTCGCCGTTCGCGTGCAGTCTGGAGAGCAAATATTGGCGATTTGAGTATGCTTTCGGGTCGTTTGGTCGTTTGGTGCGTCGGGGACTCGGCGTTGGACTGTGTTTGTTTGCGTCTGGGCATAGTGCGTTGAATCTGTTGATTGACTTTGCGTAACGATTTGGCGTAGTTGAATAGTTCTCAGTCGCTGACTGAGATTGATTAACGATCTGGTTATTATTTTGTATTTGTGCAGCAATACCAGAGACAGGGGAGTGAGCAGAGCTGGACGAAGGAACTCGTTCCACCTCAATTTTCGAAAAATCCAGGGTCTTCTCGCAAGGTCTTGCATATCTCATACTATGACGTTTTTCATGTTCTCATAGCTGTTTTTAGTTGTAAAGAAGAAAAAAGAAAAGTCGCTGGATCATAGATACATGTAAAAGTAAAGGGTTGGTAATTTAAGTCATGTTTTGAAGTGAAATGCTCTTCCAAAGTTGTGACCAGAATCAACTGATTCGTGCTTCAAGGGCTCCGTCTAAAAGCTAGGATTTGAATTTGGCAGACTTAGTTGGACAGCGATGAGCGATCTAGTGTACCCTGCATTCGTTACATGTAACTTCTTATAACTGGACAGATGAACAGTGCCGACTGGAGTTTGGATTTTGATAAGCTCTGGAAGCATCCATCAAACCGTGATTTCATGCCATGTATAAGTCCTAGCACAAATTATACAGGTAAGATGATTGTTGTCTTCATCTTTTTGCTGAACAGATATCTTTCTAATGATGTTTTAAATGTTTTTCCTTTGTCAGTTCCTTCAGCATCACAAGGTTACCTTCTAGTCCATACCAATGGCGGACTTAATCAGATGCGAGCTGGGGTGTGTGAATGCTCCTCGTACTGATAAGACTTGCACTTATTCGTTGTGATGGCATCTTTTATCTTCCATTAAAATCATTGCAATGTAAATATGGAATAAGGAATCTATATTAACATGTTCATCGTTGAGTGATTCTGATGACAACATTTTGAAACTCAATAGCTAGCTCCCCCCCTTCTGAATATGTTACAAGCATACCGATGCTCATTCCATTTTTTCTCTATGAGAAATGGAAGTGTTAACCATTCCTTAACCCCACCAGAAAAAAAACAAGAAATCATCTGGCTACTTTGTTGGTGATAAGGTATCTGAGGAAAGTTTAAAAAATTACTAGCACCAGTTTCTGGGTTGAACAGATAAGAATACTGTGAAATAAAAGGTTTTTCCTTTTGCACTCTAAACTTCCTAATTTTACAGCTTGCTGCTAGCGTCAAAACATCTAGTGTCACTTGGTCAAGAAGGTCTAGATCATACACATTAGATGGAATTGCCCGATTAACTTTATGATCATTTTAAAGACGATTAAGATTGCTTTGCTGCTGAATGGATCTGTAAAGCAATCTCATTTCTATGCAGATATGTGACATGGTTGCTGTAGCTCGTATAATAAATGCTACTTTGGTGATTCCCGAACTAGATAAAGGTTCTTTTTGGCGAGATTCTAGGTAACGTGATATTCATCCTCTTAGTCTGTTTGTTTATAAGATACTGTATGGCTCAGATTCGACAGAATATGCTTGAAACTGATCTCAGTGCTTCATTTGCAGCAACTTTTCAGATATTTTTGATGAAGAACATTTTATAAGCACTTTATCTAACGATGTTAAAGTTGTAAAGAAGCTTCCCAAGGAAGTGGCTAAAACCACAAAGTTAGTGAAGGAATTTAAAAGTTGGTCTGGCATGGATTACTATCACAAGGAGATAGCTGGCAAGTGGGAATATTATGAGGTACATTTAATAGAAACTTTTACCATGATTCTAATATCCAACAGTGCAATGATCGGATGACACTCAATTTCAATAGGTAATACGAGCTTCAAAGTCAGATTCTCGTCTTGCAAATAATAATCTTCCATCAGCCATTCAAAAGCTACGCTGTCGTGCTTGTTATGAGGCCCTTCGTTTTGCACCCCATATTGAAGCAATGGGAAAGGTATGAAAGTAACTTACAAACTTAGTTGATCTATTAATGGCTGTTCTCTCGTTTCCTGTGACTTTTACATGCTAATCTTGCCATAAATACTACAGTTGCTGGTTGAGCGGATGAGATCTTATGGTCCTTATATTGCTCTTCATTTGCGGTATGAGAAGGACATGCTTGCCTTTAGTGGGTGTACGCATGGTTTATCAGCTGCTGAAGCTAAAGAACTGCGGATAATTAGGTATGAGCGCATGTGAGAAGCGCACCATATACATAGCATCCTCATTACCAATTTTTCGCTTATAAGATTAATAATGGGCCCGGAACTTGTAGGGAGAACACTCTGCATTGGAAGATAAAGAATATTAATTCTACTGAGCAGAGATCTAAAGGATACTGCCCTCTAACTCCAAAGGAGGTTGCAATTTTTCTCACAGCCCTCGGGTATCCACCCCATACACCTATATACGTCGCCGCTGGAGAAATATATGGAGGCGACTCTCATATGACTGAACTACGGTCCCGCTATCCGATGTTGATGAGCAAGGTCTCAACCTGCCTTTCATTTTTGTTTGTTTGTCATACTTATTTCCCCGCTTGTCATATCCTCTACTAATACCATTTTTTTTCACTGAAGTTTACTGTCTGATGTGGAGGCATTTCTGTTAAAGAATTCCCAAATTGGTGAAAAGCAATCTTAATGTGTAGACTGTAAGCTCTTGCCAAACAGTGTTGATTAGTGTGTCTGACTTTTCAATTAAAATAATGTGTTAGAGTAGGCAGTTCTCAAATTATTGAGCAAAATGTATTTTGTCTACCATCAGTTTAGTGTGATATAAAGACCATTAGCTTACCTGCTTTGCTATTTTTAAACCTGTAACAACATGAACGCAATCTACCATGGATTTTTTTTCCTGACATGGCATTCTTTAACGACACGCCTCACTAGTTCAGGTATGTTTATGCTTATAAGTGCACTTTCGGTATGAATCATGCCAATGCATTTGAAGACGATCAAAGCTCATCCCTGATTGGTCTCATAGTCAGGTTGTGAGTATTGAACCCTGTTGTGATGTTCCACGTGTTTAGAATATGCTACATATGGCCTCCAGTAGTTGATAGTGGGTATCTCTATCAGAATTGGCATCTGATATCATGATCATTCAGTTGAAGTTATTGATGCTTGCAGTATCTCGGCTGTGGTGAAGAAATTTTGACAGCATATTTATCTCTTTGATAAATCATTTTATTCTCCTATTTATGTGCCTGTTTGGGCAACCAAGAACAGCGCTTATTCTAAGTTGCCCCGATTATTGTAATTTTCAAAACATTATGGGGAAAATTTCTGACTTCAAATGTAGAAGCACAAGTGAAACGTTGAAAGTGTAAACCGCTATGCCACTTTTAGTGCCAATGTATCGTTGGTGCTGGTTTCAGAGGATAATTGTTCCGTAGTTGTAATAGTGTGATGTAATTGGAGGCATTTGTAGAAAACTAGCACCTGATACTCCTGCTATGTCTTTGCAGGAAAAACTAACATCAGTCGAGGAGCTGAAACCTTTTATGAATCATGCATCTCAAATGGCAGCACTGGATTACATTGTATCTGTGGAGAGTGATGTTTTCATTCCATCCTACTCAGGAAATATGGCAAGGGCAGTCGGAGGTCACCGCCGCTTTTTGGGGCATAGAAAGACAATATCACCTGACAGGCAACAAAGTTTCTTCTCCTTTTATCACACTTGACTGTCAGTCCACGGTCATAAACTCATGTTTTTTTCTTTTGTATCCCAGGAAAGCTCTTGTTCGTCTATTTGACAAAATTGAGCAGGGGACTCTGAAAGAAGGAAGTAGGTTATCAGATCGCGTTGCCGAACTCCAGAAAAGACGGTACATCATGCAGTGCTTTGATTGCATTAATAGATTCTAAAAACTGAGCAGCGAGGATAGAATTTCTTTATTGATTTTTTCCACCCAAGAAATATGTTTTGCTGCACTAGACCTTGTCTGGTCACCCTTTTACTTCAAATTCTTGCTTTCCCTTTTCATTGCATCCAATAATCTAGATGTAGCTTGTCGATCTTCTTCACAGTGCAACAACATTATTTTAGCCTAGTGGTGTTGAAATGCGATCGCTATATGTAAGCAGATGGTATGTTGGGGTCTGAACCTGTGCACTAAATTCGTGTCGCAATTAGAAACTATGGATCTAAATTGAGTGTAACTTCTAAAGTGTCGGGCTGGCAGAAGTTTCAGATCCCATATTAATTTTGGAATAGCATCTTCTTCTCTTTCAGGCAAGGGTCCCCACGGAAGAGGAAAGGCCCCATCTCAGGAACAAAGGGCATGGATAGATTTCGTTCGGAGGAGGTGTTCTACGAGAATCCTTTGCCAGACTGTTTATGTCGGAGTGAATTGCCTGAAGTGATTGCATCAGTTGACATCAGGTAGATCATGTGGAGCGGAAACTGCTCCCAGAAGAAGAAATCTGTTGGGACTGACTGCTTCAGGCACCTCAAGCTCTTGGGACTGACTGCAGTGAATAGATAGGGACGCGGAACTTGTATATACTGAGTTTTAGAACTAGGTAGGATGGGCCCGTGCACAGGAAGTGAAATGCGCTAGCAATGAGCAAGCAGGGGTAGTTTGATCCCTGAAGATGGGCCTTGCGTTTTATCATCAAGGCAAAATCTTTGAGGAGATGGCAGGTATAGGGAGATTGATTGGATGAAATTCATTTAGGATGCAATAATTCTATTATTGCTTTTCCAGAATCCACGCTTCTCTATGTGCGGTTACTCCCGCTGTTCTACTTCTCTACGCGAGTCATCGGAGGTTGAAGGAAACCGTGCCAGAACGTGCGTGGGATGATGCTTGCTTGGATGTGAAGCTATGTGGCGGATCCATTACTTCGAAAAGAGGCTTTGCATCTTTGCACGACAAAATTAGATGAGAACCTCATCTGGAATTTGTTCCCATGTCATGCTCACATCTAAAAGCATGCAAAATTATAATTGATTGAGAGCAAAAGAATCAAAATACAGAGATTTCAACAATTCCGCATGAGAAATTTCTTCCATTGAATTATTCCATAAAGTCCAAAATCAAAACTTGCATAGAGCATCAACTAAGGACGGGAAAAATATGACAAGAAATTCATGTCCCACTTGCGAATCGCCATGAAAAGAGGATCGAACAAACCAAATGAAAAAAATCGAGCAAAAGAAAACAGAGGATAGCTCATTAAAAATTTCGCGAAAGTTACGTTATTTTCTAGTGAGTTTGTAACAGGAACACAAAAAGAAAGACGAATCAAAGGGTTTTTTTCACCTGACTTAAACCGGGCGATTTCTTTTGTCAATTCGAGAGCAGTCCAATGCATGCAAGAAGAACAGACTAACCCTAAGACTGTTCTATTTGGAATTACAGGTTTTTTTATGACGACAGACGAGGAGAGGGCGAGTAGCAAATGTACAGGGGAGAGAGAGAGAAATAGAGAGAGAGAGTGTGGAAGAATGAGGAAAGCAAAGGACAACCAAAACGACCGCTCGTTTGCCGTTTCGGCATTACTTCGGCATGCAGTATTTTCTTCTTCTTTTCTTTTTTTTTTAGCTTCAACCAGCATTCTACGTGGACTTTAAGCTCACCCTTCTTGGACCTTACACAATATTATTGTGGTAAGAGAAGGCGAGGGGCGGGGGACCAACGAGCAGCCGAGCACCGAGCGAGCCCCAAAATCTGAGAGCGAAGGCCGGAGAAAGCAAAAGCGCCAGAGCAGCAACGAGAGAGAGCCGAGAGGATCCAAAATCTGAGGCAAATTAAAAAGGACCAAAAAAAAAAACGGGGGAAAAGAGAAAGGGAAATTAAGTATGTGCAACACGTCTAGTCTAGTACAATAAATATGTGCATGCAGATCTGTTAAAAGCGAACATTTTTCTCGTAAGGAAGAGGAGAGGAGAATCAAATTTACTGTGCGACCACCCGTGTTTGACGTGGCTCCACGTGTCGATTCCTGATTGGGCAACGGCCGCCGACGTGGATGTGCCGGCCCGCCCGCCCAACATTTTCTCATCTCTTTTCTCCTCCCAGCGTTTGGATTTGGCGCTGGAGAGAATCGGATATGGATAACACAAGCAGCGGCACATGACCCCCAACTCCTCCACACATCGCCCGAAGCTTCTGCAAGCATTCCCCTCGATCACCTCTCCATCTCCGAAGCAAGGCGAAGAAGACGGGAGGAGGAGGGAGGAGGAGGAAGGAGAAGATGATGATGGGCGCGTCCTTCGTCTCGACCCTGCCTTCTCTGCTCCCACTTCAAGCTCAAGCGGCTTCTCCTTCTCCTTCTCCTTCTCCTTCTCCTTCCTCCTCGTCCTCCGCCGCCTCCGTCAGACCCCCCGCTCGCTCCGTTAGTTTCTTCCCCCTCTCCTCGCCCAGCCTGCTTTCTGTTTCCGACATCCGCATTGCGAATTGCTCTCGCGCTGCATGGATTGAGCGTTAGTTCCTGTTCTGATCGGCGTAGTGCTTGTTGTCTTTTCCCGGTCGCCGGAGTTCAGGTTGTAGCTCGCTGCAAGACGGACAACGGTTTCGCCGGTGTCGAGGAGTTGAGCCGACGGGACGTGCTCAAATGCGCCGGCGCCGGTATCGGCATTGTAAGTGCAGTTTCTGTCGAGCCATGCGTCAGCTGCATTGAGCTCCGTGAATGTGATCTTCTGTCTGTTGACTGAGTTGGGTTTCGAGGGGTCATAATAGGGTTCTTGTTTGCAGCAAATTTGATTGGACCGTGAGATTGGGTGCTTATCTGTTTGTTCGGTCACGATTGAGATTTCATTCTGGTTTGCAATGTGCCCTTTTGGTTTGTGTAAATGACGAACCATTCTTTTAGCTTGGATTATGATGAGTTTCTGCCAGTTGTGATCTCTCAGGAACTGATAGCAAGCTCCGGATCGTTTGTTGAATTGGCCCATGCTGCTGATTTGATTCAACGCCGGCAGCGTTCCGAGTTTCTTTGTAAGCCCATCGAAGAGTTGCTTCTCTTTCTATGCTAGTGCATTGTATATGAATCTCCAGAATCGAATCGAATTGACTTCTTCTTTTCCTCAGCAAGTGTCAGGGGCACCCTTTACTCGGCTATAAAGGTGAATTTTGTTTTGCTCATTAATAATTGCCATTTAACCGCATGATTTTTGCTCTCGTGATTTCATTACACATTTTCTAGAATGCTACACTCCGATGCAATTTTATAACTTTTTTTTCTCTTGGACTCATTTCAGGGAAACCCAGATCTTATCCCATCTTTGCTGACGTTGGCATTAAATGATGCTATGACTTATGACAAGGTCAGACTGATAAATTTTACATGTTGAAACTTAATGGGAATAGTTCATCTCACTGAGGGTTTTCCCTTAAATGATGAGGTGAAGATTGGCTGCTGATTTATTTTCCCTTAAGTTTGCAGGCCTCAAAATCTGGTGGCCCAAATGGATCCATAAGGTTCAGGTACTTGTCACATTAAAACATGTGAATGCTGATGTGAGTTGATGATCAATAGCGCAGAGCAGAATATTCAATTTGTTGGGTTTAGTGAGCCCCCTAATTTGGACTTTCTGAGGGTTGAACACTTCACACGACTGGCTTGCTCTCAGAATTATATTCTAGTGAGGTCTTCGTTTCAATGTCAAGATCCAAGTGTAATTTCTTAATGCTTTTATATGCAGTTCTGTATTTTTTATTCAATGTCATCCAGAAATCTCCATTTAGAGAATCTAGAAGCTGAGCATCTAGAGATAATTGAGGAAAATAGAAGGAGAAAACTTGATTTCCCTGCAGGATGGTTCCCATGTATTCAAGTTCTTTAGAACATAACACGTGTATCTTCCAGTTTAAAATTTCATGCTTTTGCGGCATATCTTTTATCTCCTAGACAAGACTCACCGTGATTTTCAATGTCATGAATTGTTATTTCTTGAAGCTCAGAGATTAGCAGACCAGAGAATAAGCGGCTTTCAGCTGCTATGAACTTATTGGAAGAAGCTAAGAAGGAAATAGATTCTTATTCCAAGGGTGGACCCATATCCTACGCAGATCTTATACAGTATGCAGGTTTGTACATGTTACATAGCTAAGTTGCATGTCACTAGCATAAAATGCTGCACTCAGTCTGAACTTCTGTTAGTACCTTCTAGAATAGACCCTAGAGAAGAAGCATTTACTAATGCCATTAGGCTTGGAGATCTGGTATTGAATATCTCATGTCATGTATTAAAAGTGGATTATGTCTCAATTCTGTCAGCTTATCGATAGGAGGAAATTCTAATTAAAGTTCTCCCTATAAACAGCGCAGAGTGCAGCCAAGGCTACCTTTCTCGCTGCAGCCATTCGCAAATGTGGTGGGAATGAAGAGAAAGGAAACTTGCTCTACACTGCCTATGGTTCCAACGGACAGGTAATTTCTAATTCATTGTGTGCATGGAGGCATATGTGTGTTTGCCACGGAATTTTATAGTGTATAATCACCAACCAAATAGGAATAATATTTCCTACAACTAGTAATTTAGTATTTGTAATGTGGCACTGCATAACTTATAGTCAGTGTATCTTGTGAGATGAAGTAGTTTAGGATGAGACATACACGAGGCTAAAATTTACTTGCCGCAGTAGTTTCTCAGGTAATATTTGAAAAATGGTTTCATGTTAACAACAGATAAAGGATTTGTTTCAGCATGTACTGCTTCATCTGACGATTGCCATAAAGTACCTTGTTATTGACCATTTGTTGTAGCTCACCATTGCTATGTTCATTCAATAGCTTTATTCCTGAATACCTGTTTAGAAAAAAATGATCCCTATGGTTTACCAATTTTTCCTCTGGAATACATTGGAAATGCACCTATGAAAAACATAACAACTGCCTTGACTAATTGTTTCTCAAATAACTTTCATATTTTTAGTTCTGATTTCCACATTATGTATATCGCCCGGTCATGTAGTGGGGCTTGTTTGACAAACAATTTGGGAGGTCAGACACCGCGGAACCAGATCCAGAAGGTAGGGTCCCCCAGTGGGAGAAGGCCAGTGTGAAGGAAATGAAAGATAAATTCTCAGCCATTGGGTTTGGTCCTCGGCAGGTATATTCATGAGAACATTTACTACTTATGCAGGAATTTTCGATACTCCCATGCATATATTGTTCTCTTGATGCACGAAGATTTTCATCTACAAAACCGCAATGGGAAAACAAGGCTATCTTTATTATTTCGAAAAACCAATAGACATGCAGCTAACAAGCAGTTTCATGCTGCGTATTGCATTCAGATATATTAGATGATTCATTTCTCTATTCTGTTAATCTCATTCTCTGAAGTAGCTAGATTGTTTTCTTAAATTTCCATACCATATATCGTTTTCTGCAACCATAGATTTTTGGAAATTTTTTTCAAAGCTCAAAAATAGAGATTTGAGATGGTACTCCGTGAAATTATCTCTATTTGCAGATTAGTCTTGTAATGAGATTTAAACATTCTCAGTGTCGCTTCCCGTCAATCTTGAAAACTGGTTGTTAATGATGGACTGCATGGAAACTATGGCTGGTTAACCTAAGCAAATGAAGTGGCGGTGTTGACTTTTTCAAATGACTGCTCAGAAGTTGATGTCTAGAAGTAGAATAGCACGCAGATTGGTTTGCAATATTGATTTCTCAAGTGATGTGACATATTACTATTGGGTTTTGAATATGACCCACTTGCTTAAATGGCAACTTGAAGCTTGCCACATCATTTTTTAAATCAATCTTAATATATCTATCAGTATCCCAATGCCTAACGGGCTAAACTCTGATATATGGTGGCAATAAATCATTTCGTAAATCAATCTTCATTGCATGACCGGCTACTAATTTTCATCTCCTATCCTCAGTAGGACACCGTGCATGTTTGCTCATTTAACTCTGCTTTTATCTTCTCGACTGAACAGCTAGCAGTGATGTCTTTGTTTCTGGGTCCTGATCAGAACGCAACAGAGACATTATTAGCCACCGATCCAGATGTGTCTCCATGGGTTCAAAAATACCAAAGAAGCCGAGAGACAGTGTCAGAGACAGATTATGAGGTTGGTTATACCAGTGGCTCTTTTCAGTATGGGAAAGCTTTACTTGATATTTGCCATCATGGTGGTGAAGAATAATCTCTCCCTTCAACAGAAGAAAAACAATACTATGGCCTTCTGTGCCTCAAGAAAAAAACGAAATCTCTGAATCGCAATCGATTTTTGTTGACCAAAAAGAATAGTTAATGTAAAGAGTCTTAAAATCGTGGCATTCGCTTCACTCCGACGTTAATCTTAACCTGGTCTCTTTGCAGGTCGATTTGATAACTACTCTGACGAAATTAAGCAGCTTGGGGCAACAAATCAATTACGAAGCGTACACCTACCCGGTTCCAAGGGTTGATTTGGGAAAGCTCAAATTGTGAGGGAAAGAAGTCGTCGGATATATTTGATCTCCGCAAGCGCAACAGAGAGAGGGCATACACAAATTCTGGCCCAGTTTTCACATCTCTCTTCAACAGCTTTCCCCATGGCACATAGATTCACTGTGCCATTCTATCGTTCACCTGTATTCGACATAAACATTGACGAGGGTAACTTATGAGATTATCATGTTTTACCATTTCGTGTATTACTTGTTAAATTAGTGTTTGATCTCTTGTTTTCTCAGTGCCTTCCAAAAAGAGTATCGCCTTCCATTAAAACAAGACCACCTTATGGTGCAAGGTTCGTAAACCAAATGAACCAGAGTCACTTCGAAATACGTAATCTTTGAATGATTGCCCTGTGGAAAGGGAAGACAATTGGCCAATCCAAGAACGTCTTTCCTTGCTAAGATCAATCACAAGGATCATTGGGCGCCGAGAAAGACTAGTCTACTGCTAAGGAAAGAGAAGGGAGTTTGGTTTAACCCCGTGAATTTTGAACTAATAAGCCACGGCGGGATCAATCCCAACTTTTCTATCTTCATAAGATTAACTCAAGTAGAATATATCTGTTATTAAGAAAACTATTTTAACAATGGAAATGCGGAACAAAAAATTGCCAAGGCAGTGATCCTTCAGTGAAGGAGATATCAGTTGCCTCCCCTACCTCAATATTTTGAAGACAGAAAAACAAAATTGCAGACATTTAATCCCCTGTAAAAGTCAAAAATAAAATACAGATAGAGCCATGAGATTGATCTAATGGGACTTTGGAGTAATTCGCTCAAGCCCGCCCATAAATGGTCGCAATGGCTCGGGAATCACGATGGAGCCATCTTCTTGCTGATAATTTTCCAGTATACACACAATCATCCGGGGTATTGCGCAGGCAGTCGCATTTAAAGTGTGAACAAACTGTGTAGGAACGTTGCCTTTACCCTTCTTAGGAGTTGACGACGGTGGTTCTGAGGGCCGATACCGGATTCCTAATCGACGACTTTGATAGTCCGTACAATTTGAAGCACTTGATATCTAATTCGTTCATCAAACAATGATGAGGGGAGTTATGTTTAATCATCAACGATTGATACACCTCTGATAAGTTAAGGAAGCAGGAAGTAATGCCAAACAAAACTAATAAGCAGCTAACCTCTCCATATCGTCCTAAACCGGGCATCCATGCCTCCACATCAAACTTACGATAAGCAGGTGCACCTAAATCTGCCGTCGCCATATCCAAAGTCCTGCAAAGAAGCTCGAAATTCATATAGCCTGGAAGTTAATTTTTAGACAAGTGTTACGACGGTGAAAGAGAACCATACTTAAAATGCAATCCTAGTGATGAGAAGAGTTCTTCTTCGATTCTGATGAGCTCTTCATGATATGAATCACTTTCCTCTGGTCGACATAAAACGAACATCTCAACCTTGCTAAATTGGTGCACACGATAGAGGCCCCTGCATTGAATAGTTGCGGAAATTATCACACGGCAGAGAACTACAGGACCTGTTTGTAGAGAAGAGAAGCTACAACGAGAAACCATGAAGTGGACAGACACATGTCAGGAACAGCTGAACATGGTTATCAAATATCAAGATGGCAATGGTAAATTACATGGTACACTTTCTTGTCGTAATACCAACTGCTGATATTTCAAAACTAAATCAAATGAAAAACTTCAACTCGCTCTATGACAAAGCTATCAGACTTTGGGATCTTAATTTGCAGTGTAAAACTCATAGTAACGAGAACTAAAAGTTTCACTTTCAATTTCTGGCCAAAAACAAAAGTTCCACTTTCCCATCACTCAACCACATCTCCTTACATTCAAGAAAATCATAGGCTGTTGCTACTTCCACAGCCAAAGAGTAATATCTACATAAGCAAAAGGACGAAAAATGCCCCCAAAAGTGACGGCGTAAGTTTGAGCTGAAAAAGAAGCAACTTCTCGATAAAGTGGAAAGAGAAAAAGATCAGCGATGCTCCAATCCAAAAAAAGCAAAGCACAGCTCTTTCCGTGCCCATTTTTCCTCAAGCACGAATATGGAAGTAGATACATACATATGTGTGTAGGTACCTAATTATTCCACCGGTCTAGAGCACTGCTCGACAAGATCCCATATTAGTCATGGACTGGCAACAAGAAAGGTTTCCCATTTTCACTCATCAAACACGAAAGGTACACAAGTAGGATTTCTCCATGGTGAAAAGAAAACATATGAACTCATTAGAGTTTCTTGCGATTTTCTAGAATTTCTCTTCAGAGTTGTTAGTTAATACGAGAGAGGAAGATAAGTTAGAGTGCATGGTGAAATTTAAGTGAGGGTATCTTCGTCATTTAAGTCTGCAATAATCAGGCCCTGTCTCAAGCCGCTAGCTCACGAAGGAAAGGCATGACAACAACATAACTTGAGATAGATTTCCACAGAAAGTTAAATACACGAAGGCCCTCCTCGTCTTTGCCTCTCCAATACTTAAAGAGCCCGGGATCCCCTAACATACATTGTAACACTTAGACCCCTTTAGCTTTTAACATTATGTTCCTAGGACCCTCGATTTGATCCTGCGACCCAATTAAAGTAATAATAAATTAAGTACTTTCATCCTGATTTACAATCTACAGAAACTTATTAGGTAGCATTATGCGAGTGCCTCAGTAAAAAACTTTATCTGACATTAAACAAGAATTAGTTGGCCTAAGGCATTTTTTTTTGTTGGGCCCACACCCTTCGTTAAGTCTGAGTCTGAAAATGCAGTTAAGATAATTACATTTTAATTGCAGATAAACTATAAATGTATAGGCAGATTTAACTGTCAGAACGTCTAAACAAAACTTAAGTAAAAAAGTGATGTTTCCATACCACATTTCAAGGGACAGGTACTTGCATTGGGCACTCTAAATAGTCCTAATGACAAAGTAAAATCATCTGCCAGAGAAAATATGGATACATAAACATTTAGAATTTTTCACCTAGTGCAACAGAGATGGAGATAGGCAGCTAGAGTCACGAGATTACATGAATAGGCTGTGCTTGACTTACCTAGTTGCAGCTCCAGCAGCACCCGCCTCTGTACGAAAACAATGGGAAGATGCCACATACTTCAAAGGAAGTTGTGAGTCAGCAAGAATGGAATCCATATGAATTCCACCAACTGGGATCTCAGCAGTGCCAATAAGACACTGATCACTGCCCTCAACAGAATAAACCTGTCAAATATCAACATAATGTCATCAACCACTACCAAATCTTTATCAACTACTGCAGTTATAGATAAATTGGGACCCAATTCCATCATCTTAAACTTGTTGCAGGACCTAAATTAGAAGGTTTCTCCCAAAAGAAGGGAAAACAAAATCAGCTTGAGTATATATATCCCAATATGAAGTCATGAAACATATGCCGTACATAACATGCCAGTGTATTTCAGTGCTTCTGGAGATAGTTTTCTGACCCAGAATAACCAAAAGATGTAGAGTGCTGACAGATTCCATTTCAAATTTAAACAGAAAGAGGGCAAACCTGTGTGTTTTCTCCACGAGGTTGGAAGCCACACTTTTCAACAACAGACGATCTCACAATTTCTGGGGTTGTTAAAGGAGTGAAGCCCCTTTTAACAACCTCAAAGACTGTCCAATTAGTTAAAGCCATTTCTAGCATAACTGCTTCATTCTTGAGGTAGTAGAACTTTGATCCACTGACCTATATACAATATACAATATACAATGGGATAACACATCAAAAAGTTAGACTCCATTCTAGGTCAACATATAGAAGGAAGAACAGTAAAGCCTTGTCATCGGAACTTAAGTGAAGGGTTAAGAATAACTGCAAGAGGGGAAGTAATAAACTGTCCACGGGCAACAGGAGCCTGTAACATTACAAGCACCACTGGCAGTCTAGTCAAATGCCACCCAAAAACCAGGTCTATAATATATAAAACAAACAAAAAAATTTCTTCTTCAATATATCAATGGATAATAAACAGCAAAAGCCCAAACAGAATCAACTCATACATTAACCAAATCACAGCACATGCAGATATATCAAACCCGTGCAAGATCATTTCCACCAAAAACTATTTTCGATTAAAAAAAAATTTCCCAGATAAAAGAGAGAGGTGCCTCAATACCTAAAGTGAATAGGCAGTATACCTTTGCTGCAGCATCAAAATCGAAAAGGTCAAGTTCCTTGCCGAGTTGTAAATGGTCCTTGATAGGAAAACTAAACTCACGGGGGCTTCCAACCTGCTCCAACATAACTTACATGAGAAAGACAGGTTAGAAAAGCTACACAAATCTTACCAAGCACCAATACGCTCTCCGTTCTAGGATTGAGACGAGTGAGAAGAATATAAAGATGCAAGAATAATTACTATGCAGTGCACATTGACATTAAAAATTGATTATTTCCACAAGTAATGTCAGATGGACAATACGTGTATACAATCACCACCTTAACCATTCAAGAAGATACTTGTTTATGCAGATCATTTTTATCGCTAACAGTGTTTCTTACAAAAATCCAGGATACGAATCAAGATGGATACCGTTGTTCTAATAGTTGAGCAATCCTCATCTCCTATAGGAACATCCGGATGAGTCATATTAGGAATACATTGTGCTTCCTGCTGAAGCTCATCCGTGAGCTTAAGCAGGTCTTCTTCCAAAGTAACCAGCCCTTCCTTCAGATTCTTCCCTGAAATGCAATGCCGCGGATTAACAAAAGAGACAATAACTAAAAGGAAAACTTTTTTTCTTCGCAAGAACTACTTAAACAAAAAATTTGGATTTACCTAAAATCTTGGCCAGGAAGAAAAAAAAAACCAACCTTCCTCTATAAGTTTCTGTCTCTCTGAAGGCTCCAGCTTTCCTTTCATCTTGTTTGCTACCACATTCCTCTCCCCGCGAAGACGCTCCACTTCCTGCTATCTGTGGGTCAAAATTAGCTCAAATTGAGATGAAAACCAGTTCTTTCATTAACCCCAAAACCAACTATATGTTTCGCGTGATAACATAAAGCAATACGAAACTTTTCATCTCCTTATATTCTGTTGCCCAATTAAAATGGATACAGAAGCACAAATTTTCCATAATTTCCAACTTCAAACCAACAAACTGAAGCCTACCACTTTAACAGTGCACCAAAAGCCCGACCAGCAATCGAAGGTGAAAAAAGCACTAAAGTTTCAAATCGAAACCTGACCTTCTGAATCTCCAGCATCTTGGCATAGAGCTCGAGCACAAGCTCCAAGTCGGCATTCGAATTCCTGTTCCTAATGTTAGCGGCAACGGCGTCCTTGTTGTCCCTGATCCATTTGAAGTCGATCGACGCATTCCACTGCGTCTTCGCAACTGGAAAAAAAAAAGAAAAAAGCAACGAATCAATCCCCAAAAAAGCTACTTCTTTACGAGCAGCAAGATCGAATTTTTTGGGCGAGAGAAACCAAAGCAAAGAAAAAAGAGAGTGCAGAAACTCGCGCTGATCATCTGAATTCGTCTTGGTCGCGACCTTCGACGAGGTGGACGCGGCGGGTTGGGCCGCCGGGGCGGAAGAGAGTGCTCTGGCGACGGGCGAGAAGCGAAGCGGGGCGCGCGGAGAACGGAAGAGCGCCGGAGTTACGGGGGCGAGGGCGAAGCGCGACGGAGGAGATAGAGAAGGAAGAGCGGCGAGCTTCAAGGAGTGTAGAGCGGCGCCGCCGAAGCAGCAACACCCGAGTCTCATCTTCGTCAACCTCCGTCCGCCGAAGCTTCTGTGGTTTGGTCCGAGACACTGCGGCGAGAGAGCCAGAGCGAGAGAGAGAGAGAGGGAGAGTTTATCTTCGGCTTCTGGCGGAGACAGCAGACAGCCGGTCGGACGGGCCGGTTCGGATTTCCGGTCTGAAATGCTCGAACGGTTCGTTTGTTCCGTTTTTTCCTCGGCCGTGTTGAACCGTTCCTCTTTCCATGTGCTTCGTAGAGATGGAAATGAGAACATATTCACTTTCACTTATATCCAATGATGATAATAATAATAATAATTCAACACCATCGCTCGTGTGTGTTTTTTTTCCTTATATTTAGATCCCTATAGAGCTACTATGCGGTTATACCTGAAAAGATTTTAACATTATCGATTTCGCAAGCGTGTCCGATCAACTTATATCGGATACTTTTCCAATAATATGAAACGCGTCGAGTTTTGTGATCTATCTCGATAATCTAGAAAAATGCACATACAAAAACCATTTGAGTTGTCCCTTACCAAAAAAAAAAAACCATTTGAGTTGTAAAACTTTAATGGCATCACAAGCTTAAATTGATTTACTTGGATCTATTACGAGTACATCAGTCTCGAGGTGCGCATGTACCTCTATCTAGGTTTTTCGACACGCTGAGCATAACTTATATAAATTATATACCAATCTCGTGTCGTAAATCTTTACATTTATAAGTTAATTGAAGCACCATGAGGAGTCCATCATGTAAGTTTATATATATATATCAAATAAAGCTCTGAATTCCCTTCGGAAGAGTCCATAATTTAAGTCAATCTGAGCATGACGAGAAGAAACGTCTAAGTTTGGCAATAACTCAATAACGTCAATGTTGATTCATAATCAAAAGACAGCAAAAACGATATGATAACATCGATATTTATAGTGCGAAGGGCAGACCTAATATCCCAATTGGACAGACATTAAAGACCGAGATTTTAATCAGATAGCAATAAATTTAACAGCCAATAAAATTGAATTAACAAGAACCTCGGTATAAATCGGCTACATGAAATTCATGTTATTTTAGGGATTGCGATGCATCGAATTTCACAGTAATAAGCTTTGGACGATGAAGGATGGATCGATATGATGTGGCGAGACGACCTTTCTGCAGCTTTTTTTCGTGGCGTACGGTACTACACCGGTGCTCGTAATTCAGGAGGACGACGTTTCGTGTTCCTTTTGGACTTATCTTCCCTCCTTCTACAATTGCAAGTTCTCACCATCACATGCATGTCATGTAATCACGTCGTTATAGGCTTCCAAAAACAGACAACCGCATTAATTAGGACCTCTAAAAACTACCAATTAAGGCCGCTATTACTGTAATTATTTATTATTATTATTATTATTGCCTCTTAAACTAATCAGGCCAGCATCTCGCTTTTCCCGTGATTACTTTAATTTCCCTATATTTCCCGCAGTTAATACAGAAGGTACTAGATAACTCATTTCTTGTCTATTCCCCCACCCCAAAAGAAAAGGAAAATGGAAAAAAGGAGCTTATATCTATTATACGTATTGTAATTAAAACATATTAAACATAATAAAAAGAAAATATCTCGATAAATTTAGAACACGGGGCAAACACGACTTCTTTGGGAGATTTTTTTTAGTAAGAAATCGGGGCAAAGCCCTAAAGTTATACCGTTTACTCTCGTAACGAAACTCGGTCCTTTCTTATCTCTTTTATCAGCAAAGCAAGCAGACTTCTCAATGGCCTTTCTAATGCTAGAGTTTCATTTACATCCGATGATGCATCTAATTTGCTAAGTAATCTATACATGAGTTTCCTTCCTTAAAAGCACGTACGATTTTAGCCTGCTCAAAATACTCTTAACATTTTCCTAATTTGAGAAAGGAGAATGCCCCCAGAATCGAGAGAGAGAGGGAGTTGATTTCTGAAGAAGGGAAACAGCCGCTTGCGAGTCGACCAACATGATAAGAATATATGCTTTCCAACGTTCTATTTCGAACGAAGTTGCGCGAACCTAGCAAAGCCAATTTACCATCTCGCGGGGCCAGTCGCTTCTAAAGAGAGAGAGAGAGCACACGCTGCACGCGCCTTTAACGAAGAAGGCTCCAGAGCCACTCGTTGATCCAATGCTTTTGTGTCCCCCCCAATCGATTTCGCACGTGGGCCCGCCTCGGTGGTGGGGGGAGGGCAGTGAAGACATCCCCAGAAGAGGACAAAAGAGGCGAGTTTTGACCGGTCAAAGAGAGAACTTTTGGTGGGGTCCGGAGATATTTTCTCGATGTTTGGATAAAACCCGGCCCCGTGAACCGCCGTGCACGGGGAGGATAACCCATCGTCATTGACGCAAGCCCCTCCTCCTCTCTCTCTCTCCTCCTCCTCGAGTCCTCGCCGTCGCGAAATACAAAACGACGACCTTTCACGTTCCCGCACCACTTCCCCATTCCTCATTTTTCCCTTTCAGCATCTTCTTCACGGGGCAGAGAGAGGGAGAGGTGTGCGCCTTCTTTTACGGGTCATGTCCTTTCTCTTCTTTTTTAGCTCCAAGACCGAACTAGACCCCCCCGCCCATCCGTCCGTCCTTCCTTCCTTCCTCCTCTTCCTCGCGATCGAGAAACTGCGGACCAGAAAAGGGTCGCTGAACCCTTTTTCGTTCCTCACTTATATACGTGCCCAATCTCTTCTTCTTCTTCAGGAAGCAGCAGCAGCAGCTCAGAACCTGAAGAGTCTCTTCTCCTTTGTTCGTTCCTAGCCCCCCCCCAGATCTGCAGAGAAACCGATTCGCTGAGCGGGACCCCAAGAACCAAAAAGATGGAGAAAACCCATCATCATTCCTCCTCCTCTGCAGAATCCTCTGCCACTAGCTCCGAGCACTACCTCAAGCACCTCAACAAGCTCTCTCACAAGATCTCCAAGCCCCCGCTCAGGAAGCACCCTCTGGACCCGCTTGTTCCGGATCAGCCCGATCAGTCCCTGGCGCAGAGCACGGCCGCGGTCAACCAGAACCAGCCGGCGCAGCTTCAAGCGCCGCCCCCGCCCCAAGCCCAGCCGCCGCAGCAGCCGCCCGTGTACAACATCAACAAGAACGACTTCCGCGACGTCGTCCAGAAGCTCACCGGCTCGACCAGCCACGACCGAGCCCCCACTCCGCCGCCGCCGCCGCAGCAGCAGCAGCAGCAGCAGCAGCCGCAGGTTCAAGCTCCGAAGCCGCCGAGCTCGCGGCTGCACCGGATCCGACCTCCGCCCCTCGCGCAGCTCATCAACCGCCCCAACGGCCTCGTTTCGCAGCAGCAGCAGCAGCAAACTTCCATGCTAAATCCTAACATCCTGCACCCCATGAACTCCTTGAACGGAACTATGAACCCTAACAACGTTATGAGCTCCGGCTTCAACCCGATGGGAAGACCAGTAGCGCCCCTATCGCCACTGCCGCCGCTCCCGTCCGTACATGCGGCGGCGGAATCGCCCGTGTCCGCCTACATGCGGCGCCTCCAAGGCACGATCGCCGCCGTAGATCCAAGACTCGATCAGTTCACCGGATTCGGACCGCTGGCTCCCCTGGCCTCGCCCCGGTGGAGCAATTTGGCCCCTCCTCCGCCGCAGCAGCAGCAGCAGCAGCAGGTGGCGGCTCCTGGCGAGGGTTCAATCCCTCCTCCGCCCGAACCGGCGGCACAGCTGCAGCTTCCGCCGTCGTCGCCGATGCCATTCGGGTGCTTGAATTCGCCGCGGTCGGCCTACACTCTACTCTCGCCGGGGTTCCTGTTCTCGCCGACGTCGGGTCAGCTGGGGTTCCCGCAGCTCCCCCTATCTCCGACGGTGCCCGTGTCGAGCCCTGGAGACAGAGGACTTTAGTTTCGGCGGGGTCCGAGGTTAGAGAGGCTTAGAGGTTTAAAGCTGTCACAGGGAAGAAGATTACACCAAAGTTTATTATGTTTTTAAGGTGGGGGTGGTGTACATTGTTACTTGTTAGGAAGGATAGGGAGGTTTAGTCGATTTACATTGTTGATTTTGGTGCGAATTTGGCCGATGTTTAGTAGAGGGCATGTAAAACGGACATCAAAGACATGAAACAGCTTGGTTTAGTTTCGATGGAGAACTATTGAGGCTGTCGTTGTCGTGAGAACCCTCAAATCATGATATATGTTTGGATTCTTTCTTGGATGAATGACATATGATATGTTTCACTTTCGCCCGTGCGCACCCAAGTAGTATGTAGCTCCGATCTTTTCCTCTCTAATATGGAATATGCCTCGTGCTTTCAACACAGTTTTATGTAAACCGCAGCAAGAAGTGTTTCATGGTTTCTTGCTATTCCGAAAGCGATCATTCTCTAAACTTACCAGTTACCTTTCTTTTGATTGTTTGTTACACCTTGGATTAAACGAGACGAGACATAGAGGTGCACATAGGAATCACATCTCTTTTTGTCGGGATGTGAAGTACGGCGTGGCTGCGGCAGTTTCGATCCCCTCCAACGCAATTTTGCCGTCGGTGCCTTCGAAAGGTGAGCCTTTCTCAATAATGTGGATTCTCTCTCTTGCTCTGTGCAAGCACGGCGACCAAGGAAGTGAATTATTGTCTGGGTGTGGAGTGGCCGCTTTATGTGTTTGTTTTTGGTCAGAGGCTGCTTTATGTGTTAAAAGGACCATATTTCATTGGGCAAATGGGCACATCTTTGCTTTGTCGCTCTTTATGAAGACTAAAGTCAAAAAGACACGATCTTGCTTTGGGTCTTTACGAGCAATCAAAGTTGAGATGACTACCAACTTTAGTGTTTTAGTAGACTGGCCAGGTTTCATCGGCCTTGCAGGGGAAGGAAGACCTCCGACCGAGCGTTTTCACGCCTTCGCGTTTGCATAAGCAATCCCATGTCACTTGCATTTTAACCTGATCAATATAGGGTCGATATCATTTTGTAACACCGCAATGCAACATTTTGCATGTTTCAGAATAAAGAGTATCTTTAGAAAACAAGAGAGAATGTGTCGCTATTAATTTCCATAGGTTTGGGCTTTAGGGATTTTCATGTTGGTTGGTGAAACGAGGTGGGTAGAAATTACTGGGAGAAACTCACCAGAGTCTTACAAATCACAAGCAACTGCATGCATACGTGAGAAAATATTAACATTATCATGTCAGTATCTACATTTCTAATCCATTATTCAAGAAGCGGTAATCCAGTACACCTGTCTATACAATATGCTTATGCCAATTCTATTTGCCAATTTTGTCGAGAGTGAATTTGAACAAGGCTATCCGTGACACTCTCGGTTAGAATCAAGCCCCTTAGGAAATGTGGCCGCAAAAGAGAAAATCACCACATGTTTAAAGACACTGCGCAACTTCAAAAGCTGATGAGAAAATCTAAAGTGGAATAGAACTGAAACAACTGCCGAAGGCCATAATCATCCAACTTTTTCAGTAAAAATATTCATATATTGTAGGAAAACAACGTAATGAAATTCAATCAGTAGCCAAGTATTTTAGGCAAGCGAAGTTTCAAAGTTTGGAAAAGCATTCATACTTTGATGTGATGTAAATGCACGGACCAAGTACTATTAGCATGGAAAGTATGAAAGGTCCACCCACTGAGCTAGCACGTCAAATACCAGATCCTTAAAGCTAAATTTATCGAGGAAATTGCCAGTAGACATGTCTAAAAGTTAAGCGACAGTCGCGGACATTTATTTAGATTCCACCCAACATTTTCCAGTACTAAAGATTTGATAGCACATTGAATCAGATATCTTGTTGGCAAAGAAAGAAGATATCATCAGTCACATAGTCATATGAATAATCTAATAGAAGAGATCTGCTACACTTAGTGCAGAATCGAAGCTGCATGCCTCCAAGAAAAGTAAGACACAATTAATAGCACATGAGGAGATTGATGAGACAAACTAAAGCCAGAAACAAATTAAAAGAGACGATGATGGCTCCAACTTCGGAATAAAAGAGAAATCAGTAACAAACACCTTCTCCAAATAAAAACATTGAATGGAGAAATTCGACAGCGAGCAATGGTCAAGACCTCACTGCTGTTCATCAGGCTTCGGTGCTTCTTTAATCTCGTCTGCACCATCTTCCTGTACAAGAGCAGAACATAGTAAGTAACAAATTGGCGTTTGTATAGTCCATGATATCAAGAGGAACTAGATGAACATGCGTTGAAAAAGGAAAGATAGGAGACTAGTCCAAAAGAGAAACAAGGCAGGACCTGCATGTCGGAAGTCCACAAGGTGAGGTTGTCGCGAAGAAGTTGCATGATCAAAGTGCTGTCTTTGTAAGACTCCTCTCCTAGTGTATCCAACTCAGCAATTGCTTCATCAAAAGCCTGTCCCAGTGAGGGCCAATTGAACAAGTCACGAGCAGGCCGAGCATATATAATTTCATCAGGCAAAGAGATGATAATATAATCGTGCCATTTCACTTGCATTCAAACCTTTCCAGGATCTTAATAAAAGCTTTCAAAAGATACCAAATTTTTCCTTTTGTGGCCAAAAAGGAGTGTGTTCTGAAAACCAAGACTTCGGAACATTACCTACTCATAGGCTAAAGAGACGCATTGATCTAATCAAAGGCCTCTTACCTGCTTGGCCAAACTGCAAGCACGGTCAGGAGAATTCAGAATCTCATAATAGAAAACAGAAAAGTTGAGGGCTAGTCCAAGCCGGATCGGATGAGTTGGAGCCAGCTCCGTGTTGGCAATGTCCTGCAAACGATACCAAATTGCATACACAATCAATCTGCTTCGTCATGCAAAAGTACAAGGGCCACGAAGGGAATTAACCACATTCGCCTCAAACTGACATTATACCCAGCTTGCCTTACGATTCAGCAAAACAATCATAATAAGAGCGCATAGATTGTGCATGTTGGAGAATTAACTGCTATATCTACGCATAATATCCAGAAGAAGTACAACGAGAGAGGCTATCCCATGAAAATGGAAACATCATTAGCTCCTCTTCGCAAACACGACTTGTGCAAAATCTGATCAGTCAAGTACACATACGAGATCTATGGATCAAGCGCGGCCAGATCTTACGTCCTACGAATTCAATTGATATCTAAGAATCATGCAAAATCTGATCAATCATAATATACGCACGAGATCTAATTTAGTAAGTACTGCTGGATCCACATCCTACCATGATCTAGCAGGCATCATTCGACAAAAAAAATACACAACCGAGGCCCGAACGGACGAACCTGAGCGGCCTTGTAGGCGGTGAGAGTGCTCTCGGCGGCCTCCTTTCGCTCGGCGCCGGTCTTGAACTCGGCCAGGTACCGGTGGTAATCCCCCTTCATCTTCAGGTAGAAGACCTTGGAGTCGCCGGAGGCGGCGGAGGGGATGAGGCGGGAGTCGAGGAGCCTGAGGATGCCGGCGCAGATGCCGGAGAGCTCGGACTCGATCTTGGCGCGGTAGTCGCGGATGGCGGCGACGTGGTCCTCGTTGCCGCGGCTCTCCTCCTTCTGCTCGATGGAGGAGATGATGCGCCAGGAGGCGCGGCGGGCGCCGATCACGTTCTTGTAGGCGACGGAGAGGAGGTTGCGCTCCTCGACGGTGAGCTCCTCCGACTCGGCGCCGGCGGACACCTTCTCCATGAACTCCACCATCTCCTCGTAGCGCTCCGCCTGCTCCGCCAGCTTCGCCATGTACACGTTCTCCTCCCGCGCCGATGATGGTGCCGCCGTCGCCGCCATTGCTCTGCGCTGCGCTGCGCGCTCAGGCTCTTCTAGATCTGGACTTCGGATTCGAGGTTTTCCTTCCTCCTTCCGGTTTCGAATCTGATTTGTTTTTGGTTCTTCGAGAGCGTTTTGGGCGATTTTTGCGAGGGAGGGCGGGGGGCGATAATTGCGTTTGTCGAGATTCGGAGGACCGATCTGGGCCGTTGATTTGGAGAGAGATAGAGATGGTGGTGTGGTTCTGTTTCGGCTGGCAGAAGTACCCGGGGGAACATAACTGACAGCCTGTACTTTTTCCGTAACGGGGCCCCATTACGGCCCGGGTTGGGCGGTCACGGGCCGGATCGCAAGTCCATAGCGGTGCGGTGTCATTGACCCGATTATTATGCAGCTTCGTTATTTTGTGTGTGTGTGTCTTGTGTGTGTTTTGTTTTTGTGGCTAAAAGGTTTGAGTGCCAAAGGCCGAGCTACGCGACCCATGAGTGATCATCGGCAAAAAAACAAAAGAAGTTTTCGAAATCGAGTTAGTAGAACATTGGTGAACGAAGAAAGTGATTTTTTTTCGAGGTACGAGTTGAGTATTATGAAAGAGTGCGACAGTAATATATCTCTCCATCTATGCTACGCCGAGATCATTAGAACCTCTTCGAGGCCTGAGTAGGACATCCCAAATCCCCACTCCTCTTCTCTCTCCCCACGTAAAGAAGGGTTTCAAAGAAGCTTTTGAAGATAGAACGGGTGTCGCTAAAGATGGCTAAAGTGCCGGCGGCCTTCAGCACAAGACAAGCCCACGGCGAGCCAAGCTTGATAGAAAAAACGGGGTCGTGCCAGGCGCGGCCCCTTGCTCCTGGGCCACTGCCTAGGCCGACCTAGGCTCAAAACTATTTTTTATTAGACTCGCCCCAAAAGGGAAACGGTGCGCCGGTGCTCGGCTGAAGCTAGAAGGGAGCAACACCAACCACTCCGGATCTACGCCTCGACCCCCACTTTTGTCCAAAGATGTACTCCCTAGAGGATGTTTCTTTTGTTCATCATGGTATCAGTACTGTGTATTGACAGCAACTCTTCTATTGCCTCTACACCCGTTTTGTCGGAGATATAACGTTTTTTTGGCTCGAGAAGAATGAACTCCTAGTATATACCGATCAATTCATGGCAATCATACATGCACATATCCAAGAGCTTATTATTGTTGGGCAACGGGCAAATAACAAGTCTTAAATTGTCTCGTGTTTTCTTTTTAATTAATCTAGGGACATGGCCGCACGGGCGTAAGCCTATGAAACACCGGACAACCCTCGTAAGTTAGTTTTATTTACTCGCTACCCTTGAAAAGAGTAAATGTTGTTCAATGTTGCTGTCATATCAATCCGCAAACGCATCGATTGGTTGTGAAAAGGAACCATAGAAAAGGAATTCCTGGCTACATGGTACGACTTACAAACTGCCTATGTCCATGAGAAAACAGGAAACGGCCGTTTGTTTCACGCTCAAACATGAGGAATGCCCTTCTTATCATGCCGACGCACCTTCCTCTTTTATTATCCACCAATGAAATCACTACCTCACGCCAATAGTATTTATGGAGTCCATGAACACTCATTGATCAGTTCACCATCTCCTTTCCATTGCACGGAATAACCAAACTTTTACGGCTCGACTCGACTCGATTATTTCCTTTTGATGTATGCAACTGCCTCATCCGTATGTACTTCACTTGCAGGTTGATCGGTAACATCTAAGATTTGGAAATGCAAAAGTATAGATGCAAGCACTTACATCTTTTACATTTATTGATGACGATCCCATATAAGTTCCTACCGACCTTTTTAGTCGACTATTTTAGAGAACTTAGCTAAAATTGAAACTCAAATGAAAATATTGTATTAGCAAAAGGGACCTTGCCTCATAAGGCTAGACGGGCGGCATGGCAACCTCTCTTAGTTTCTCCCAACGGAATTATTGTCCAAAAAGTTCTAAACCTATAATAAGGTGACCAATGCGATCCTAAACGTTTTGAATTTCTCAATTTTGTTTTAAATCTTTTGATGATCTACCAATTTAGTTCCAAATTTTATGATAATTCTAGCTAATTTTGACTGAAAATCGCTGACGTAATAATCGTGCCATGTAGGACGTCTGACGTCCACATCAGCAATTTCTAGCCAAAATTTACCAGAAAGATTACATTGAATCGACCGCCGTACAAGAGGACTATAACTTTTCGGACAATTTTCCCTTTCTCCAACATAGTATAAACAAACATTAAAAAAAAAATGAAGGAAAATGGCTATGATTACACAGATAACACATAAACCGACCATAGAAAAACATGCTACAGTCCCCTTCGTTACGGTGGGAATTAGGCAAAGCAGGAAACGCCAAAATCTCTCCCATTCTAAGGAGACAAATGGCAAAATATCACGACGCACGAGCACTGCCGCCTGCCATCTGGTGGGTGTGAGCGCTCCTGTTTGGAGCCGGAACCATCTCCCGTCCAAAAATTCCAAAGAAGGGCCGCGATTACCGGCAGCGATGGGGGCGGATCCTTTCCCCTTTTCGGTCAAAAGAACCCTCTCTAGGCCGTGGGCAAGAACGACAAATCAAGCAAAACCCACTTGCCAAATCAAGCCAACGCCTCCCATTTTTTTCCAATTCCCACGTCATTATTATATCGCATGAAAGCCCACGTCAACGGCGGAATATCACATTCGCTTCATCGTTCAAGCATCCGAAATTCGTTCACCGGTGAACTCTCGGGCTCAGCTTTAAACGGAGGGCTAAAGTGCTGAGGGAGCCCACCGTAAGACTTAAGGAACGGGTCAAGCGCGAGCCCCTGGTTTGGCGACTTACGACGGAGTTTTGCGCTTTACCGCTCCTCGGAGTCTCTGTCTATTTAAACGGTCCGCAAGCCACTGCCCTAACGATAGTGATGACAGCATAATTCCAGCCGAGATCGACCTGGCTCATCAATGGCTATGGAGGATAGAAGCAGGACCAGAGTTCAGACGCTTTACGATGCTTGTAACGAAGTGTTCTCTTCTCATAAGGAGCAGCTCCCCACCTTCCAACAGATTCACTGGCTCAAAACTCTCGTGGGTACGTTCTGTTTTACTAGGTTGTTCGGTCTTCTTCTTCTTCTTCTTCTTCTTTTGGTTGTTAAGATATCGGTGTTTTTCTCCGTGCCACAGGATCGATGGAAGCAGTGGACGTCGGGATTGACGAGTTCGGCCCGGGATCTCCCCCGTCGAGCCCCAACCGGCCGAAGGAACTGATAAGTTCGCAGGAGGTGTCGAAGATAACGTACATACACGTGCATGAGTGCGATGATTTCTCTGTAAGTCCAAAAGTTTTTACGCACGTATGTTTGCACTTGACGAGTTGGACATGGGTTCTGGATTTGTTTATGAGTACAAGAACATGAATGCGACACATCTGATCGGGCGGCTGTTCTATCTGTAGATGGGCGTGTTTTGCTTCCCTGCCGGGGCGACGTTCCCGCTGCACGACCACCCGGGGATGACGGTTCTGAGCAAACTGCTCTACGGATCACTGTACGTGAAGGCTTATGATTGGGTTAAAGTAGAGGAATCGAACGCGAGAATGAGTACGGATCCTTCTATTTCTGTGTGTGCTGCTTTCGATTTGCATTAGAAATTCTGGAGATGCCCCCCAGCGATTAACTGGTTGAATTATGAGCATGATGGGTGGATTGATGGGTGGATGGTTTTGCTATGCAAAAGGGGTTGACTGAAGGAACCAAAAAAAGAAAAACTGGTTGAATTATGAGCATGATGGGTGGATTGATGGGTGGATGCTTTGCTATGCAAAAGGGGTTGACTGAAGGCACCAAAGAAGAAGGCATAGGCAAAAGTCATAATCCAGTCATCGCTAGCTTGAGATTGGATAAACAACTAGCTTGACCATCGAAAACCATTGACATCCTTCCCATTGAATTGACAAAAGTATATAGGTCGAATTTATTTTCTTAAGATCATGATGCATCATTTGCAAAACATATGTCGACGGCTCATCCTTTAATCGTGCTCTAAGGTCGGATAGGAGGACCAAAGGCAATATACATGGGTAACCAAAATATGCATAAGAAATGAGAATACATTTGCTGTGATCTTGATAGATGTTGTTGTAGGCTGCATGAGCAATACTAGCTCACGTATCAATGCTTGTTAATTATTAGATTTAGATGTGCGACTGTACGTTAATCGCAGCATTCGTCGTAATAAAAGGCTATAGGCAGATCTACCCGGCCTGACTAATGTTAGAGATACTAAAATGGAATCAAAGGAACATGCCATACTAGCTTTGGGGAGTATATTAAAAGGTCACTTAGCATCATGGTTACTCCTGATTTACCGATCGGTGAAGGATATGAAGCAATTTGAATGTTTATACCGTGTTGGTGATTGTAGTTGGATTAGCGGGGACGGTGATGGATGGAGTGATGAAGTCACCGTGCGAGACGTCGGTTCTCTTCCCAAGAAGCGGCGGCAACATCCATAGCTTCACCGCGTTGACGCCTTGTGCAATCCTGGACGTGTTGTCCCCTCCTTACTCCGAAGAGCTAGGAAGGCCTTCCACTTACTTCCTCGAGTACCCTATCCCTTCTCTTCCCGGTAAACGATCACTCCATACCCCATGCCTCTCTACAGTCTCTAATGTAAATAACATTACCTTGGAGATATATATTTTCCCATCTGCTTAGAGAGTGTCCCGTTACGCTGTGATCGATCAAAGGTGGCAAGCGAATGACAAAGGCTTGTGAATGTCTTTTGTGTTAGCAGGGTACGTGGTGCTCGAGGAAAGAGACTTGCCGGAAGATTTAGAAGTCGCCGGAGCGCCGTACCTTGGACCTCCGGTTGTCACAGTGGAGGACGATCTTAGTTGACTGCTTCAGTATATGTACATCACCATCTTAATGCAAATTTGGTGTGCCTCTCCATGTAGACACGTAAATACTAAATTCGTAGGGAACGAGCAGTTATATATACTACTAGTGTTAGCTTGCTACAGACTGTCGAGTTCACCGTGCTCTGGTTCATCCGCTGCTCTGTTTTTTTTTTGTGTGTGGCTTTTTTGGCTTTTTCCTTACCTAATTTTCAATCACAACCCATTGAGGGCACATGACTTTACCGCCTCCGCTCAATGTCTAGTCGGTCAAAAAAAAGAAAAAAATCACTACTTTTTTGTGATTCAGGGATACAAACCCAGAGATGAGACTACCTAAAAATGAAGCACCTTACAAGTCTCATGAACCGGCTAAATTCAAATGTTTGGTCTATGCATGTGACCTATTTTGCAACGCAATAGGTGGAATTGGAACATGTTACGTTCAATTCCTAATATGTAAAACCGCTAACACCAACCAAGTGCCCAAACTTGGGAGTGTTCTTGTTTGGGCTATTGTACATATTAGAAATATTTAGTATATTTCCTTTAATTCTCGTATCTATTAGAATTATGTAGGATATTTCATTTGATTTTCTGAATCTCTCAAGATTATGCATATATCTCTAACAATATATCAAAAGTGAGCAAAGAATGGTTCAAACTGTTAAATCAAACCAAACCAAACAGTTTCTTATAGTTCAGTTAGGTTCAAGACTACTTTTTTTTAAAATATTGGTTCAGTTTCAACTCTTTTGAAGCCATATCAAATCCCAAAACGTATTGTATAACCTATTAATTTTTAATTGTTTTTAACCATGAAGTAGCGTTTTTTTTTTTAAAAAAATTGAAGTAGGTTTCATTGAAATTATGAAGTGTCGTAAGTGCAGACTTCGGTTCTTTCTCGAAATTAATGCTCATTCTAAGCTAGTGCTTCTCAACTATGGTACGGTTTAGTTTGGTTTCACTTGTTTTTCAAGTCGTATTTATGCAGTTTGGTCTGGTTTGATATCTGAACCGCACGTTGCTCACTCCTAATAATACATTGTGAGAATCATAAACCCAAATAATCAGTACGGCTCGGTATGGGACTTAAAAGTCCTAGAGATATTAAGAATCCTTAAGTACGAAAGTGAGTGATCACGACATAGAGCAATTTACACAATCGATTACAATTTGGAAAGTTTCAATTTCCGATTTGAAAATCTCTCGAGCACGAAAGTAAGTTGTCCTGACATTGAGCAATTTACATGCCGAAACGTTGCAGGGTTTTTATGAGGGCTACGGTGAGAAGAATTACAAGTCCAAAGTGATGGGTGTAAGGCGTAGGTATCAGATTGAATAAGATATCTGAAGTACGAGTGTTGAACACGGGCAGGCTGGGCCATGTTTCTTAAGCAGAAAAGGAACCGCCCGTTCAGAGCAGCGAACCCCAAGATCATCGTTGATCTCGCAGAAGCCGAGATTCGATGGGTTCGAACGTCATGTCCTGTGGGCTACCTCCTTGGCAAGAGCCCGCCATGGTATTCGTCACCTCGATGTTTTTTTAGATGGTAATGTCGACACGAGTAATGTTTGATCGATACAAGGGCGGGCTTTCGGTGGACGAGATACGGTGGAGAGATCTAGGGAGGCGAGGAGGAGAGATGTAGAGAGGAAATTAAAAAAAATTATTTAAAAAGTCTTAAACTTATTATACGTCGATTAATTCAAAACTAAACTTTTTAATTATGAATTAGTCTTAAATTTTTTGACAATCCTTCCGGCCAATTTTTAATGGAAATTGCTGGCTGTCTCGTGTGACGGCACTGGCGTGGATAATTTTTGTATTTTCTAAAAAAGTTTTATGGATTTTTTTTCGCTTTCTTTTCATTTTGCCTGTGGTTGGTACTAGGCCAAGGCGAGCACCTGTGCACAAACGGCAGCCGGCGAGGGCTAGCCTCACCTGGTGAGGGTCTGCCTCGACCGATTTGGAGAGGGTGAGGGTTGCAATGCTCTTACTGGCCGCGGTTGAATATCGACCACTAACGAAAAGGAAAAGAAAAGAGAAAAATAAAAGAAAGGAAAAAGAGAAAAATTCAGAATTTTTTAAAAAAATCTCAAACTATGTCAACGTCGATCACACTGCTTAGGACAATTAGCGTCCACATTAGCGATTTTTTTTTATCAAAATTGGATAGAATGACTACAATTAGCAATCGTTAAAAGGTTTATGACTAAATTCACATAATTGAAAGATTATTTATGAATTGGCCACCGTATAATAAGTTTAAGACTTTTTGAACATCTATCCCAAGAGAAACAAGGTAGATACGAGGAGCTTGTATGATGGGTGCCTTTGCGGTGGCAACAAGGGGCTTATGGTTGTGAAAAATAAGAAAACCGATAAGGGAATTTTTGTGAAGGAAAGGAACATGATGATAATTCAAAAGAGTTGCACAATACTATTTAAATGGGACGTTAGTATTATAGGTCTAGGGTTCGACTCTCGTGCTCTATAAAAAAAGTAGATCAAAATTCCGAAAAGAGAAGGAAAAGTTAAAGATAGTACTTACAAAAGAATTATTGTATTTCTAAAAGCAGGGGATGCAAAGTGATTAGTTTTGTAGAAACTTATCTTCGTTTTCTATTTGTTCGCTTTTACCTATTATAGAGTTTTAAATCGACCAGTTTATTAGTCACGACAAAAATAACTAAATTGCCACAAACTAATGGTGTTCAACGCTGGTTTACTTTCGAGGATTTAATTGAACAAAGTTATTCTAGAAGCAAACGATAAATATACGTGCATTTATGTTGCCAAAAATCACCGATACTTTCCGTCAACTTAGTTTTATAAACAGTACAAAATAATTATTTTCAAGAAAAACATTTTTCAAAATGTTCATTTTCCAAAAAATAAGTGGACCCATAGGAGAGTTTTTTTGGAAAAATGACACATACGATCCTTGAACTTTAGTCCCCGGCCTTATAATTCATTCAATATTATTCTTAAACTTTAGCCCAATGTGCAATGTCATCCCTGGACTTTCAATTTGTTCAATATGGTCTCTGAACTTTTGATACATGTTCGATCTAGTCCATAAACTATATAAAAAACGTTCAATGTTGTCCCTAAACTTGAATTAATGGAAGGATGACATTAAACATTTTCACATAATCCTGGAACTAACTTGAACATGTACCAAAGGTTTGCAGACCACACTAAACAAATTAAAAATTCAGGAATTATATTACATATCGAGTTAAAGTTCATGGACCATATTGAACAAATTAAAAGTTTAGGGACTATATTACATATCGGGTTGAAGATCATGAACTATTTGTGTCATTATCTTTTTTTTTTTTTGGCAAGATAGAAATAGTACGAGTGTTTTTTTTGTTGGTCGAAAGAAATGGTATGAGTTTAATCGATAGGATGACCAAAATTATCCATTTCTTCAATAGGGTCGGATCGATATGGGCCGGGCCGGGTGATTTATTGGGCCCAAACCGACACAGACCACATCAGCCGGCCCTATAAATACCATGGCCAATGATGCCACCGAAAAACCCTAGTTTTGCAGAAGGCAGATTCAAGCTCCAGCAGGAAGGCAACCTCGGAGCCGCCTCTGCGCCATCGCCTCCTCTGAGCGAAAATGAAGGTTCGATCTCTTCTCTCCGGCCACCGCGCTCTGATCGTAGAAGTGCTCGGAAGTTTTTGCTCATTCGCTTTGCGATTTCTCTTTTGCTCGTGTGCTTTTTTTGCAGTTCAACATCGCCAACCCCACCACCGGCTGCCAGAAGAAGCTCGAGATCGACGATGACCAGAAATTGTTAGTCTTCTCTCTCTCTCTCTCTTTGCTCTTTCTCTGTGCTCGTTTGATTCGACCCAAGTCGTCCAAATGTGGGTTTGGTGTTTTGCGGGCCGCGCGTCGTGTGGTGCGCAGAATATGAGCTGGGGACTCTCCTTTTCGTGGTTGAGTTCAACTTGGATGGGTTTGGCAGTGAATAGACGTGTACGTGGTGTGATGTTCTGTGGTGGGTACTGTTTGTGCTCGTTGTTTTGCTTGTTAAGATGTTCTGATGTTGGTGTTGGTGAGTGTGTTCGGTGCATTGAGGTTTTTTCGACTGTCTCATGGTTTTCCCATGGTGATCATGAGTAGCCTATGGGATAATTGGGGTATGTCCGGTTTGTCCTTTTCGCAAAGCGGGTTTATCTTTAGATAGGGAAAAGGCTCCAATGTCTGGGTTGGGGGGGGGGGGGGGGGGTTGCTAAATGCTAAAGCTTGAGTAGAATTTCCGTTTGTTTCCTGCTTGATAAAGAAATTATCTTGTCTATGTATGTGCTCATAAAGAGTGTTGTTGGCTTCATTGGAGTTGAATGCCGTCTGCCTAAACTTTGTAGTTGATGCCCATGATTACGTAGTCCTTGGACACCGAAATCCATATCGTGTTTACAATTTATGCCGTGAATATGTTATGCATGTGGATTGCGCAATTGCTGTAGCCTCTCTGGTTGTCTAGTTCTGCCTAATTTATGTTTTTTTTTCCTCGAATACCAAATATTCTTTTCTGCTGACTGCTGGGTTCCACATCTTGTAGGCGAGCATTTTATGACAAAAGGCTTTCACAGGAAGTCGTTGGAGATGCACTTGGAGAGGTATTTTATGCTCAATGAGTTTTAGCATTTGTCATTGACAATGTGATTGTCCTTGTATGTTTGCCATATTTTCTGGTTGAGAGTTTACATTTTTCGTAACAGGAGTTCAAGGGTTATGTTTTCAAGATCATGGGAGGATGTGACAAGCAAGGGTTCCCAATGAAGCAGGGAGTCCTGACTCCTGGCCGTGTCCGCCTCTTGCTTCATAGGGGTGAGTGATTTGTAGCCTGAATTAAGGAATGAATTGTTTTTGGCTTACAATAGGCTAAATAAAGGACACCAAGAGAGGTGTTAATGTTGGCAGTATCTTTGTAGAGTCACTGTTACACTGTCAATTTTTACATATTTGATGGCACAAACTTTTATTTGCCTTCTTGAACTATAAAATGAGGCTCATTCATCAGGGACCCCTTGCTTCCGTGGATACGGAAGGAGGACTGGAGAGAGGAGGAGGAAGTCTGTGCGTGGGTGCATTGTCAGCCCTGACCTTTCTGTTCTGAATTTGGTTATTGTGAAGAAGGGAGAGAGTGAGCTCCCTGGTCTTACTGATACCGAGAAACCAAGGATGCGAGGTCCTAAAAGGGCTTCAAAGATTCGCAAGCTCTTCAACCTTTCAAAGGAAGATGATGTCCGGAAGTATGTCAACACTTACCGCAGAACATTTACGACAAAATCTGGTATGTTTCCATGACATCATGTTTTTTCTTTTTTAAAAGGGACTAAATTTGTCATCGACAGCTAGTGACTGTTCTTTACAAATTTACCTTCAATGTTGAATCCGGTTTTTTGGCTGCACAATCTCAGGCAAGAAGGTGAGCAAAGCTCCCAAGATTCAGAGGCTGGTCACTCCTTTGACTCTACAAAGGAAGCGGGCGAGGATTGCTGATAAGAAGAAGAGAATTGCTAAGGCCAAGTCTGAAGCTGCTGATTACCAGAAGCTCCTTGCCACCAGATTGAAGGAGCAGAGAGAACGTCGCAGTGAGAGTTTGGCCAAGAAGAGGTCCCGGCTTTCTGCTGCCTCTAAGCCATCAGTTGCAGCTTAGACTGTATTGGTTCTGCCTGGAGTTTTGATTATGACTGGAGTTTACTTTTAAGATTTTACATGCTTGAAGTTCAATTTTTGATGGTCGGTGTGGTCATCTTGTTTTACGACTCAGAAACTTTGAAGTTTACTTCATCATGCTGTTGCTTTGTCCGGTAGAATGTCATGAGTTTCTCCCTATTTACTGATCTACATTTTATATTAGACGGATGATTTGTCATCACCCCATCATGGAGACACCACTTGCTATTTCTTAATCTGTACCGACTCTTGTGATTTGGTATTGCTCGCAGAGATCTGTGAGAAAGCCAGGGGTGAGAAAAAACTTGTATCTGCTTATTTTGATTGGATGTCTTTCCCCGTAGGCCAAAACCTTGGCCTAATATAACGTTCGTCGATATTGTTAATGAGATGGGAAATGGGCACACAACTAATCCAGTAGAAAGGAGTTTATAAATGTATAAACGTATAAGTACGAAATAAAAGTATTCCCCCGACCCGTAAACAAAATCATCCTTTGTCAATCGTATGGTGCAATTGGCAGGAATATGAAAATCGTATCGTACAATAGTCCTGGCCAATCATGGTCGGTATGCCTAATGGAGCTGTGAATCTTTACAAATAAATCAATAATTAATCTTTGACGGAATCGTCTTGGTGTGGCAGGCAATTTCTGAAACTGGAAATTCAGGCTGATGCGTTGTGACTGCAGATAAGATCAGGGGAAGCCCTTGTACTCGTTCAATTCTCCCCACACCGTCTGTTCGACTTCTTCCCAAGATTCTGCACGTCTGAGGTCCTTCCAGATGCTGAAAATAGCTGCCAGAACGTTCTCTTCATGCAAGATGCAATAGCACCTGCACATGCATCATTTGATATATGATGAAAGACATAGAATTTAGGTCAAATGATAATTAGAAATAAGCCCAGAATGTAAAAAGGTTAGGAACAGGGAAAATTGGCTATGAATATCCCATCGCTAAGGGATGCGGCCGCTGCCAGCCCCTGGGGTCAGCCAGTGCAATTATAGGCACCAAACTCTTAAGAGCTTGGTTACAGCACAATCAATGCATTCTTCCAATTTAATATTCGAAAGGGCGGGACGTGGCAAGGCTCGTACAAAGAGGCAAAATAAGATGTCCATAACTGTTCAATCTAGTGAAATTTAGCTTGTCAATATCTTAGGACTTGCGTCATATGACTCCACTTGTCAAGATGTACCTTTCTCATCTCCAAGAATCAAGGTAAAATTAGGGGAGCTGTGAGCGTCAATTCATACAACACAAACATATTTTTACCATCTCCATCCCCATGATAAGCACATGCTGATGAAGAAAGCTTCAGCACAAAGCAGTGACTAAAAGCTACTGTGCGATAAAAATTATCTGCAAGAAAGTTGCTTCTATAGGACCCTTGATATTGAAGCAATACAAGAATTATCCCCCAAGAGGCACACTGCAACAAGCCTCAAGAGAAACCTTGTTTGCAAAGATTAAATTCGTCACAAAGAATCTACAGATCAGACACCCAATTTTACACATTCTAAATTTACAAGCGGGGATTCTAACCAACCAAAAAAAAATTTACAAGCGGGGATTGATGAGTGTTAATGCGATTGATAAGAGAAATGGAAATGAAGTAACAACTGAGGATGAAGTACCCAACTTGACATAGTCCGATGAAGATAGAAACGTTAAAGAACCAATCAATGTAGTCAGGGTTGACTGAAAACCCTAGGTCGGAGGTGACGTGATTGACAATGAAAACTCAAATGGACAGTGCTAACACTAGTTCTTTTACCTATTCTGTGTGGGGTGGCAAAAGGAAAGCGGGAATTAGGGCTTTGATTTGCTCTCTCGCGGTGGCTCTAAAGTCAGGATAAGATTTTAGGATTACAATAGAGGGAAAGAGAAGCAGTAGGCTTTCAACGCATTATTACTCACTTCAAAATTATGCATGAGCTCTTAAAGACGCTCTTGATACATAAATCCCTACCTACCTCATTTAAATACCAAACAATTACCTACTAACCATGAGTATCTCATACTGCTATATTTTCTCCAACAATGAGCATCAATTTTATCCATTCGCTCGCACCTTTCATTTTAGCCAAGGTCCAAGTCAGGTGCAACCTTGCACAAAGATGCTTTCTTGGGAATGTCTATTTGTTATCGAGTATCCCTCAAACACGGCGTGCGCATGCACATGTGCCTTTTTCATGAAAATTAGTTGCATAAAACAAATCGAGATTATAAAATTATGTAAAACAAACATGGAAGGAAAACTATGACTCACATGGCACGGTACGACAGCCGCTGGTATTTGATATCTCGCAAAGATTGATGCTGTAGTTGGCCTCCCGGCAAGGGGATCTTGTAATTCTGCAAAAGCTGTTTTAACAGATAGGAATCACCTCGAAAGACATCCAGATGTATAGGAATCAGATCATAAAGGGGGTCCCCTGCAAAGAGATAAAAGATCGTTCAGTACCAGCAAGAATGTCCTGAGACTTGCTAGACTCCTTTTCTCCATCACACAGATTCAAAGGCATTTAGGTTTTCAGTCATCCTCACTTGCATGACTAAACCTCAGAAATCAATTCTCATAGTTCACGGACATGGCTGTCCAAGTACATTCAATTTATTTAGCCTGCTATGCACATTTATGAGTTTGCATCAACCTTGCATGGCTGTACTATGGACCTTAGCTCTGTGAATTTGAAGACTAACTCGCTAATTAACAATCAAGCAAAAGCATAAATGCAAACATGAAAAGAACTAACCTACGGAGAGATCACTAAAATCAAGAATGTGACTTGGCCGCCATGACTGTCCCAGCTCACTGCCATCATTTCCATTATCCATACAGCCAACTCTAGGCGAAATTCGATTATTGTAACAATCAATAGAACGGGGTTCCATGTGAATATTGTCATCCATAATGTCAGAGTGTATCCAGGAAGGTTGACAGCCTTCCTTGGGGTAATCCTGAAAAAGATATACAGTGCACATTCAGAAACAAAGGATATGAAGTGCTCATAAAAAAATCAACTCACACCCGCCATGTAATACAACAACAGCCCAAGTTGCTAATGAAATATCTATGCCTCTCATGTCGAATGCGAGCAATCAACTGCACTATTTCCGGAAAAGAAGAAAACTGCCATTAGGTCCATAAACCCATTTTCTCATCTAATGTCTAGTCCAGATTCAAATTCAAGAAGCATAGCAGATAGATGCTGATTCCCTAGAAAGTTCTTTTTTTTGGGGTGCATCACATAAGTTTTCATGGGATTTCATGATACAAAAACAGATGACCACAAAAACAGGTACATGCTGTCAAATTATAGTATCTAGAGAAAGAAATTAAGTATTAATCCATAAGCTGCATGAGAAGAGGGTCCTCGAGTCACCTTATACGAGGAAAGCAACTTCGTTAGGTCATCTGGGATATACTCATCAGCTTTCTCTATCAGCGCGCTAGGAATTGGATCTCCCCTACAAGACAGTAGAAGTGTTAAAGGTCTCACATTAAACTCAAATGTGACACTGGATTCTACTAATACTCTTCAACTTTCTCTATCAGATGACAATAGTCCTCATTTCCTTTCCCATTTTAAAAAAAGGCCACACTGGAATTGCCAGCAACATAATAATCAAACAGCCATAAATAACAGCAATAATCAAACAGCAATCCGAGGGATCATGTAATTTCTAGTTAGCTTAGCAAAAGAAATGTGCACTCTCAGCACAAGTCAAATGACACCTTCAAGATTGAGGGTGTCTGCTATCACAAATAGGGTCTAACATCTAGTCCATGGAAAATAACATTCATTTGTCATCATTTTTCAAAGAACACACAAAGGTCTTGCAGATTTTTTTTTTTGTTCAGAAAGGTCTTGCAGATTCAAAGGGATAACATTTCCCTAATAGATGGAGAAGAAAACTTTTTCTATTGCAAATTGGATGAGTTTGCACATTTTAGTAATGCATTATTTGCTGCAGCAAATGAAATTCCATCAAGTCCTTTGTATCAGTTGGACTTACCATCTAGTTAACCGGCTTGCTAAAGTCATCTTTTTCCTGCTTAAAGTCCCAAGGAAGATATTCCATTCTGCAGTAACTTTTGAACTAGAAAGATGAGTTTCCACCTGATGATTTGTAACCTGTGATTCCACTGTTTGTCCAATATCTGAGAAACTTTGAGAAACAAACGATGGACAGGGCAACATATGTAGGTTACGCAGCTGTTCTCCAAGAAAGGCTGCTAGATCTAGTGTGTCCTGAATTGATAGTGTATCTCTTCTGCATTTCAAATGTACAGGAATCTTTGTCAATACATAACATCCATCTGTGCTAGCATACATGAACTTTAAGTCGGCATTGCACTTCATAGACAAGACCACTTACAGCTGAGCATATATCTTCCCTTTGCATCTTTTAGTTATGATGAATGGCCATATTCTGGAACAGCTAGCTGAACAGATTGATTCGCTCATAGACATTCCAGCTTTCGTATATTCGTATCTCTTCTTGCTCCAAACACCAAAAGGAAAGCCATGCACTGAGCACTTTGGTGGGATCAGATTATAGTTTGAAATGATATCAGGCACCTTTTGACCATCCCATGGCAGAACAGTAAGTGATTCATCATCTTCCAAGTAAAGAAGGCCACTAGCCAAAACATCTGGAATGTTATTTCTCAGTGGAGAGCTGACTTGATCCACTAAGTTATAGAATTCAAGCTGCAAATAAGAGAGATAAAAATTAAAAAAAATATGAAAACGTAAAATTCAGGAATGAATTAATAAGATTATACCTCTGTGCCTAAACTATACATTGCATTCTCCAGGCCCTCTTCAGCAAATATCTTCACTACATGGTCCCCAATGAGGTAAACCTGCAAAAGTGAATATGAAATTCATAGCCAGTAGAGAATTATCTGAGCTTCTCATTCCCTTGCTGAAACTTCTATTATATAATTACATGCAATATTTAATTCGTCTTAACGTGCACTCAAAAGTCAAATATCTATCTTCTAGGTAAGAAGAAAGTAAACAGTCTTGAAATGAAGCTGAGCGAGGGATTATAAGATCAATGCCAGCCATGAACTCTGCATATACGCCTTAAGAATAGTCAACAAACAGCGAGCTTAGCAGAATGGAAGCAATCCTCCAGCAATAAAATTCTCAACTGCTTTTTGTTTAAAAAATCATGGAAATCATGTATTCAAATTCAATGAGGTTCTAGTAGACTGCCTCAACAAATGAGCAGCCTAAGATCCTGCTACCAGCGATTCTTTCTCAGAGCAATTGACCCCAAGTCTCATGGTTCCCCAGCAACATTTATAGGATTAGCAAAATAAAAGAAATTGACTATTAATATCCATGCAATAAAGAATAAAATTTTTGTATAGGGTGCTGTCATATAAGAGAACTCATCCACCAATCCTGCCTCAGAGGTTAAAGGTTGGATTATAACTGTATTACTTGTTGTTTTCATGAATAAGTAACCGAGTTCCTAAAGATTCCTCCCAAATTGATCGTGCATGACAATCACGAGAATATACATAAACACAAGACAACAGAGATCGCAAAGAACTAATGCTTCCTGTAGACTGAGACGTACCGGATTGCTACCTGTGCCAACAGGAAGCCTCTCACTGTCCATTGGATAAGGCAATTTGTAAAAAGCACAAATTTCTGCTAAGCATTTCAACCACTTCTCTGTGTTCAGTGCAAGACATGCCCCCTAAAAATGTTAAAAAATTAATTAGAACATATGAAATGAAGAAAGAACAGGCAACACGACATGATGACACCATCAGCATCCAGAGCATGAGAAAGTAAAACACTGGCAAATCATGGAACTTGAAGAATCTTGTGACCAATGTGCGTTTCTTAAAATTGTTTTACTTCTTCTATTATGTCGACAACAGGAGTTCACTTTTTGTTGAATCTTCCTGTAGAAAACACTGGCCATATGGTTAAGGATCACGTGTATGAGTAGAAGCGCACAGCACATATTCAATTTCCCACACTACCCAGCGCAAACAATTCTCCATTTGGGCCATCTACCTGGGCTTGGCTTTTGGCTCGTGCTCTTACCTGGTTCAAGAGGTTAGCGGTGTATTTTAAGGCCAAGGTATACCTATGTAAGAGGGTCTCCTCGCCATGAAAAAGAAAGAAGAAAGAAAGAAGACACTAGTCTCCGAAACTGTCAAAGATAAATGAGTAATCTCAAAAGACTAACCTTCCATAATAGTTCTCTCATCTCCGGTTTTCCAACCCAAAGCTTGAATAACCATTCTCTCATTTCCCGTTGTCCTATGCAGTTCCCTGAACTCCAAGGAGATGTGTAGTGGTCTCTATCTTTATCCAAAAACATAGCCAAGAAATCTATATCATAGGAGAAATCTTGCTTCCACAAATCATAACTTTTGGATGCGCCATTTGCAGCTCCGCCATTGCTCATCTGGTCTCCGTGTTGGGTTCTTAACCTCTTTTCTTTTCTGGTTGAATCTGAGTGATTCAAGGTATCAAATTGACGAAGATCAACCATTTCTGCTTCGCCAGACATGCCTCCATCCACAGCTAGCAACCCAGCTCGCGATACTCCTTTATGACAATAACCAGGAGCCATATCCAAGCATACAAACTCAAAATTTTTTGAATTCACAAAATTTTGCGTTACTGCAACTGTTGTCTCCAAATTCAGGATGCAATGCCACCAGCCACTAGGAACAAATATTGTCTCTCCAGGAAGTTGGGTACATTCTATTGGTTTATCTTCATCGGCAAGAAGTGGATAAAAATCCAGCCACCACTACACAGACACAGACGATATGAGTAAAGAAAACACATCAAAGTGCATATAGAAGACATAAACGGCGAGGAACTACCAGGTTCAACACTAATTACCTGCAATGATGATGGACCCTGAACATTGACATCGCCATCGTCTTCATTCACATGTACTGTAACACCCAAAGGCACTTTTCCTGGAGGATATAATGCCCACCTGCTTCAACATCGATTTCATAAATTTCCTGGTGAAGACTATTCTTTCTGATTGAGGCTCCATAATAAGACAAAAACAGAGAACTTAATTCTTCAACATCTGTTCCAGTTAATTTGAAGTACAAAACAGGAATAATCGAAATGTGGAAGGCTCAAAATTAAGGAATATCTTTGTTCAGCACATAAATTAATGAAGAAGCTGATGCTGTCCACATTATCGATGGAAGTTTCAAGATAACTGCCAAAACCATATGAGTAACACTCATTCCTTTTGCTTGATCCCAGTCAAAGGTGAAGCTCAGTTATTCGTGGGTTATATGACCGCCTAATTGAATAAAATTTCATAAAATCGTAACAATATTGTGCGATCATCTTTAGATGCATGCAATGTGCTTTCTGAGCATGACAATATAAGTGCCCTCACACTTCTGGATAATGTTAGTAGATACAACTTTTCACTAAATTAGATTCGCTACTTTTAAGACTAGATTTCCTACATCACAGTGATGAAGATGCCATCAGATAAAAGTACCGGAGAAATTCCTGCTTTTCATATAACTTCAGGAACAATTTATGTATAATTTAAACATCTGATAGAGGTACTATTATTGCATGAAGTTTAAAAGATACTTGTAGGAATGTAAATTCTCGAAACATAATTTCTACCAACAGGATTGTAGCAACGAGAGTAAGCACAATGTACCTTTTTCTACCACAAAGAAGAGTATTCCAGGCACTGGTAAGAGCCGGATCAACATGCCATGAGGCACCAGACCTCTCTGGACCAATAATGAGCCATCGATAGGGAGGCCGCTGCTCGAAATCCAAAACATCGAAAAAGTCTTCTTGAAAGAGGTGAGGCACACGGTAATCCTTCAATAAGCCAGGAGCAGCTTCTCCAAACTGAGGAATTTACAGCAAATTTACTTTCACGGAGAAAAAGTGGGAGGTAAAGAAAAAACGACCACATTCTTTTCCAGAAAAAAGGGCATAGAGGAGGAGGAGGAGGAGGAGGAGGAGGAGGAGAGGCACATTATCATCAAATATATATAGGGGATCCTCATCATGCTGGACTTTTGTGTATGAAACATAATCCTTAAGTTTCATCAGGATCTTCCTTGAACTTCGCTGAGATATTCTGAATGGTGTGTCTCCATATTTGCATAACAGCTGGTCAATGGTCCATGAAGTTTTTGCTGGCCATGTATCAGCAAGTCCAGTGAGCAGAACCTGATAAAAGATTTAGAAGTATTTACATCCAGAAAGTACAAAATATGCATTTGGAAATACAAAAGCACATGTGCATGCACTAGAAAAAGAATGAAGGGGGAGGGAGGGAAAGGGGTAAGGGAGTTTATAAAAAGAGAAAAAAGAAAAGAAAAGAAGAACCAAACCTTATGAAAACAATTCCTTCAGTTTATCAATTTATCGTGTTTTCTTGTATGCATTTGTGTTTTCAGTTTATAGGCTTTGGTTTGTGGGTTCGAAAACCTATAAAAACAAATAATTTCTCCTAAAAATAGTAATTAGAGTTTAGCCTAGTCAAGTGAGCCCATCGTATCTGAATGTCTATCAGATTTTCATTTCTTAATCGGGCATTCAAAAGGAATCTTCAATCTTGAAAAAAGCCTATTAAAGAGTTCAGTTTCTGTTTCAAATCTAACATAGCCAAACCCTGCACTGCTTCCGTGAAACAAAAATAAATCTGGAAGTTGCACAAAACACATTTTGTAGTAGTAAATATATCCATGTTAAGAAGTTTGTCTCCAAGTAGAAATTACAGATCTAATTAATGATGCAGACCACTGACGATAATAAGGCAAAAGAAGATAATTTATCATTTCATTGAGCAAAACCATACTGTTATTACTATCATATATCTAAAAGTGTCTACCAATCAGTACCACTGTCCCACATCAATCATCACAAGATAATTGTTCTTCATAACCACAATAACTAAAGATGTGCCTCTCTGTCTCTCTTTCCTGCCTTTCTAAAATCTGTAGAAAGAAATTTTGGCAACGATGGTCATTACGACACCAATCATTTGAAACTTTACCGGTTTTTTTCCATCATACTCATGGCGAAATTCTTCTAGAGATATGTCATTCTTTCTTTCCACATTTCCGCTATCCATGGAAAACCCGTTCAATGTGGTGTGGCACCTATACAATCTTCGATACAAGAACAATGAATTGAATCCTGTACACAGTAGTAACAGAAAGTTTTAAGATGACACTATGTTAACACATCTTCACAAGTGATCTGAAAGAAATTGACCGCTCTAAAGAATGAAGTGATGACACAAAAAAGAATGTGGTACCATCAAAATGCAATCTTTTCCTGCAAGTTTCAATGCACTCGGTTGGAAGGTTCTCTCTGCATAGAGAAACAGTAAGGAACAAGATCAGCTTATACCAATTGTAAGCAAGAAAAAGAAAAAAAGAAAAAAAAGTTGATGACAACTACATAAATGTCAACTGATCATAAACCACCAATGAAAGAAAAACTACGGAAGTAGATGGAAAATGAGTCCCGAGACATACAAATAGAGCGTGGTTTCCTTCCAGGATCCTCTGTATTGAAGAAGCTTATCTGATCTCTTCGAATTCAAGCAAAGACTCATCCACAGCGGTTCCTCATTGCACAGGATGTACATCGCACTACAGTATCACAAATCCAACCAATCAGATAGCATATAAAATCTGCAGCAGCAAACTAAACTCCAGGACTTATGAGTCCTACCCACAGTAGTAGTTTATTTCGATGACAAGTTAAGGCCATAAGAAAAATTTCAAACTAGACAAGCTTATACTACGCTCGGTATACAGGAGCAGGACGTGCAAACGACCAAGCGAATGGAGTTCTGAATAGAAATGCTACAACAACCTAATGCTTCAATTCCATGACTTGTCGCATCTTCACGAGTTACCAAAATCACAAAATACTAAGCAGCGATACTCTATATCCATACTAAAGGCAGCACGCAGAACCAAAATAATCGATCTCCACAAACGCAACCGAACTACTCCATCGCTAACCGCAACATCAATCGGCACACAAAATGAGCTTCCGCTGGTTCGCTACTCGCGAACCGCAAGTTCAATTCGCAACCTAAACGTGCAGCACCGACGCAAAACGCGTTCGAACGCCGACAATCGAGAGGGAACCGACCAGAGAGAGGGAGAGAGATTCGTGAACCTGCTGACGCAAGAGAGGCGAGCCACATCGCTAGGGGAGAGATAATCGAGGATGGAACAGATGACTTCGTCGGGGAGGACGCAGAGGTCGCCGAGGGCGCCGGGCCTCCGATCTCCGAACCCGAAAGGCGGCGCTTGAGGAGGATTCTCCATTGACGAGGCGAGGGAGGGAGAGAGAGAGAGAGAGAGACGACGACGACGACGACGACGAAGGAAGGGGGTCGATTCAGCGTCGGCTTTCGCGATATATATACGTTTGGCTATCCGCCATTTTTTCCGCGAAAACCCAACCGCGTGAGGTTGGCGCATTTGCCGCGTGCGCTGAAGTTTCACGCCACCTGCAGCGATCGTGGGGGCTTCCCGGATCGGGATGCTCCGCCTTGGATTGGACCCGTGCTGGGCCCAGGCCTGTTTGGGTCCGGGCCTTCCAATTTTGGGCCTGGATCTTTTTGTCCTGGGCTTCCCAGCGGGCCTAAACATTCCGGTCAAGCCCATCCTTTTTATGAGCGGGCAAACAAATTGAGTCAAGTCGGTAGAAGATTTATAAAATATAACAGTATCTAAACAAATTGATCTTGCCAAATGGGTGGGTATAGAGGAATGCAATTTTGTCGAACCGCTCATGTTATGATTTTCTACATCCTTGAAAAGCAAGAACACAAATATTTGGTTCCCGACACAACTCAACAAATACCAACTCAATATTTGGTATCCGAACCCACCTGCTGGCGACTCTTACCAGCATATATACATATATCTTAATTCAGGGGGTGGGACGCCACTATGCCCTCTACTTTGACCGTGCAAGAGCTTAAACAGCTGGAGCCGATGATTCTAAGCCGCATAGGCTGGTGGCCACACCAAATTCTTTATTAACCTTTCAGTGTCCCTTTCAGTACTTAAAAATCAAACTTCAACCACTGTATACGAGCATAAATTAAAACATTACATAAATGTTGGTACAACACAACAACTCGCACATGCCGGCACTAATAGAAGGGAATATGTATCTTCGGTAATCATGGGAGCCAATTTCACAGCCCTAAGGATGAAACAGGGTGCTGTGACTGGATCCTCCGCTTTCTGAGGCGCTCCGCGATGATGAAAGCAAGCTCTAGAGACTGGGAAGCGTTCAGCCTGGGATCGCAATGGGTGTGGTAGCGCGAGCTGAGATCGTCGAACGTCACGGTTCGCGACCCGCCAATGCACTCGGTCACGTTCTGACCTGTCATCTCCAAGTGCACTCCTCCTGGATTGCTCCCTTCTTGTTCATGGACATCAAAGAATGCTCTCACCTCGGCCTGTCAAATGGTAATTGTTAAGAGGTGGTAAAAAGAAAAGGAAGACACTATAACACGAACAACACCATTTGATAATTGCAAAATAATTAAGTAGACTAATCAACAGCCCAAGCCATGATTTGCAAAAGTTCCCTCACTTCGAGTCAGCAATAATGCGTATGGTGGTTGTTGATTTAATCAACGTGGCGCTATCTGAAACAGCACATATCTAGGAGGAGGACCTTTTCCCAAATTGATGAAGATCCAACCAAATTATTGACAGGGATGTGCACCCAACAACCAAAGCAATACAGTTTCTTACTCAAATGATGGTTGGTTAAGAAATCTTGCGCAACTATTGCACCTAAACATAGATGTCATTTTCCCACCAACTTCACCTCATTCAACGAACCACCACTTGTGTCTCAACAAAATTTAATATGCATAATACAACCGCATAAAGCTCACCTACCTTGTAAATGAGATACTAGTCAATAATTCAAATAGTATAGATCCATCTTAGACAATGAACATCTCCATGAGACACGTTAATGTGTAGAAAACATAAACTGCAAATAAAGTGTACAAATCAATGGACGGTAGTAGCTAACTGGCTATCAGAGCAAATCATTTGCTACCTATCTACTGCTGAACAGGAAACCATACCATCTGATCACCTTCTTTGCCCAAAAGAAGAGGAGGAAGTGATAACCACAAGAAACTGCTTCCTCAAACCCAGTACTTTTCCCGACCAATTAAAAAAAAAAAACAGTACTTTTTGCTGTTGGAAAGGAAATCTTAAGCGAAAAAGGTGTACAATCTCAAGCTTCTTGCTCGCAAAATAATTGTCGAGTTGTACATATGTTAGATTTTCCTGATGCTTTCCTTCTAAAATGTATTGCATTCAAATCAATCCTTCCAAGATCCTATGCATTCGCTCAAAAGTTACACCAGGACTTCAAGTGGCATACAAAATTGACTACATTAACAAAATAATATGAAAATAGAAGAGTGAAGTAGCATACCCTTATGGCATCAAATGGGCGAGTCTTAAGACCACATGGAGCCTTGATGGTGTTCCCATGCATTGGATCGCTGACCCATGTAACAATTTGCCCCGCCCTACGGACAGCCCTGATAAGGTGCGGCAGCTTCACTCTCATGTTCTCAGCTCCCATTCTGGTAATAATTGTTATCCTTCCAGCTTTGTTTTGAGGATTCAAAATCTCAATGAGCTTAACTAACTCATTTGGATCCATCTTGTCACTCACCTGCAGCATAACATCAACCATGAATCCGACTGCCTCTGCGCTCGCAGATGTAGTAAGGAATAACAAGCCGAGTGGCAATCTTTTCCTTCAGATAAGCAGTATGACTTATCGATTGCTTACTGATAGCATAAAAAGTATGTTCGTCATGCTGTGGTGCTTATAATATTTAGAAAATAATGTGCATTGCCCAAGAACCACTTTCAACTAAAGCCCTCCTCCATTTTCAAATCTTGCCTGTTAATTCTTCATCTAAAGACTCCAGAAAGCAAGGTTCACCTGACTTTAAGTTTATTCAAATGTTGGCCAGTATTCGCTTTATAATAACTCTTCAGCCTGAGATGAGAAATGAAACAATTACCTTAATGCCCAAGGGATTGGCAATTCCTCTTAAAAATTCAACATGGGCACCATCCAGCTGTCGAGTACGTTCGCCAGCCCAAAGCATATGGGCAGAGCAGTCATAGTAAAGACCTGAAGTTGAGTCCATTCTAGTGAGCGACTGCTCATAGGGCAAGAGCAAGCACTCATGTGATGTCCAGAACTCAGTTGTAGTCATAATAGGATGGTCAACAGTAAGCCCAGCTGCGGACATAAACCCAAGAGCCTCATCGACTCGGTGAGCCAGCTCCCGGTACCTAGGGATAAAAAAAGAAACTCAGCAACATGCGATTAATCAAGCGTCTATCTTTATATTATTCCCTGATGTCAACGCTCACAATAAACTACCGCACAACAAGCAGAGCAAAACAGATACACATGTACTGCCGAAGCAGAATCTGTCCGGATTACTCGGTCCACCAGAAAGCTACAAACATAGAAGACGAGAGGGAACCGGTGAACCTGGTCCAGCTAACTGATTTGCATTTGACACCAACCAAATGCGAATAAATCAAAACCTTCCAAAAAATATTCATCAAATATAACGCAATTTCAAGTCCTTTAACCAGTATCTAGACGATCATATCCGTTAACTGATTATAAGCCCAATTCATCATTGATCCACCATACTAGAGCAGAAAATGTGTTGACAAAGAATGCAAACGTGGCCTGAAATTGAGGTTAATTTCATTGGTCTTTTCTTTTTTTTCTCCACTACAAATGCTTTCCAGCGCCAAAAATGGATTATCCGGTTGTGATTCCTTTTGCCCCCATAAAGTGAGCTCACTGCTTTTTCAAATACGATTCATTCATCAGGCCAAAGATTCCATCTTAGGAAACCTTCTCCTTAAAGCTAAATAGATCTAATAACAACCTAATCCAACTGGATTAATGTTAATCAATTATCCAAGCGCGGTAAAGTTTGGAAAAATCACCTGTCTCCTTGCTCGCTATGCTCGGTGAAATCCATATTCCACTGGGTGACCCTCTGCATGGCAGCATAACCTCCAGTTGCAAAAGCCCTCAATAGATTCAACGTAGCAGCAGATTGACAGTATGCTCTGATCATTCTCTGAGGATCAGGAATTCTTGATTTCTCATCAAACGCATCCCCATTCACATTATCGCCTCTATAACTCGGCAACTTCACCCCGTTCTTCTCCTCGAATGGGTCCGACCTCGGCTTCGCAAATTGACCAGCCATCCTTCCGACCTATACACCGATAATCATTCAAGCAACATCAGACCACCGGTGTCACTCAAAACTCTTAGACAGCGACCCAATGCGTATATTTCCATGTCCTAATAGCAACTATTGAAAAGTGAAGGGCAAAAGGAACAACTGAAATCGAATATCACGGCGCCGTCGCAGTGTCTCTGACCTTGACAACAGGCATTTGGCCTCCGAACATCAGGACAGCTCCCATCTGGAGCAGAATCCTGAAAGTATCACGGATGTTGTTCGCGTTGAACTCCTTGAAGCTCTCGGCGCAGTCGCCGCCCTGCAGGAGGAAGGCGTTCCCCATGGCGGCCTCCCCGAGCCGCTCCTCCAGGCTCCGCGCCTCCCCGGCGAACACGATCGGGGGAAAATCGTCGAGCGTCTTCAGCACCGACTCCAGCTCCGCCTGATCCGGGTACTCCGGCAGCTGCAGGGCCTTCTTCGACCTCCAGCTGTCGACGCTCCACCTCCCGGCGCCCACGGCGGCCTTCGCCGGGGCCGCGGGGGCGGGGATGGTGGGCGCCGCCGCCGCCGCCGCAGCCGACGACGACGACGGGGGGAGGGCGGAGCTCTTCAGCTGCGGCAGCTTATGCGCCTTGTCGGCGTTCTTGCCGGGCTCGGGGGAGTGGACGGCGGCGATGCGGAGGGGGACGGCGGCGGGCGCCGGCGCCGGGAGGGTCTTGGAGAAGGCCTTGGCGGGTATGATGGAGCTGCTGTAGGCGATCGCCATTGCTGCTTCCGCTCTTGGTTTTGTCCTTCCCTTTTCGGGGTGACGGCAATGCGGGTCGAGTTGGAGGAGAGGGAGATCGGAAGGGGAAGGCACGAGGGAGGTACCTGAAGAGGTGGGGAGAAACGGCCGGTCGTTTTTATAAAGGAGAAGGGAGGGAGGGGGGGGGGGGGGGGTTAGGTCAGGGTGGGGGTGGGGGGCGGGCGCGGCGGTGGAGATGGAGGGGTGGTGGTGGTGTCTGGTGGCGACGTGGGGGTAGTTGGAGACGATGGCACGGGGCGGTAATTCGAGCGAGTTGGTGGGGGTAGGGTGGGGAGGGGAACCGGTCAAGAAGTCAACGGGTTTGATCATCTCGGTCTGGGGGAGCGCTCTTTTCAATTACTTTTCGGAAAAATCTCCAGGCGCACCCAACTTCATTTTTTTTTTCTTTTTCTTTGGTTTTCTGAAAGAGGGGGGAAAAATGATAAAAAAAAAAAGGAAAATTAAAGGGGAAAAACTTTTCGCTTCACCTACTAAAAGCGCCACTCGATCGGCTCATTTTGGACTGCCGTTGTGGTCGCGGCTGCGCCGAGCCTCATTAGCCGGAGATCGTCGCCACTTGGGAGCTGGAGCTGGAGCTCGTCCGGGAATTTCAGGAATTCCGAACTCGAAGAACAATCGAAGGTGCGGGAATTATCAGATTCAGATCTAAAGTAAAAATAAAAAACAAAGAGCCAATTCAAGTGGGTTCGGCCTAATTCCAAAAAACAAAGCATCGATTTTATTTCAAGCGACAATTCTTGCTCAGACTTTTTTTTTTGTCTCATAAAAAATCACAAACTTTCCTTAAATCCAAAATCCGATCTGAACAATTTATAAAATTCACATCACGGGGCCAGGTTTGGGATTTGAGTAAAAGTTGGTGTTTTTTAATAAGATAAAAAAAAAATTCGGGCCAGAAATATCACTCTAGATAAATTAGCATTTTTTAAAATTAGCCCAAATCCTAAATTACTGATTTTCTTCGACAACCTACCATGATTTGACACATAATCCATTTGCCTTAACTAAGATGGGTTGAATCCATTCGACAAATTAGATCTACTTACGAATAATTGAAATGTTTACATATTGTTTAAATGGATCAGGTAAAAGTATAGATACGTTTTTTCACCAAGATTTTCAGATAGTCGCCGCCAATCAAACCAATCATTAAGAAAGGGAGTTTCGACAACTTATTTGCTCTCTTAAAGTCGGAATGAAAACTGCTCCGTGATAAATAGGTTAGCACAATGAAGACACGTTTCATTTCCCGTTTATCACCGGACGTGCTTGCTTTCAAATTGATTCCCATTCCGATTCCTCGAAATTCATTTGGACCCCTTCCGTTTCATTCCAATTTGCCTCAGCCTCACATACCAAACGGGACCTTAGAGTTTTACATCCCATACCCCTTCCTGTCTCTATTACGACTTCTTAAAATTAAAAGCTCCGGTAGAAACATATACTTGACGTGCGTTCTCTCGAGAGTTCCTTCGAAACATAATGGCTTTCGATTTATCTTCTAATTATCAAAGTGAAGGGGAGAAGGATATCGAGCAATTATGGACGAGTTAAGCTACTCGTAACTCTAATTTTGCGTTTTTTAAGGGTCGGTCATTTCGGAACTCACGTACGAAACTCCGTAAGCGTCTTGGCTTTGCTAAAAGCACCCCCAGTTCCGCCTCTTAACCAACTCTCTCCTTCACCTTCATTATACCAAAATGAAACAAACTTGTGCCGTCGACCTCACCCCCATCCCTATACCACGGAATCATCATCGCCACTCGTTGTCTAGGGGGGCTTGCTCGATGCAATAATCGAAAGAACGAGGTTAGGTGATGCAATTACATGGTGTCTCCTACGTAGTCAATGGCAAAGTGTCGAAGAAGATTGGATCGTGGAGATGAAGCCCATCGAGGGTTGGTGGTGAGTCGAGCTGCACGAGGCTTGAAACTCATTTGTCCCAATCGCTGACGATCCGCTGACACGGTCCAAAACGGGGTTTTGTTTTGGCTTTTATTGGTAAGCACGAAGGCTAATTAAAATTTGAACGTGTAAAGAGCATAATTCCTCCGAAGGGGGAAAAGATTCCTCGCGACCACGAGGGCTGTCTATCTAGACTTGCGAAATCATGGCGAATGTTGGGGAGGCCCACTGAAGTCACTTCAAGTCATGTAGTCACCAACCCTCTTCAATGAATAGCATGTGCAAATCAGAGGATCTTGCAAAAGGGTAAGGGGAATTAAGTCTCTGTAACCCTCCTTCCCTTGATTTAGGGAATGCAAATCAATTTCCCCAAAAGATCCACGAATGAACGTGGATTTGCGTACTGATAAGTGAAGCCCGTGACCTGGTTTCCAGCTTTTCTAGCATTAAGCTTATTTTTTGTAATAGGGCTAAAAATAATACAAGTTATTAATGAGCAGTTTATATTTCTGACCAAAAAAAAAAAAGGTGGATTTGTCAAAAGCAAAGGGCGTTTGGTTGATGGATTGAGCTTTGGAGGCCCGGTATCTCCTCGAGAAAGCTGAATCAAACATAACCTTAGTCCTATTTATAAAGCCTTTTACTCTCAAGAAGCACTAGTCTAATTATGATAAGGTGCATATAATTGCACTCATCCCTTTTTTCTTTAATCAATTTTTTTTTGTGTGTGTAAAACATTTAGCACTTATAATTAAGCAATCGGTATCTCTCTCCCCGACCTTTTTCCTCTACAATAAATTTGATTCCACGTTTCAATTATGGTCTTAACTAATTAGTTTGCACATGGCCGTGTCCAGGCTTCGACCAAGTAAACCGGGGCACGTCATGTTGCCAAAAGTCCTTTCACGCGCATAACTCATGCCCGTACGTGTTTATGCTCGTGCCTTGCTCGTACTAGATTGAGGATCATGCATTCGCTAAGTAAGGGTGTGTTTGTTTCACTGAAAAATTTTAGGACAAAGGAAAATGTTTAGTTTTCATTTGTTTCGTTAATAAGAAAAAGTGATTTTCTTTTTACCAGAAGGGGAAGTCGTTTTCCCTAAGTCCAAACTCATTTTCAATCCATGGAAAAAGTTTTTATAAATCGATTATTTTTCTGTCATCGAAACACCAGAAAGATAGAAAATAATTTTCCGAAAATTGTTTTTCTTCGAACAAACGGACTGTAAGTTTGTAATCATTACGGAGAATTTACGAGTCCATTTACAGTTTAAAGAGCTACAAAATACGAGAATAGTGTGACTTTCAAATATGGTCGGAGAATATGAGATGTAAATTGTAGAGGAAATAAGAGAACTAAGATCATTCCTAAATTTCTAAGGGTTGCAAATTCAAATATTTGGAATTTAGAAGGGCCACCATCTAGTGCAAGAGATGAAATATTTCGTCGTCACCATACCCACCAGAACGGTCTATGCTACTGTCACCCTCGACGAGAATTAGTCGGGTACTCAAAGAGTTCTGCACAACTCATTGAGACATAAAAAGGAAAGGAAAAACCGGCAAAAGTAAAACAATTTAGAGCAATCATGTAGCAAAAAGTTGAGTCGTCTTTAGGATATTATGGCAAATGTCAAGCACATATAGTTAACGGACGAAGAGGAACGAGCATTCATAGCCAATTAATAGAGTTAGGGCATCTGTCATCTCCATTCTAAATCTTTCCTTTTCTTATACTTACCAAGAAGTTGTTTTCTTGATAGACGCGTGTATCTACAAAGCCTTCACGTGTCGGTTTGTGACATCCACACAACTTAATTTGGTGATGATGAATCACCGCTAACCAACAAGCAAAACATGGTTTATTGTCTCAAGTATCCCTTGTCTTCTTTTTGAGCACAAAGTGATTTCTGAAAGATAAGATCAAAGAAAAAGTGGCTTAAAAGTTGGTTTAGGACAAGACTATGGGCACAAGTGGTTAGAAGGTATACACGCAAGAATCTGCAATTCCTAGCATAAGCTCCTAATCTAGCAGATAAATTCTAGTTGCAAGGTACCACAAGCCACAGAAAACATACCAATCATTCATCAGAGCTAAATATTGGCATCAGAGAGAACATGAAGTAGGTATCTTAAAGATATTAGGCCAGAAAATCCTAGTAATAGAAGAGCAACCCATTTCCTAGCAAGGACACTAGGACTATACTTATTAAGCATGTCCAGCCTAATAATAGACCCACCCACTCCTGCAAATGACCTTAAACTCAAGATCTTAGAAGTCATACATCGCAGCCAAAACATCATCCACATGCATGTTATAGTTCCTGCTCGTGCGGGCTCCAGACAGCCGAGGAAAGTCTTCGGGATTCGAATCAGTCCAGCAGCAGCATATCCATTTCACAACTCATATTTTAATGGGCTGAGTCATTATATGGGTTTGCTACATTTAGTAAATATGTAATAAATAGGTTTAAAATGGTAAAGCCCAAACAAATATGTGTGTTAAATGGGTTCATAGTTTACCCAAACCCAATCCACTTTTGTGACTCTTTTTTCACCCGCTATGAGAAAAAAATGGATTCATCGGACTATTCCAAGTAAGCCGGCAACACATAAAACAAACAAATTATTCAAACAAATTACAAAAACAATTACCACCAAACAACAGACATTGACAAATATTATTGTATTAAATAATTAATACAAAATTAAACCAACGGAGGAAGACAAAAATAATCCGGCATTTAACAAACAATTAAAAAAAAAAACAGGAAATTATCACGTCAAAAAAGTATGGGGTAAATTATCACACGTACCAATTTGAGGTTTTTCGCGGTATTAACCGTTATTAAAAATATCAAGACGGCTTCTTGTTTCCCAAATATTTTTTATTTTTATTAATCTTGTAAGTTTCTTCTGTTAATTATTGGGATATATCTTTCCTTGGTTGCATTTGGCATTGTTTATTTTATGCAAAATTCTAATCTTAGTTCTTGTTATTGCAATTCATGGTCAGCATAAATCATTTTCTTCAATATCTTATATTCCATTTAATTAAAATTTCAATTTTGCCATGTTATTTGTTGTTGTAATTTTATAAATTGACTACCAAGTACTAACGTTATCTTATTCTTCATCGTGAAACCATACAAAAATTGCAAATTCTATGCAATGTTGAAAGCCAATTCTTTAGCATCTTATAGTCGAA